ACAGGGAAGTGTGAGGTTGTGCAGTGATTTGTAGGCGATGATGAGCAGCTTGAAATCAATCCATTGGGAGATCCAAAATTGTTGTTGCAGAAATGCAGATGGACAACTCTGCATTTTCCGGGGTGTTTCACTCTGCCAGTATTTTCTCAGTTTTCAAAATAGAGGATCTGGCCTCTCCGAAATCTGCCCTTGTGTTGTTTGATTAAGGCCGATTAATGCTGTGTGGGGGTTGGAGTCTGCCTCGAACGTAAATCAGGTCACTCGAGACCACCGCCAAGTTATGAAGCCGGAATGCGCTTTACTTCAGATGTTTCGCATGTGAGAAAACAACTCCCAATCCCTCAAAATACTGAGCATTGTGTTCTCCTCCCCCTTACATGCCTCTCTGTGGGATGGAGCTTACCATGGAGTTTATACGTACAACCACTCAAGGTCCAGTTTGCTGCAGCTTCCTTCTCATCTCCTCTTTTGATGCTGACTTATGTTTGCGCAGTGTCCCCCAGGTGTCCTCTGCCACCTCCCCTTAAGTGGCCGTTCCTCATGCGTAAGCCTTTTGAGGTCAAGCCATTAGGGGTCAAGCCATTTGACTGGTCAGGGAAGGACTGTAGGTGGGCAGAGGCAAAATTACTGACCTGAACCTGATGGTCACAGGCACAAGCCCTTGCCAGTAAAGATCACCGAGAAACAGTCCAATGCTGCAATAGGAGGAAATTGGGACGCGGGATTCTGGAAAGATGAGATCAAATGGACCAAAGGCCTTTCTTCATCTGATCCAGTGGGGGTAGCTTGGCTGAGGCCAACTGTAGCCCCGGCAGAGGTCAGCTAACAGTGCAGATCAGGATTTAATCCTGAAACATTCCAGTCTGTAAGGCCCACTGGTGTCATTTGATGGGAGAGGTGGGATTGTGGGAGTGATGGTTTCCGATGTGATAATAATTTCTGTTTCTTGCACATTTTTCCTTCGCATCATAGCATGATGATACAGTATTTGTGGCTTTCTGACCTTCTCTTCTCTCAACAGGGCAAAATACACTGAAAGTCGATGTTGACCAAAATACCAAATCCTATGGAATTCAAGGCCTTCAGCCCAACACAGATTATGGAATAACTGTGACTGCGTTATACAGAGCTGTAGAGGGACCCTCAGCAACAGCCAGGATGAAAACAGGTATCGGGATGGATTGTAATTAAACTCACTCAAGTTAGAGACTGTTGTAAATAACGGCATTGGGCATTTGGCAAAGGCTCCTCTGACAACAGTTGAGGTTCCTCATGATCAGTAGATTTTCTGACTGGATGTTGTGGACATAACAGAAGCTGAACAGGGTTGAGGAGGGAACCTCAGTTGTGACCAAACCACTTCAGTGACTAGAGGGCAGCAATTTAAGAGAGTTAACAAAGGTGGGATATTAGGAGGAGATTTTTTTTAACACAGAGAGTTGTTGGGGTGTGGAATGCCCTGCCAGGCGCGATGGTTGAGACTGCGCTCATATCAACTTTCAAGAGGGTACTAGACAGATATCTAAAGGAAGTCATTCGCAGGCATTTTGGGGGAAAAGGCTGGTCAGTGGAATAAATGGATTGCTCTTTCAAAGAACAAACATGGACACAATGGGCCAAGACGCCTTCTTCTGCTCTGTAAAATTCCGTGGTTTACTGCCATCCCGAGGAAATGAAATGTAGCCTCACTCCTCACACCTTAACATAAGCATGAAAATATTCCTGAGCATGGTTTAGATCAGCTCACGGCACCAAGTCTGCCATCCCCCACACATTTAATAAACAATAATCATTTTAGGGGATGGGGTTTCGTGTCATTTAGTGTTATAGGTATTACATCGAATGCAAAGATTATTAGTGTTGTTAAACAACGGAAACTATTGGCTTGATAGGCACGTATGGCAACAGTACAGGTTCCTCGGCACAATAGATGCTGTGTGATAAGTTGTAGGCTAATTACAGGCCCAAACAATAAGATGCCAAACTCAGCTTCTCAAGACCTGCCAGGTCCTGCTAAATTCCAGCTTACAGGGCATTGACAAGTTCTGATCCTTAAAATTTCAAAGTTTGCCAGAGAACATTGTCAAAGGCTTTTCCATAGCAGGAGATAGTAAGCCAAAGTCTCTTGAGTTCCTTTGATTCCTCCGTCCATGATTGTAGATTTCTAAACACCGTGTCCAAACTTGATCAACGTCTTATAAAGCAGTTGGAAATAACATTGAATGGGATTCTGAAAGAGCTACTGCCAAGTTCTGAATGTCTTTTGGCTCATTGTCAGAGCTCACGGGGTCCCAGAGCTTCATGTTTGCAAACTGAAAAATAGAATCAGCAGGTTATTATAAAGTGTTGCAAAATGCAGATGTAATTTTTGTTCCTGGAGAGACCCTTATTGCAGTTTTTTTTTTGCAAATCTGATACAGAAATACTTGTTGATGCACTTTTGGTTCATGATAAATTCTAAGTGCAGAAAGACAACGAATCTTTAAACTGTCCTTTGAAATGGTTTGCGGGAATGGTTGAATGCATGTGATCTCTGATCTCTAATAGAACTTATGCTGTGCCCGAACATTTAGATTGTGTCTTTGTTATCCTCTGTTTTCAGTGGGTGGTTTGCACGCTGTCCGAGAGAGAAAGAGAGAACCAGCTCTTGGTTAGTTCAAAATCTGCTTTTCCCGTGTTTGACAGTAATCCAAAACTCCTGATCTTCCAGCGCCCTGGGATGTCTTTTCGACGTGAAGGCCTCTATACAAGTGTAATTTGTTGTTGTTGTTGTAGTTAACGTGCCTTCCGAATCTCGTTTTTATTACTCAGGACTTGCTGTCAGCCTGGCTCAGTTGGTAGCGCTCTTGCCTCTGAGTCAGAAGGTTGTGGGATCAAGCCTCACGTTGGGACTTTGAGACTCACAATCTAAGCTGATGCTCTGGTGTAGTTCTAGGGGGAGCACTACTTTGTCAGAGGTGCCGTCCTTTAGATCAGACATTAAAACAAGGAGTGGGACTTGGTTTAATGTCTTATCTATGCCCGTACAGTTAGGACCCTTAACATCAACCTGAACTGACAGAGACGGAATCTTAAACCTTTAAGGAAGGAATATTTTACACAATAATAAAACCAGTTCCCCTCCAAATCTTTTGTAATTTCCACAAAGGTTATGCTTTGAGCTGTTTCTAATGCCAGTTCTCACATGGAGCCTCTAAATTTCCCTCTAAAGTTTCTGTCTTTATTTTGGCCCCTTTAATTAGAGTATTAAATCATTCTCAGTGCTCAGTACAGTCAGAGTGTGACATCCTGGATTTTATTGTACGGATTAAATTAATGCCGAGTCACACAGCGTTCAGAATAACTCATCAAAATCTTGATTTATGGCATTGCTTCAGTAGAATCCTGAGCAGCAGTTTACCTGCTCTGCCAAAGCAGTTGGGTTTACAGATCCTCAGCCCACAAGCCATTCAAATCTAAACAGCTTGAAACTCTCCAGGATTCACAGCCATGAAGCAATCTAATTTCTATTATGACCTTCTGGAGTTTGACAGTACATTGACTGCAGTATACACATATACACCCAGGAGTGAGTGCCAATTCATGGGGAAAATATTGCGTTCGAATAAAGAGTAAATTTTCCTTACTCCACACCCCTCTGTTTACCCAGCAGTAAGTAGGAACCTGGCTATTAGGTCGATTGGTGGATCGCTTTCCAGGAGTAAATAAACCTTTTTAAAAAAAAAATTAATAATTTGGTCACTCCATGATTGTTTGTGGGACACTATTGTGCGTAATTGGCTGCCGTGTTTCGCCCACCAAGAAATAAACAGTCAATTCGTTTTACAGTATATTCTGTGTAGAGCATTGGGACGTCCCAATGACGTGATTAGGCGCTGTATCACATGCAAGGATTATTATTATTATTATTATTATTCAATGGGAAAGAGTTTGTTCCCTTGAGTGATTTGCACCGTGGGGAGAGAACGGGAAATGGTTTGAACTTTCGGAATTCTAGGCAGTCTCCACTCGGGTTCCCCAAATGACACGACTGGTTCGAATGAGGAAGCCCTTCAGCCTATTGATCTCAGCCTTCCAGAACACTCGCCCTGCCATCTTGCCATCACAGCATAGAGCTGTTTTTTTTTAAATGAATCTCAGTATCCTGGCCTCAACCACCCTTCCTGATAACCCCCTTCAGTCGTTAATTACACTCTGGGTAAGAAAATACTTTGTGTGTCTGTCCTGAAATTACCCTTTGCAATTCTAAACCTGGGACCTCTTGATGCATTCAGCCTTTCTGCCCCCACCATTTGGAACTCCATCCCACATTCCCTTTGCTTGCTCCCTCCCTTGCCTCCGTCAAGGCACGTCTCAAAATCCTGCTCTTCAACTGCGCCTTCGGCCACCCTCCTACCCTCCCTGCCCTCCACCCTCCCCAAACACGACCCAGCTTGGGTCCAACTCCCTCACTGTTCATCACCTCAGGATGTCCTCCCGATGTGAAAGGCGCTATATAAATAATTTTGTATCTTAAAAATGCTGATGTTATAATGCATTACATCCAACCGGATTAAATCCAAATAAAATTATAATGGGGCCAGTCAGTGTTTCTATATAGTGAGCAGCTCACACAACCTGGCTCACTTCCTGTGCTAAAAAATGACTGACTTTCAGGTCATCGTGTCGCTGGTGATTTCACTTCCTGTATCTGTGTTTGAATTTACGTTGGCGTCTACACTCCAAAGTAGAACCTGCGTTATAAGGGGGTTCTGCTTCCATGCTTGGGAAGTCAGAGTAATAAGGAGAAAAAATGGGAGTTTCCTGTTAAAAAGAGCTGCTATGATCAAATAAATTGTGGAGCTGAATGTCTCACTCTGTTCCTATGAGTGCTAGTCGGAACAGGAGGCTCCTGATTTTGGGACTTCATATTCTCCTTCGTGCAATCCCTGCTCCAAGTCTCTGAGCTGGAATAGCTACCATATCATTTACGTGTAGCTGTGGCTGGGAAGACCGAACGAATGAACGAGCAAAGGCCATTTCCTCCCATCCAGGGTAAGATCTAGAGTGGTGAGAGGGGAGTGGGTCCAAGTCCAGTCAGATTTATAATAATAATAATCCTTTTATTTGATATACCGCCTAAACACGTCTTCGAGACGTATCAAAGCGCTTCACAGAGTACACTGTAAAGTGCATTGACTGTATATTTGTGGGCGAATCGTAAAGTGGGCAAAGATCTATCATCGGGAGCATGCTGAGGATCAGACGATTTGCTCGATCCTTGCTGAACATAGTTAATCACTCGCTGCTAACAGCATTCCCCTTTCCTCTTCTCTCCGAGACGTGGCAGAAGATTTGAATTTACGGATCCTGGCCATTAGTCCCACCGTTATCCGGTTGTCCTGGTTCATTCAGCGTGACGTCATCGGATACAGAATCGAGTGGAGGAAAACATCAGGTAATCCAAGGCAATAGTATTCACTGAAACTGTTTTAGTGAGAGCTGCCCCTCTGTGTGGCTGTGGCTACTGGTGTGTGTGTGGTGTGTTGTGTTGTGTGGTCTATGTGTTGTGTGGTGTGGTGCCCTGCGCTGGCTGAGATAGCTGGATTCAACCTCAGACCTTCTCAATCTGTAGGACTGGTTTACACATTAGGCAATGCCTTACCATCGGGAGAAGAGTTTCCCTAAAGGGTCAGTGCCTTAACATGGGCTGTGACCCAATGTACAAGGACGTACCTTGTAAATCTTTGCTTCTAACTCTTCTTTCCTGTCTTTGATAGAGGAGCGTGCCCAGGGCCAACGAGTGCTGTTGTCTGCAGCCACAAACACGTACGATTTAACAAGCCTTGTTCCCGGCACTCAGTACACCATCACTCTCTACACCCTGTACACTGGCAGGGAGGTGGCTACGCCTGCGATCACATCAGAGACTGGTACGTACAGAAATGACAGTTATTATCACAGAGCTTTTTTCACGCTGTTGAGACATCTTAAAGCACGTCAAAGGACTTGCAGCAGTGTCCCACAAACAGTCATGAAGTGAATGACAAATTTCATTTGGGTGGGAGGGCGGGGGGTGTTGTTGGTCAGGACACTCCCTTCTCTTTTCGAACAGCCTCTAGAGATCTTTAACTTATTATTTAAAAAATAATAAATTGGTCCCTTCAATCCACGACTGTTTGTGGGACACTGCTGTGCGCAATTGGCTTCCGTGAATCGCCACAAAATATTCAATCAATTCACTTTACAGTGCAATCTATGAAGCGCTCTGAGACGTCTTGAAGACGTGAAAAGGCGCTGTATGAAATGCGAGTATTATTATTATTTAATGTCACCAGATGGGACCTCAGTTTAGGATGGCATTTCCAACAGCGCAGCCAGCTGTGATTGTGAATTCAAAGTTCCCCCGACGTGGGACTTGAACCCACGACCATCTGACTCAAAGACGAGAGTGCTACCGGCTGAGACGGGCTGACGCACTTCTACTGTTGGAAAGAATCTTAAGATTTGCATTTGTTCGGTGCCTTTCACCTTGAAGGATAGCTCAAAACGTTGGACAAAACGTAACGATATTGGAAATTAAAAAAACAAAGCAAAGGCACAGTTATTGATCTCCGCGTTGAGAAACATCACTTACGACAGTCTGCACGTGTAGGCGGCATACATGTGTGGAATTCTAATTGGTTTCTTAAGCGTGGGAATGGGTTTCTTTGTGTATCAGACATCTGGCTGACCAAAATAAATCTAATTGCGTAGTTCCTTGGTGATAATCTCAGATCCTTCGAGCGACAAGTACAGATTCAAAGTCTATAGGGGAACATCTTGCTGCTGGAGCTGGCACTGTGGCAAGAGGCTAGACCTTCGTGTTGGAAGGCTCGGCCACCGATGGTAACACAGAGTGGCCGGGGAACAAGCAACAGGTCCAAGTTAGTTCTTCAAATATTTTAAATATGAGATAGAATTGCATAGACCGTACAGCAAATCAGTCCAACTTGTCCAACTTGAGACAGGAGCCTCTCAATCTTCTCTCCCACACCACTCTATAATAATTCTTGCATTTGATATAGCGCTGTATCACATCTTTGAGATGTCTCAAAATGATTCACGTTGACTGTGTATTTCGTGTGCAAAACTGTTCCCTTCTCAGTCCCGGTTTTGTTATATTTTCCTGCCTCCTGTTATTCTTCCTATTCTAGTGGATAAAGAAATCGTTCTGGGCAGAGTTACAAACCTCAGGGCAATTCAAATCGGGGGCAATCAAATCCGGCTGGAATGGACAGGAGTGTCAAGGGCCACAGAGTACAAGATCATATGGCGGAATGCTGAAGGTACGTGAGATAAGAATACCAGCGGCGCAGCTCTGCACACCCATCCCATCTCTGAAGATTCGGGCACGATTTTGTGACTTTAAAGTCCCGACCTGGAGCTTGGAACCTACAACCCTCTTACTCGGAGGCGATAGTGCTACCAACTGAGTCAGGCTGACGCTCAGGGTCAAGGCATTGACAAAAGGCACAAAGTTCTGTGTGTTGTTTAGTGGGGCGGGGAATGGGTGGAGGTGGGGCACGGGGAGGGAATCCCAAAACTAAACAGTTTGTTTTCTCCTCAGGTTATGAAATTACCCGACTTGTATCTAAGGACGTGACCACCTTTGTCATTGATCGTTTGCAACAAGGTGGCCCCTACCTCATCAAAGTGTTGCCGCTGTTTGGAAGCAGAGAGGGCAGCTCTACGAGTATTAGCGTACGAACAGGTGAGCATGTACACTGACTGAGCCAGCAGGACCTTTATTGGTTAAGCCAGCCTTTTCTTTTTGTTTTGTTTAGTTTTTTTTCGGCACGACTGTTTGCAGGACACTGCTGTGCGCAATTGGCTGCCTCATCTTGCCCATGAAATACGCAGTCAGTCCACTTTACAGTATATTCTGTGGAGCGCTTTGAGACGTCTCAGCAATGTAATAAAGGCGCTACATCAAATGTAAGGATTATTATTATATTTATCGTTTTAGAAAGTGGAAACTCATTATAATAATAATTAATAATAATAATAATAATCCTTGCATTTGATGTAGAGCTTTATCACGTCATTCCCACCACTTTGGGATATCCTTCCGATGTGAAAGGTGCCACATAAATGCAATTTGTTGCTGTTGTTGCTGTTCTTACGTTTCAGGTTCCTGTTATAAAATAAAGCTTCTGATATCTTTTTTAAAGTTCATTTCTAATGTCATACTATTCTCTCATGTTATTACTGTATATTATATTATTATGTTCTCTGGATCAGCCCCTTTACAGGTCCAGTGGAGCCCCATTATCACACAGTATTTGGGATCCCCCAAAAAACTAACTCGCGCTGTAGCAAAGCATACATAGGCGGTTTCGACCCATCCACATGACCAGCTAACTCGCTCGATATGTGACTAAAATAAAAGGGTCTGACCTCCGGGTCATCCGGTCAACAACAACATCACGTCCTGTTTATTGCACAATGTTCACGAATCTAAAAATATTCCAAGGTTCCACTTGCGATTGCAATTTAAGGCTAATTTTTCGAAACAATATTTCCTTCTTTTTCCCATTTGGCCCAATGGAAGACATTTCGGTGGGACAGGTGAGTGACCTGCGGATTCTGGAAACGAGAAGCAACTGGATTCGGATAACCTGGATCAGAGCGCCTGAGGCAACGGGTTACAGGATCACCTGGAAGCTTGCGGACGGTAGGTCTATTGCTGTTCAAACCGTTTAAGGCTTGGAGGTAACATTTTACATTGCTTTAGCCAGAGGTAGAGCATTGAGTGTTCCAGCCTGCGTGTCAATTCCCCAAAAGACCCCTCAGACACAGCTCCCTTTCGTCACAAAACTCCCACATCCTTTTAACTTTCAGGGAACTTTCAGGTCTTTAATGAGGAAGTCCATTATTGCTGTGGGCTATTGTACAAAACACCAAACTACCTCTCGTTCACTGCTCCCCAAATTTATCTGCATTTATGCTCGGTTCCTCTTTTTTTGCTTTGGAATGTTACACCAGAAAACTGAATCCTTTCCTATTTCAGGTATCCGGTAACAGACCCTACCTACGGAGGTGTGTGTGTTGAAGGGAGGGGGTTCTCAGTTGAAATGATAGCCATTGAGGTACTGGGACTGGTGATTGATTTGCACTGATTAAGATTATTGATAATTTGCAAAGTTATTGATCATTTCAGCACATTGTTATTAAGGTAACACTCCAGTGTAATGCCGGTTGGGGATGGAGGGTTGGTCGCTGAATTGTTGTATCTTTCAGATGAGACGTTAAATAAAGGTCCTTTCTGCCTGTTCAGGTGCAAGGTAAACATCCCATGGTGCTACTCAAAAAGAGGAAGTAGTTTCTCCCTGTGTCCTAGCCAACAATCCCCAAGATAAAAGTGGTCACTCACTTCAAGGCTGTTTGTGGGACATTGCTGTGTGCAAATTGGTGCAAAATTCAGTCACTACACTTTACAGTAAATCTTATTAAGGGCTCATTGAAAATTTTAAAAAATGCGAGGATTCTTGTTTCTTTAGGGAGAGAGGAGAGCAGAGTAGTGAGCAGCAGCATCAACACGTTCGATATCAAACCCTTACAATCCGACACCATGTACTTGATCGGGGTGGCAGCAATGGTGGGAAACCAAGAGGGACGTCTCATCACCGTCCCCGTGAGAACTGGTGAGAATTTGACATCCTTTGACATTGTGTCTAATGTAGAAGACTATTAACCACTGCTTGTGATAAATGACTGGAAGGACACCTCACTATTTCTCCGCTGGCCTCTCAATTGAAATGACTGATAGTCACTGCTCTACTGAAGATGGTGGTTGATTTGCACTGAAATCCCATAGCGTAGTGGTTAGCGTGCTTGCCTCGCAAGTGAGAGGCCCAGGTTCAATTCCCAGGCTGGGCGACACCTTAGGCAAGTCTCCTTAACCCTCTTGCGACTGTTTACCTCGCAGTAAGTAGGAACCCGGTTGTTAGTTGATTGGCGGATCTCTTTCCAGGGTAATAATCCCTCCCCACCCCCCCCCCCCCAAAAAAAGTGGTCACTCAATCCACGATTGTTTGTGGGACACTGCTGTGCGCAATTGGCTGCCGCATTTCGCACACAAGTTACAGTCAATCCACTTCGCAATATATTCTGTGAAGCACTTTGAGACATGTCAATGACGTGATAAGGCGCTTATCAAATGCAAGGATTATTATTATTATCCTCCTGAAGGAGTTCACGGACCACCTGTGTTATATACAAACACGGGCTATGGTGAGGCTAGTCATAATGGGGTTGTCCTGTATCTGATGAGTTCGGGCACTTTGCTGCTTCTCGCCAGCTTTGTGAAAATTAAGACCAAAAAAAACCATAGGGCAGGACCTTTGTTGAGCTGGTGCTTCAATTACAAAAGAGCACAAGCCTGGTCCTCACTGCAGATGGAGCCACAGGGCCATTTCCATCTCTGAGGATGCGTTGACTTTTATAACCAAAACCTTTGTTCTCTTTCACTAAGGTCTTCCACCGGAAGGAGTGAACAATTTAAGGGTGACTAACCTACGAGTGACTGAAACCGGATTTACACGTATCCGGATAGAGTGGGACAGAATTCCCAGGGCAACTGGATACAGACTCAAGTGGCGGGGCTCTGATGGTAAGTTGGCTGCTTTGCCCTCAGCTTGGAGTTTGTGGTGTCCTTTTCCTACAAGGTTGCACACTGTTGGAAAGATTATCTCCCCCAAATGTATGTCGTACTGTAAAATATATCTAGTTGTGTGAGCTTCTCGATCAAATAGGTTCAAGTGAGGAATGAGGCTTTTTTCATGTGGTCTTATTCTACATTTTTAGCTTTCAGTCCACCTCAATCCACTTGTACTATTATTCGCTCCGTTCTAGGTTTTTTCATCTATTTCCAAGCTTGGCCTTACCTATTCTCCATTGATTCTAGCTACCCCTAAGAAGCTCAATCTCCTCGGCTTGACTGCGTCAACTTGCTGCTCGCTGGGCTTCCCAACTTTTCCCTCCACAAGCTGCAGATTATTCAAAATTCTGTAGCTCGTTGTCCTCTCCCATACCAGGCTCCGTGAACCAATCACCCCTGTTCTTGCCCATCTTCACTGGCTCCCCATCCCGCAGAAAATTGAGTACAGAGCCCTCGTCCTCACCTTCAAAGCCCTCCATGGTTTTGCACCCCTCTACCTCTCCGACCTCCTAACCCCGTATCAGCCTGTCTGCTCCCTCTGCTCGGCAGGCACCGGCCTGCTTCAGGTCGCCTGCTCTTCCCCCCCACTATTGGCGGTTGGGCATTCAGCATTTCTGCCCTCACATTCTGGGACTATCCCGCAATCCCTCCACCTCACCTCTCTTGCCTCCTTCAAGTCCCATCTAAAGACCTTCCTCTTTGACCGGCCACCCTCCCAATCCCACCCCCTCTGCCCTCCACCCCTCCTGACCCCAACTCCCAGCTTGGGTCCAAAAAACCATGACTGTCCTCCTGATGTGAAAGACGCTATACAAATGTAATTTGTTGTTGTTGTTCTTTTCAAACTGATGGTATCCTGCACTGGGAGACTTGGACCTCGCTGTTCGCAATGACAAGCTGGTTAAGTTACAGTAGTTGCCCTCAATGCACACTCTGGGAAATCCACAGCCTCGGCTCTCACCAATCTGTGCCTAATACTTTCTAGACATTGGGTGAGCAAGTCATTTCACTGGAGTCAGTGAGCACTCCGTTCCAGACATGCAAATTTTTTGTGCTTACGTGGATTCTCTTAAAAACACGGTGATAGATTTCTGTGTGTGTTGGACACCCATCGGACCAAATAAAAGGTTATTTTAAGTAAGACAAAAGGTTCGGATCAACGCAGGACACAAAATGTGAATGTACTGACGTCAGAATCTCTCCAGTGGATTTCTCCTCTGCTTTACAGGATCTGTGGGGAATAAAGCTGTGAGCAGCAACATTGCACTGTCTGATATTGACGGGTTACAGCCTGATACTGTATATACCGTCGAAATTTCAGCAATGGTAGACAATAATGAAGGGAATCCCACTCGCACAACTATCAGAACTGGTAAGTAGGTTGCCAACCAGGTTGCTCTCAACATTGGGTGGGGAGACATTTGTTAAGTAATGTAATAACCCTTGGTGCCTTCATTCAATTTGCATTCATTATGTTTGCTTTGGAAGCAAGGCAGCTTCCTCTGGAAGTAGTTACAATATTTTTTTGTTATTTTGTTTCTTTTCCACTTGCAATCCCCCACCCTCACACAATTACAAGATTAGTTCAGATGAAGAAGGCCCTTGGGCCCATTTGATATCATCCTTCCAGCATTTATACTCTATCGTCCTCCCATCACAGCATTGAGTGACCGATTGTGAACGATGGGGTGGTTGTGTTTGGTACTTTGTCCAATGGCCGTGTGAGTCCGGACAGTGGCTCAGGCCAGCCCATCCGACTATGGGTGGGTGGGGTGGAGGGGGAAGGGTGGAGGAATTGAGCCCAACCCTGGCCTCGCCCAACATATATGCACACTTTGCAGGGATAGTGATCAAGGGAGGTGGGTGACATTTTTTTGCCCACTTTCTTCCTTAAGCCTGTTATTGCTGAAGTCAGTTGTAACTCCTCACTTCTGACTCGGCTGAGCACGTATTACTGTAATATCTTGAACTTCTTCTTGAACATCCAGCTGTGGGAGGGGTGACCAATCTCCAAATGGTTGAAGTTCGAGGAAGCCACGTTCGGATATCGTGGACCGGAGTGGGCCGAGTGTCTGGGTATAGAATCACATGGAGACGTCCTGATGGTGGGTGGAATATCTTGTTGACTATGTGTCTAGCTGATCAAGTCACAATTTAAGTGGACTTATTGCTGCAGTTGAAGCAGAAACCATCAATGTATTTAGGCGTCAGCCTGGCTCAGTCGATCGCACTTTCATCTCTGAGACAGAAAGTTGTGGGCTCAAGCCCTAGGTCAACCTTATGACCCAGAGATGAGAATTGCTACTATTTGAGCCAGATTGAGACCTTTGGTTCTTTGGATGGAAAAGTGTCCATTTTCTTAATTTCTATCCGTCCTTCGGACGAGATGTTAAACTGAGATCCCATCTGCCTGTCCAGGTGGACATTGAAGGTACCATGGCACAAACAATCCCCCAAATAAAATTTGTTACTCACTCCTTGGCTGCTTGTGGGACCTTGCTGTGCTGCACGTTTCGCCCGCCCAACACGCAGTCACTCCACTTTACAGTATATCCTGTGAAGCGCTTTGAGAAGTCTCCATGACCTGATAAGGCACTATATCAAATGCAAGGATTATTCTTCTTATTATTTAGTTTTTATTCTGGTTTCTTTGGTTGTGCAGGGGTCAAGGACAGCAGAACAGTAGACAGAAATATCAACACCTTCAGCATTGAAAGGTTGGAGCCTCAGACAGTTTATGCCATCAAAGTCATTCCGCTGTTTGGGAACCAAGAAGGTACCCCTGGCACCCTTACTGTGGAGACTGGTAAGTGTTGACTCTGAGGCATTGATGTTTAGAAATGGCCGAGTAAATAGTTTATTTGGTTGATCGTAAAATTGTTCCTTTAATTGTATGATAAACATTTTCACCTGGGGACAATTTTGCCGCATTGTGGAACATGTCCCAAATTTTAAAGAAAAAAATTGCTGTGTTCAATCATTTGGGGGGATTTTTCTCTCCATCGGTGAATGCCTCTCTGCTCCTTGTCCTCAGCCTCCTCATTGCTGGGGTACGATGGGTGGGCAGTGTTTTGCCCCTTGCCCCCAAGTGAATGTTGTTCACGGGAGCCTTGGTAGTGAGTGTCGTCCGGCCACTCAAATATGCAGGGCATCACACCCAAGCCTAACCTCTCCCCACTCAGCTGCCACATACAAGCGCGTACACATGCATAACCAGTAGAGGGTGCTCTAAAGAGACCAGGCTGGTACCCCCCCCAGTTGGTACCCCCCATCCCTAACCCAGAGAAGGTCGGGGTCAATTTACCTTCTCCATACAGTCCGACTGAGAACAGCAAACTGCAGGATTCGAACCGGGGTGCACTGATCTCTAAGCGGCAACTCCATCCATCACGTTACACCATCAGCGCTGGTCCAAAATTCAATCTAAAATTTTCTTTAAGAGTTTTTTTCCACAGCTCTTTTTAAATGTAGGTCTGAAATTGTAAGACCATGACCAGTCACAGGCTAAAGACTGTGAGGGATTTCAGGTCCGTGACATCTACGGTTCACAATGTTGTTTTGTCTATTATAGCAACAGCCAATAGGTTCAATATACAAGGCGTCAGCAGTGTCCGAGTTCTTGAAGCTCGCAGCGATGTCCTCCGTGTGTCCTGGGTCGGTGTACGAGGAGCTACAAACTATAGAGTGAGCTGGAGACGCAGTGATGGTAGGTTCCTCTCATTGAATCACGTACTTTGGCTTCAGCAACCAGTTTCATAATTTTACCTTTTGATGAGTTTTGCTGTTTACATACAGAGTAAGATGGAGTCCTGAAGCTTAGTGGTTAGAGACTTGCTCTGGTTAGAGCATTCTCCTTGTAGGTGAGAGGACCTGGGTTTGATTCCTGGGCAGAGCGAAACATTGGGCAAGTTTCCTTAATTTAAATTTTTTTAAAAAAAAAATTGGTTACTCAATCCACGACTGTTTGTGACACATTGTTGTGCACAATTGGCTGCTGCGTTTTGCCCACAAAGTAGACCGTCTATTCACATACAATGTATTCTGTGAAGCACTGTGATGTGATAAGGCGCTATATCAGTCTACACTGATGCTCCAGGGCAGTGCTGGGAGTGTGCCTCGTTGTCGGAGGCACTGACATTCAGATGAGACCTTAATAAGCCCTTAAAGATCCCGCAATACTATTTGAAAAGAGAAGGGAGTTTCTCCTGGAGTCCTGGCCAACAATCCCTCAGATAAAATTGATCACTAACCTCATGACTGTGTGTGGGACATGGTTGTGTGCAAATTGGTAACCACGTTCACCTACAAAAATATAGAAAGTGAAAAAGTGGATCTTTCTGTCAAAATCTGAGTTTGAATCAAAAAACATCAATGTATTTAAGCGAAAGCTTGCTGCATACATAAGCGAGTAAGGAATAGAGGAGAATAGGCCAAGAGAATAGGAGGGATGGAGGCTTCTGTGGAGTATAAACTCCTGCGTGGACCAGTTGAGTCAAATGGCCTGTTTCCATTGCTGTGTCATTTTATGTAAAGAGCTTCAGCTTGGGTTGAACTTACAAAGAGTTCTAACTTTCAAAAGTACTTGTTCTGTTATTGGTCGACCAGTTGCTTAGCACTTTCAACTACTATTTTTGTTTCAATAAAAAGTACATTTGAATCAAATTTAAGCTTTCAAAAACACACTGCAGTTGAGCCGATCTCTGATCTTAGCCAATTGGTGAGTTTAACTTTGCGAATCGTCTTTGCCTTGTCCGCAGGTGGCGCTGAGACCAGCAGAGTGGTGCCTGGAGATATCTACACGATCGACATTCCGGGGCTGGAAGGAGGAGTCAGTTATACTGTGAAGGTTGTTGCTTTGATTGAGAATCGCGAAGGAGCTCCTGTCACCATCACAGCAACCACTCGTAAGTGACACACCGCAGTGTCAGTGTCTCGCTTCTTTTATCAATAATAAAATCTTTTTTTTAAACTCTTAAAAGATGGTAAACTTCCAGCTGAGAGGCCCACCTCTTATAACCCCGTGAGCTTTGGGTTATCTGGTGTTGTCACTAAAGGCTTGTGGGGAGAAATTCCAGCCTGGTCCACATTTACTCTTATTTATGCAGCAATTTGGTAAATTCTTTCATTTCACTTTTAACCTCATTCATTAAAATAAACTTTACAGAAAAATGGCTTCAGAACTACATCTGTACTTAAGAATTGCCAAAATTCTGGATCTCTAAAATGTCTCGTAGATAAAATAAATCCAGACCCATGTGGAATTTCTCTCTCCGCAGATAAGTGGGAAAAGTCCCGATTGTTTAAGAAATGAGTTTAAAGTGTTATTCTTACAGACCTATTGATACATAGTGGATAATGAGGCCAGATAAATAGAATTGTTCAAAGTAGAATTGGTCAAGACCCTCAACAGCTAAAACACTAAGGGATTATGGGGAGAGAAAACTGGAACGTGGGATTCATTAAAACAACACATGTATGTGAAGTAGCACTGAGATATCATAATGTGAAGCCTGCTGTGTGTCGGGTGTCTTGACACTTGCGGAGACACATCACCGTCCTTAAAAATATCCAAACCAAACTGAAACTTCCATGTATGCATGCGACCCACACATAGAAAGCTCTCTGTGTTTGGGATGGATGCAATCTCTCCCTCGAGGGACACACTCTTCCAATTCCAGAGAGTCATATGCACAGGTTGGTGAGAGCCAAGGATAACTACTGGTAGAGATAACTACTGGAATTTAACCAGCTCAAACCGTGTGCTATTGTGAGCACTGTCTGGCAAGTTTCCTGCTGCTTCTCCAGCTAGCCTCATCTTTCCCATTCAGCCTTTGGCTTGAATCACAGCATTCAGTACTTACCCTAAAATATTGAGTTAAATCCACTCTTTGGACAACCAACTTAATATTAACCAGTGTTAAGTTGAACCACATTAATTATTCTTCACTTACAAAGCTCATTTGGTTTAGGGAAAGAGCAGGGAATCGGGGTCTGAGTATCTGAGGTTGTGTCATCTGACTGTTCTTCTATTCTTCTGTTAATTTCTGTGATTCAGGAGGCAGTGGAAGTTTGTGGGTGGTTTCAGCCTTTGGTCTGTCTCTGTGTAAAGATGCTTTAAAGGATTGTTTTCTAGTTTGCTTGTCCAGTTTGTTTTATTTGTGACTTCTTTCCATTTGTCTGCAATACTTGCTGGTTTTAATGTTGAAATTTCAGCCTCTATTGACCGTCCTGTGGAAATTGTTAGCAACCTGCGGGTCATTGGTTCATCAAAGAGACAGATTAGGATTGCCTGGACTGGAGTTAGCAGGAGCTCAGGATATAGGATCTACTGGAGATTAGCTGACGGTATGTAACATACTCTGCTATTCCAATCTTAGTGATTACCAACTCAGCAATGTGGTCCTACTTCCTGCCCACTTCCTCTCCTCCCCCCAACTCAGGTCTGCTCCTGTCTCCACCTCCTCTACACTACCATCACCGGGCAAGCTTCCAACTACTTTACCCTCACCTCCCGTTCTTTGGTACTTTCCTTAAATTCATTCAACTTGTTTCACTCCTCTCTGCTTCCCATACTCATTTAAAAACCCTATCCCTTTGACTATGCCTCAATCACCTCCCGCCTTCCCAGCCTACAAGGTCTCCCATTCCATCTCTGAAGACGTTGAGATACTCTCAAATTTAAAAAGTGTTGTATACGTCCAGGGTGTATCGAGTCCACACAATGTGATCAATTCAGATCAAAGAGCTATTCAGTTTCCTATCCAACAATGGCCCGAATAAAATTGGTCATTCAACTCCATGGCTGTGTGTGGAACTTTCTATGTGCAAATTGGCTGTCAAGTTTCGCTGCAAATACAGTCACTACACTTCATGGTAAAATCCTGTGAAGTGCTTTGAGATGCATCGATGGCATGATAATGAACTTTATCAAAATGCAAAGATTATTATTAATTCTGTAATCAAATTGTCCTTTTCCCCACTGGCAGGAGGCTCAGAGTTCAATAGTGTGGTCCCACCAAATGTTAACTCATTTGACATTGACAATCTGAAAGCTGGAGAGAGATACATCCTAAGAGTCTCCTCAGTGTTTGGTAACCGAGAGGGAACTCCTGCTTCAATCACAGCCACTACGGGTAAGGGGCATTTGGTCACTTTTTCTTAATAAAACATAGCTTCTGCTTAATTGCGTTAATATTTCAATTCAAAATCCTAGTGGGGATAGATGTTCAACCTGGAGCTGGATTTGCCCAGAGGATTTCAGATCATCTAGAATTTGGCATTTTGTTGAGTTCAGTCATTCAAACAGAACCTTTGTAATGTATGAAGGAAATGAACAAATTAGTCTGTTAGTCGGACTAAGATGATATTGCTGCAAATTACTTGGTTTTGAATCACTAACTAAAAGGCACGTGTCAGCCTGGCTCAGTTAGTAGTACCCTCGCCTCTGAGATAGGAGGTTGTAGCCTCATATAGTCTAAGTTGACACTCGAAATCTCAGGGTGTGCTGCATGTTTTAAAGTATTAGTCCTTTAGATCAGACATTAAAACAAAGTCTCATCTGTACCTGTTCAGGTGGACGTTAAAGATCCCATGGCACTATTCGAAAAGAGAGTTCTTCCCCAGTGGCCTGGTCAACAATCCTCCAAATAAAATTGGTCATTCTGATTGTAGGACATTGTTGTGCATGAATTGACTGCGGAGGTTGGCAACAAAATGCACTGTCACTACATTTTACAGTATGTACTGTGACTGATGCGAAAGGTATTGTATCAGATGTAAGGATTTTTTTTTCATGTGTTTTACATGTAGCTCAGGCTGAGCAAGTGCTTGGATTCCGAGTCATCGGCTCTGACATGGGCAAAATGACAGTGGGGTGGAATCTGGTCTCTGGAGCTACGAGCTATTTGCTCTCCTGGAGATTCGATACAGGTAAGGACAAACCTCCCGCCCACCTTCACCATCAGTTTGTAGGAAGTGAGGGTTTGAGACAACAGTATTTTGGGTTCATTCATACTCCTATCCGGCTCGGGCAGATTGAGCGAGGCCCAATTATCGCTTGGCTGTTCTGCGATCTTACACAAAATTAGGGTTGAACAATTTTGCCCCCAGGTCACTTGCTTTACTGGCCAAAGCAATCTGATATTCAGATGGCTAAACTTGTCTTTGCCTTGTCAGGTGGATATTAAAAGGTCCTGTGGTACTATTCAAAAAGAGAATGTTTCTTCCAATGTCTTGGCCAACAGTCCTTCCTAAAATTGGTTGTTGATTTTATGGTCGCTTGTGAATCTTTGCCTCATGCAAATTGCTGCGTTCGACTACAAAATACACAGTCACTGCATTTTACTGTGAACCCCATGAAGCTCTTTAAGATGTTTGTCCTGCATAAAAGGCCCTGTGTTAAATGTAAGGATTATTATTACTATAATATACGCAAGGCTATGCAAAGCTGTGCTCACATGATGGAGCTGGATGTTTTTGGCAGATATCTTATTGCTTTGCATCCACTTTGCATTGGAGCCCAATCTGGATATATGAACGTACGAAAAGTCGGCATGTAAATGATGAACATTCTACTACAAATATAGTCTTTTTGAGACACTTTGATACTCAAGTACAAGGATTATTATTTTTATATTATATTATGCTCTTCAATTAGAAGCAAAGACCTAGTACTGAGCAATCATCTGTAATAGGGTATTGGTTCCTCTGAAGAGTTAACTGGTTGATCTTTGTTCAGTGACACCCTTCAGAGCTAATGTATTAATGTTGCAGCACAAAAGGAACAGCAATCGGTCACAATACCAGGGTCGATAGCTTCATATCAGATTCCTGATTTAAGCCTCGGACATCAGTACATCATAACCATCAGACCGGTGTTTGGAACAGAGATTGGACCAGAGACATCCATTGCAAAAAGACCTGGTAAGAACATGTGGTTATAGCAACACTGGGGAGATGATGATCAGGTAGGATAGAGTTGGTAAATGATTAGAAATACTTTCCTTCTTAAAACTGGGCAGCAATTCTTTCCACTTGGCTCCTACAAGTCAAAGCCTTAAAGATTAGGGTAGTCCTAGCTGGACAGGCAAACCTCACGGCCAGTATTCACAGTGGGAAACTATGTGGTTTGAGCTGGTTAAAATACAGCTATCCCCCAATTTAACTCTGACATTCCCAAATCTTAGCTCTTGATAATCTGCACCTAATCCATTTCTGGGAGTAGGTGAGTAAGGTGTGTCCCTCTAGAGAGAGTGCACCTTCCATTCCATACGAAGGAAATTTAGTGGAACAAATTGTGTAAGATGAGGTATAGGTTTCCAAGATCTTTGGACAAAGAAGTTCCATTGACCCATTCTATCTCATTCTACCTAATTACATTCTCTATCTTCTTCCCATAATAGCATCAAACTTAAATGAACACATAAATGACTTGGTTTATTCCACCGTGGTCTTTGCCTATAAAATACACAAGTCACTGCACAATAAATCCTATGAAGTGCTTTGAGATGTCCTCCCGACACAAAAGACGCTATATCAAATGCAAGGATGATTAGTATAGTTAAGTATATGAGATCCTATAAAATAGGCAGTTTGGAAGTGCCAACTGATCGTATCTTGTGCTTATTATTACTTCCAATATTCTTGTCCTTTACTACACTGAGCTTGTGAGCTTTGTGTCAACTACTTATGCTTGGTTACAGGGTGCAGCATGGCACAGGCGGACATTGTGTTTCTGGTGGATGGCTCCTGGAGTGTGGGCCAGGCCAATTTTGACAAGGTCAAGCAGTTCTTGTTTAACTTGGTGTCACAGTGGTCTCGCATTGGGCCTACTGGTACTCAGGTAGGGATATACCTCACTGATACTGTTACCTGTACCAGTCTTTAACAAGTAGATTTCTGAATACCAAAGGGCATCCATCTGGGCCCCAATAAAATACTCTGTGCTGAATTTGCCAATTCGTTCGATCCGTGGCGTTACTCTTTAGCGGTGAGGTTAACTAGTGATAAATAACATGCAGCAGTAATGAATGAGGTGCACATTTTGGAGTCTGCTGCTAGTACAAGCAAACATCTTTTAATGGGAAATCCCAAAGTAACAGGACTTCTGAGTTGGTGGTCAGTGGGTGATAGTCACTTTGGATCTGTTGTTTGGCACTATTGGAAAAGAGAAGGGAGTTTCTCCTAGTGACCTGGCTAACAATCCCCCAAGTTAAACTTAGTCATTCACTTTACGACTGTTTGTGGGACATTGCTGGGTGCAAATTGGCTACTGAGTTCACTTACAAAATACACAGTCACTGCATTCTGTGGTAAATCATGTGAAACTCTTTGTTGTTTCGACAAAGTGCTAAAGCCTGATAATGTGAGGATTGTTGTAATAATTCAATGCAACCCCATTGGGATAATTGGGGATTTCCACATCAAAGTTTCAAACATGAGCCTTTCTGAGTTTGACGGCCTTTCAGTTTCATACTATAGGATTTCTTAAATAGAGAACTGTAGAGACTTGGAAATTGGGTTGATAGGCCAGTTTCACTCTCCTCCAGCAAGGAGAGAAAAGTTCTTTGCATCAGTCCAGTCTGACTGTAGAAGCCATATCTCAGAGATATAAAACGGTCTGAAAATTTATATTTTAGACGATTTGCACCGATTCTGTTCAGTCAACATTGGTTTGTCTATTTATGTCCATCTCTATTTTCCAACCAGGTTTCAGTAGTGCAGTACAGTGATGCTGCTAGCATCGAATTTCCACTCAATAAATTCAGAACCCAGCAGGACCTACTCCGTGCCATCAGAGGGCTTCCATATCGGGGCGGAGGCACCATGACAGGTAGGGTTACCAATGACAAAAAACCTTCAGACACTTGAGGAGATAAAGGGATTTCTGTTCTCAGGTACAAATGAAATTTAAGTCTACAATAAAGTTCCTGTTCTCAGGTACAATGAAGTAGTGGCAGGACAATCCTATCAACTTGGATATACTAGCCTTGGAGCGGTTCAGTTATGGTTCACTAGATTGGCAGAGGGGGTGTGGTTCATTGCTTTGCATGGATGAAGTACCAAGTTCGTTTCTCGTTTGCACTTGAGAGGGATAAGCAGAGACTTTGGTATGAGAGATATTAAAGGGTATGGGAAAAGGATGGGATATTGTGGATTGAAAGAATTGCCTTGATCTAATAAACTGATGGAGCAGGTTCATTGTACAGAATGACCTTTGTCGACAGAGATGTATTTTCTCTTCCGTTTCTCGTCATCTAACTTCGCTACTAGTTCCATCAATGTCCTTTAGATTGCAATGATCTTCACTCCTTTTGCAGACCAATGGCTCAGCTCCTTGAACTCACCTGTGGACTTTGACAGAATCGGATTCCTTGTTTAATCAAGTTTGTTTGTAGCAACTTACCCTCAAAGCCAAAGCACTTACCATTGAAGGTCTTCAAGAATAACCCTGTCATAGCGTAACATTTCCCAAACTATTAGCGCAAAATGTATTTTTTGCATATTTGTTTTGACCTTTCTAGCATGTTTCTCTTCATTGCTCTCTATCATATTTCTGTGTACTTTTCCAGGCAAAGCGATAGATTTTGTACTGAGTTACATATTCCAGCGCTCAGCTGGGCAGAGATCCCAGGTCCCAGATTTGCTGGTTCTATTGACAGACGGAGGCTCTCAAGACAGCATTGTAGATGCAGTTAGAAGGGCGAAGGCAGCAGGTATTGTCTTTTTCATTTCTATTATTCTTCCCTAACTTTCACTTTTCTTTATCAGTTTGTCTCCCTCTCTCTTTCACCCCTCATCATTCTTTATTACAAGATCGTAAGATCAGTTTGATTGGAAAAAGGTCCCTTTGACCCATGTGATCTCATCCTTCCAGAATACCCACCCTGTCGACTTTGTATCACAGCCTTGAGCTGTTATTTAAATGTTATTTCTGGCCTGATCCACTTTTCCTGGTTATCCTGTTCTCATTGTCAATTACCCTCTGGGTAAAGAACTACTTCCTGGTGCCTGTCCTGAAATTGCCCTTTGCCACTCTTGACCTGTGTCCTCTTGTTCTACTGCCTTGGTAGATCTTAAAGTGTTGATCTAGGGTTTACGTTTTCCATCCCATTTAAACGTTGTATATTTCTATCAAGTCCTCTCTTAGACATCTACTTTCAAGACTGAAGAGCCCTATGTTGTCTATTCATTGCTCCAAGCTTCATTCCTCTAACACTTTGTTACTCTCCTCTGCACTGCCTCTACATTATGGGCTTGACCCTCTTATGTGGCAATAAACAAAACTGTATGCAGTTCCATCTCTCTTTCTCCCTCACCATTCACTCTCTCTTTCTCCTTTTCTCTTTCTCTATGGAATAACTTAACTCACACACAATCCCCCTTCAATAGGCTTCGTTCTACTGTGGCTTGTCTTCTTCAGACGGTGTTTCTGATTGGAACTTATTGAGACAAATGGCTGCTAACGTTTCAATTCCCTTTGCTTTGACGTCAGGCATATATCTGTACGCAGTAGGAATTGCTGAGGCTGATATCAATGAGCTGCGGACTATTGTCACTGACGGAGACCCCAGGAACATTGTCTACGCAGAGAATTTTAACTCATTGGCACAGTTTGAAGGAGCCCTCGGAGATGCGATCTGCACATCAGCTAGCCGGCCTAATGTAAGTGCCAAATGTACTTCAACACTTGGCTCATATTAGCAGAGACCCATAAGAGGAAAAAAAATGTTCTTAGTTATTCCCTCATTCTCCTTTCTGATTTGAACCACAACGTGCTGCCTCCCAACCCCCGCCCCCACCCCCTCACACACACCTATAGTTGTCAGGGATTCATTGACACCAACTCTATCATCACCCCTTTGCATCATCAAGCTGTTTCTTAGACAAGACCAGTGTTTTCTCTCTAACTCCTACCACCCTTCCCAATTCCTGGGTCACATGCCCAGCTCTTTCTTCTGGTGCAACACATTGGGGGTGGAGGGCGGGTGGGGAGCGAATAGGTTGAGATGCTTTCCAATCCTCGTGAGAAAGTGGATCCAGTATTGGGGGGAGTCTATGAAGATTTCCACCCAGAGTTTCACTGACCAACAGATCTCTGCCATTGTACTGTAAGTACATTGTTACTTCAGTGCAAGTAAAATCATTTGAATCTTTTTTCAGGTTCAACCTACAGCACCCTGTGGCACTAAGTGCCGAAAGGTAGGTACATGAAGGCTTTCTATCCCTGGACAAAGCTGGATTTCGAGATCCTTTGTCCAGGTTCATTAATGCCCAATCTAATAAGATCACATTCTCTCCAATGATCCATCTACTAAACACCCTCCTGTTCACTGAGACACCCCGTACTGTGATCATGACCTGGATAGGACACTGGAGCAAGGTGCTTGACATTGAGGGCGAGGGGTTTAACTGCTAATCATCTAACGGCAAAAACCCCTCTTCACACAAAGGTGATGGGTAATTACTCCAATTACTACCCGATTCCTGCCATTTGGTGGCGACAACACATAGAATACTCAACAGCTCAGTTTTTCCAAAGACTTCAGCAAGAAAATTGGTTCAACAATCATACTTTATGAGAGAAGAGTTCAGAAGCATAATAATAATAATACTTTCATTTGATATCGCGCCTTGTCACGTTGTTGAGACGTCTCAAAGCGCTTCGCAGAATATATTGATAAAGTATATAAAGTATATTGATACTTAGGACATTAGTGTGCTACTCACTAATGTATTAGTCACACACTGTACACTATTGTATGGTGAGTGGCACAGTGTATCCCAGTCAGTGTGACAATGAGTCCCAGTCGGTTTTGACACAGTAAAACATGCTGGGGATTTGCATGGATTGGAGGAGCTCAGTAACTACATGTCCAAGATGCTCAGAGCGTGCATCTATTTTAACTGTGACCAAAACAGCGCACATAACAAAAGCCAAATTAAATCAATATCACTCCCAACACCATGACCACCGTAACTCACTTCCCATATTATTCCTAATATAACTCCATTACCACATTATTCTACCACAACTCCATCTCACCCCTGCCGTAACTCTGCTACACATTGCATGCATAATGTGGTGTCTCAAACTTGTTGCAATGCCTGACTGTTCTTTCACTTGTTGATTTGGGGTGTAAAGTTTTGAACATCTGTAAAACGCTTCATTCTGTAACCAGATCACTGACACTCCAGGCATGTTCTGATTCCAGAAACGTTCCTAGGTTCTGTGTGTTCCAACAACCGGTTACTCCCGCCTGTACCAAATGCACAGAAAATATAACATGCTTTGTTGCTGTCTCCTCAGGGTAAAAGAGGCAGAACTGGGCCTCCGGGACGTGATGGAGAGGCTGTGAGTATTCTCTTACCCGCACAAGCAGTTTCTCAAAGACTTTTTAAGTGTAGCGACGGTTAAATTGGAGAACTAATCACACTCGCACGTCTCAGCGGCGAGAGGAATCTGCGTGGTTGTCATGTTAACGCCTGAGTTTCACCTCTTCATTTGGTGCCCCCATAAGTATCTAGCTGAAGGTGGCCTCCAATAACAATTGTATAGAGCCTTTCACGTCATGGATGACTCTTGCTTCCCACTCTCCAGGACCCCCACCCCCACCCTGATGATTCACAGTTCAAGGCTATGTGTCGGCCTGCCTCACCACTTCCGCCCCTGAATCAGAGGCTGTGGGTTCAAGCCCCACGTTGGAAATTTGAGCTCACGGCACTGGATGGCTGCTGCATTGGCATGGGCTGTTAGTCAAGTGAACCGGGATTGTGATGGGATGTGATCTCATTTCTGGCACTCGCTGTCTTAGTCCTGCTACTCCAGTGGACCCCTCACCTTGAGGTGTCACGGCTCAACACCCAAGGGTGAAAGTGGAGTGGAGGAGATCATAAATAATTGGCTTGTGGAAGAAACTGCAAATTTCTGATACCAATATAAACTTGCTTCCATTCAATTCCAGTGAATTCACAATGAACAGAAGAGCTTGTGTGTAGCTGTGAGACGAAAGCAGGGCTGTATTGTTTTGGGGGGGTTTATCTGTTGGTGTCTTCCTTTGCCAGGGTCGGCCAGGCTTGCCAGGCCCCCAGGGACCCCAAGGCCCAAGCGGACCCCCGGGATCTCCAGGGAGACCTGGGGTCATCGATCCCAACTACCCAGGATTGAAGGGGCTAAAAGGGGAACGGGTAAGTGCATTGTGATGTGAAACCACCTGCTGTAGAACTCCATTACTTACACCCTGTTATTGCATGAAGGGTGTTGTTCATAGCACATTTTCACCTGTGGAATTCTGGAATTTTCTCCCCCCAAAAAGCTGTAGATCCTCGTTCAATTGAAACTTTCAAGACTGAGATTGATAATTATTTGCTAGGGAAGGGTATCAAGGGATGTGGAGAAGAGGTGGGTAAATGGAGTTAAGGTACAGATCAGCTATGATCTAATAGAATGTTGGAACTGGCTCTAGGGGCTGAACAGCCTGCTCCTGTTCCTATGTTCCCAACAGAGATTCGCCTTTAGCACAATTGGGGTGTGGACCCTGAGATTTACTTACCCCCAAAATATCCAGCCAGAAGGAAGTGACATCAATGGCAACCTCATGATCTGGAACTCGGCCATTTTGGCTTCCCCGCGCCAGCTGGTGTTTTGAAGCTCTCTCGCTGCGCATGTACTCAGTGAATGAGGAAGTCCTGCCGGGAACTCGTGCTCCAATATAAGGCTGACTGGGATTTCATGGACGCCCGAAAGCTCCTATGTTATGACAGAGCTGCACTCTGAATTCAATTTGTGAAGTGAGCATTTTAACAAGCTTATTGAGTGGGGATAAGTAACAGAAACTTATCTGCTTTCCAGGGATACCCTGGGAGAGATGGGGTACCAGGATCCCCAGGTTCAGTTGGCATACCGGTAAGTAACACAGTAGCGAGCGGCAGGATCTTGGGTGGGGAAAGGAAAAGGAAATTGCAAATGTTCTTGACTGCCCTTAATTGATTCAGATACAGTAGACTCCTGATAACTCGTTACTCCAAAGGAAAAGAGCTCAGTGACTAGTTATCCAGAGTGGTGAGTTAAGCATATTTATAAATACATAAATGAATATGGCAGCATGGTAACTTAAGTGGTGGTGACACGTTAAACCAGGATTGAGTTATTGGGAGTTCAGTGTAGTTTTAGTAGCCTGGGAGTGAATTAACCCCACATTAACAATATATGTTGCTTTAGAATTTTCTTTGGTCAGCCGGGTGACTGACACGTGTGGAAACCCATCATCACCATGCTTAAGAGCATCCAAACCAAACTGTGTGAGAGTTCCACATGGAGATTTCCCCTGTGTCTGGAATGGAATGCAAACTCTCTCCCTGGAAGAACGGAGTCCTGTAGCTCAGTGGTTAGAGCACTCGCTTTGCGAGCGGAGAGACCTGAGTTCAATTCCAGGCAGAGGGCGAAACCTTGGGCAAGTTTCCTTACTCCACACAGAGCCTAATAAAAATCCCTCCAAAAAAACAAAACAATAATACATTGGTCATCTTCAATCCATGACTGTTTGTGGGGCATTGCTGTGCGCAATTGGCTGCCGCATTCGCCCACAAATATACAGTCAATTCACTTTACAGTATATTCTGTGAAGCACTTTAGGACGTCTAGAAGACATGAAAAGCGCTATATCAAATGCAAGGATTATTATTATTATTATTAACGCACCCTGCTTGTCTAATTCCAGAGATTGGATAAAGTAGACACTGAAGGACTGTTTCTCCTGGTAGGAGAATCTATAACCAGGGGTCACAGTCTTAAAATTAAGGGTCAGCGTTTTAGAACAGAGTTGAGGAAACATTTCTTCTCTCAAAGGGTAGTGAATTTATGGAATTCACTACCCCAGAAGGCTGTAGATGCTCAGTCCTTGAACATTTTCAAGGCTAAGACTGACAGATTTTTAAAATATAGAGGGATTAGGGGATATAGGGATAGGGCAAGTAATTAGAGGTAGGTCAGAAGATCAGCCATGATCTTATCAAATGGCGGGGCACAGGCTCGAGGGGCCCAATGGCCTACTCCTACTCCTGATTCTTATGTTCTTATGTAACAGACAAAGCTGGAGTTCACAGCTGGAGTTTTAACTAAAGCCATATAGCTTTTCACTGATAGCACTATCTGGGAAGCTTCCTGCTGCTTGTCCAGCTAGAACCACCCCAGATTATAACTAGCCAACAGCCGTATGTGATGGGTGATGGGCTTGGTGAGCAGGATTTCTGTTGCCACTGTTGATATCTGCTTTATGCTGTGTTAAACGTTGTACTTTTTGAATGTAGGGAAGACAAGGAGATTCTGGAATCCGGGGCACTCCAGTAAGTACAATAACTTACAAGAGCTACTTTTGTTTTGGAGTCTTGTAGTCACTTGATAGCCTATTTCGTTGCTGAGCCATCTTACTACGGGTGAATATCATGCGATCGTTTCCATGGTGACTGCATACTTCATCCTAACGTAGAGTGGAAAGCTCTGTACGTACAGTGCTCATTAATGGGACTTTACCGTAACTGTGAAGATTGTGGGGTAAAAATGAATGGATCTTATTGACATTGGCTTGAAGCAGACTGATCCGAGATGGAACACAGTTGGTAAATTGAGTGGAGTCTCAGTTACTGTTTGTGTGTCACTTTGTGGTGCCAGGTAAGGGTGGACTTGTTGAATGAAAAATATTTGCTTCCTATTCCAGGGACAACCCGGCATTCCAGGAGCCGCAGGTCTGAAGGGAGAGCGAGGCGAAAGAGTACGTACCTGCTGTGCTGTTAACAGATTGGGGAACTGGGATTGCTGCTGATTTTGAGAGTGCATATGGGAAGGGGGGGAAGCAGACAGAGGTTCTAGCAAAGAATACTTCAACCATTTGCCTGAAATTTCGTACATGTCCTACTCTATTTCCAATTATATGAATTTTATGACGCTTTGTTCTGTGCTCACAAATTGACATATGAATGTGTGGAACCATTTGATTAGATACAGGTTGGATCTCTCTGTTGCTGGACAAGCTCTAAGATTCTAAATGGAGTTGGGAAAGTCAAATGCAGAACAATGCTTTCAGATATGTCAAGGGAGCAGAGTAAGAAGGATACAGGTTTAGAGTTTACAAGGGACAATTTCAGGACAGATACCAGGAAGTATTTATTTACCTTAGAGGGAAGTTAACAACTGGAACAGGGTTACTAGGAAGGGTGGTTAAGGCTTGGACTCATTTAAGAAAGAGCTTGATGCTGTGATGGGAGGATGGGAGGTTGGGTGGAAGGATGAGATCAGGTGGGCTGAAGGACCTTCTTTGTCCAATCTATTCTCATGATTGTGTGATCTTGTGGGTTGAGTTTTGGGGCAGACGCAATCCAGTTTTGAGTGGGTTGCTAACCCCCCACACCACAAAATCTCTGCTAAATGGGTGTTTTTTTAATTAGGACACAGGACTGATGGAGAGAGATATCAAGATAGATCACTGGTGAAAGCCAAATGCTTCTCTGTGTTCCTTAGTACGTTCTGACATGAAAGGCACTTTACAAATCTAATTTGTTAAGGTGTGAAGGCACGTTATTAGGCGGCAGTATAGAGGGGAATCTTTGCCGCTGATGGAAAGAGGGCATGAAGAGAAGGAAAATATTTATGAATATATTGCTATTAAAATAATATAAAATATTTAAAATTCACCCAGTGCCTTGCTGCAGTGAACACACTTAACCAGTGCCCGCTGTTGCTTCTCTTTGCGATGGGAGCGCAGGGAGTGTGTTGGAGCTCGTGCAGTGCATTTGCTGGGAAGCCTTATTGAGAAGTGATCATTCAGGAAGAGTCAGGAAGTACAAGGGTTAAATTTGGGAATTTTGTTTCCTTTTTAGGGGGAACCTGGTTCAGTGATTGGTGGAGGAACAGGATTCCCTGGGAGAAAGGGAGAACCTGGTTTAAATGTAAGTAAAGATTCTCGTACTATAATAATATTAATAATAGAATTAGATTTTGTCAGCCGGGTGCCTGTCACATGCAGGGTCACCATTAGGGTGCTTAACAGTATCCAAACAAGATTTGAGAGTTCCACATCTCTATACCACTTACACATGGAAATCTTTCTGTGTTTGGAAAGGAATGCATGCTCTCTCCCTGGAGGATCCATCCTAATTGTCTAATTACGGAAGGTAATAGACTCCAGAGTGTGCTTTGGGATAACTGCAGGAGTTTAACCAGCTAAATCAGCATCGCTTTCCATTGAGAGCATTGTCTAGCAGACCTCCCAATGCTATCCAGCGAGGATTTCCCTACTCGTTAGGACTTGCAGGGCTGATGGGAGCCAAGTAGGAAGAATCCCTGTTTCCCGTGCCTGGTCTGCCTCTCCATGTCATCAGCAGGGCCCTGGAATAATAATAATTTCTTGCATTTGATAAAATACTTTTGGGCGTCCTCATATCCAGCCTCCACTACCACCCCACCCCATCTCCCACTCTGTTCAGAATTCCACTTGCCCCTGTGAAACACTCTGAGATGTTTTCCTGGATTTACTGTTACCGTCTTTGTTTCTCCATAGGGAGCTCCTGGCTTACCTGGTATTCCAGGTTTACGAGGAGAATCTGGAATACATGGACAACAAGGACCACAAGGTCCCACCGGCCCTGCAGGACCCCCTGGCAGATATGTCAAGGTGCGTATTGCAGCAAGTGAACCACAGGCTGATCTTGGTCTGAACGCTGTGGTCACGAAGCACATTGCGGTGAGATGGTAGCGGGATAAAACACTCTTGGAGATGGATTACGAGGTGCTTTTAAACAACCATAGAGGAAGGAGCGACATCTTTCTGTAATCTCTTGACTAGGTTTTGCTCAACGCCTCCTGCTTTGGGAATATTCTCTAGCTCATTGGAGTGTCAGATATCAAGAGCTGTAAATCACTGGGATGTCCGAGAGGCAGAGAGAGCTAGTTGCTGCAGTCTCACTGTTTGTACCATTACCAACAATGAGGTTTGTATGTATCAAGCCCAGAAGAATACTTCAAGGCAGCTGGACAAGAGGACACAGGCTCAAGCTGTGGAGAGCAGATTTAGGACGGAAGCCTGGAAGTATTTCTTTACATAGAAGGATAATTCACAGTGGGGTTGGGAAACCAGGAAGGATAGTTGAGACCAAGGATGATGGGTCTCATTTAAGAAACAGCTTGATGCCGTGATGGGAGAATGGTAGGGTGGGGATTTTGGAAGGCTGAGATCAGATGGGCCACAGGGCCTTCTTGATCCAAACATCTGTTGTGATTGAGCCCTTATTGTGCTATCTTTCTGTTGCAGGGAGAGAAAGGAGAACCAGGCGACAGGGTAAGAGAATTTCCATTTAATCTTTTGGTGTTTGACAAAGAGGGTTCCCCCTCAGGCTCCAGATCTGGTTTCTTGTACAACAGTCACCTTTCTTCACTGTCAAAGCCGAAACTCACTGCACCTAAAGTCTCCTACTTTTAACTCAATCATTATTTTCTTTGAGGACCTCAAGACTTCTCTCCCTACATTATAAAGACTTGGCATCACTCCAGTCTTGGGCATCCCCAGTTATTGCTTCTCATTCTATTCCACCTTTCCTCCATTCAGTAAACACCATTTGTCCCACTGTTGGTGGCTGAGCCTTCAGCCACTGTATCCCCGCTCTCTGGAACTCCCATTTCGGAGTCTATTTTCCTTGCGCCCAACCCTCTGCCTTCAAAATTGTCCTAAAGGCACTACATAAACAAAACATGCTGTTTTAACCCTGGTCCTGGCCCTGTGAATATTGGTCGTTTGCCCAGTTCCTGAATAGTAATAAAAAAAACTNATATGACAACGACGACAACTTGCATGTATATAACCTACCCTCACGCAGGATAGCGTCCCAGAGCGCTTGACGATAGCGGAGCCTGACGTCAAGCCGGGGGGAGGTGACCGTAGGCACGGTCGAAGAGGAAGGTCTTCCAGGTGCGGCCTGAGAATGGGAAAGGAGGGGCCAGGCGGAGGGATTGAGGGCGAATGATGCAGAGTTTCGGGTGTAGTGGCTTTGGCAATTCAGTTTCAAAGCATGAAGTGCAGTGGACTAGAGAAGCTCAGCAATGACTCGCCTCTCCTCCCGCAGGTTGTGGTGGGACCGGGCACTGAAGTTGCCATGAAAGGGGAGCGCGGAGACGCAGTGAGTATCACAACATCAGAATCCTACAGATTCCCCAGAGATACTTTGCCAGTGCTTACTTATTGTGGAGTCTGTAATATATTGGTTAGAGCCCTCAACTCGAAAGCGAGAGGACCTGGGTTCGAATCCCGGGCGGGGCGAAACCCTAGGCAAGTTTCCTTACTCCACGCAGCTCTATTTACTTAGAAGTAAGTAGGAAACTGCTTGTTAGTTGATTGACGGATCATTTTTTCCGGGGGTAATAATCCCGTCAAATAAAATAATGATAATAATTTGGTCACTTAATCCACGATTTGTTGTGGGACACTGTTGCTCGCAATTGGCTACCCACAAAATATACAGGTGTAGAATATTACAGCACAGAAAGAGGCCATTCAGCCCATCATGCCTGTGCCGGCTCTTTGGAAGAGCTACCCAAACAGTGCCACTCCCCCGATCTTTCCTCATATCCTTGCAAATGGTTCCCTTTTGAATGTTGTTATTGAATCCGTTTCCGCCACCCTTTCAGTCAGTGCATTGCAGACCATAACAACTCACTATGTATGTAAAAAAAAAATTCTCATCTCCGCTCTGGTTCTTTGGCCAATTATCTTAAGTCTGTGTGACCTACTGGCCAGTCAATTCACTTTACAGTATTCTGTGAGATGTCTCAACGACACGATGAGGCGTTATATCAAGTGCAAGTGGTACTGACGACGTCTCTTCTGCTTTAAGGGTCGTCCAGGGGAACCGGGCATCCCAGGGTCCAGGGGATCAACGGGGCTGACCGGCCAGAAAGGCGACAAGGTGAGAACTGATTCTCTTCAATTTCTGATTCCTCTTTGTCTGGCGGAGGTGAAAATTAATTCTGGAACCTTACGTGTCTGTGTTTCCAGGGCAACGCGGGCGAAGGTTTGCCAGGGGCGCCGGGACGAGCCGGAGAACCAGGTGACCGGGTTAGTCATCTAGAATATTCCGCGATTGTCGCACTCCTTTAGGGTGTAATGGATGAGGGAAAGCGGGACACATAGTGGGGGGCGGCTGTGGAATGACAGTGCTGAATGGGGGGAGGGGTTTCTCAACCGCACCAAACTCTGCACGTCCATCACCCCAATCCTCGCCATGCTCCCCTGTCTCTCAGCGGATCGACCCTCATGGTCCCGTCCCTCACATATCAATCCCTTCAGGACCTAGCACCTCCCTGACCTCCTCCTACCGCTCCCCTCTGCTAGGCCTACAAATGCGAAGAGTTTCCATTGGAAGTTTCACGATCCCTTACAATGTCTGAGCAATGGACAGTATCTCCTCTGTGGCCGAGCGTAGACCTTGCCATGAAGCCAAGCAAGGAGCAAACTGACATAGCCAGTGTTGCCTGATGGGCGGTGGGTTTGCTGGAGGCCTAGGGTCGGATTGCTTTGGTAACGTTTTGGGATATTTTTCCTGTTTTGTATGTAATTCATTTGAAATGTCATCATTTTCCAAGATGCTTAATCATGCTTAATTATCCACGATGCTTAATAATCGGTCACGCTCTCTACTTTTTGTTTTGTTGTCACAGTTTCTTTCCTTCCGATCTTGTGTTTCTCCAGTGTGTTTATATCCTGTGGGCTTTAGCTCCAGGCTATTAACAAACCTGTCTTTGGTCATTAATGTCTCATTTAGGGTCCCAGGGGAGCTCGGGGCGAGTCTGGTGACAAGGTACGTTTGTGATTATTGTTTAGAAATAGTGTTTTGTTTCTGTTGGAATATTGAGTTTAAATACTGAATTTATTTTCCTCCCCTCCTCTTCCTCTTGTCTCTTTCTGTCTGTCTCTATCTCTCTATCTCTGAATCTCTGTGTGTGTTTGTGTGTGGTCTGTCTGTCTCTTTCGGTCTGTCTGTTTCTCTCTCTCTGTCTTTCTCTATCTCTCTGACGCTGACTCTCTCTCTCTCGGTCTGCGTGTCTGTGTGTGTGTGTATCTCTCTCTGTCTGTCTGTGTGTGTGTCTGGGTGTCTCTCTGTCTGGGTGTATGTGTGTGTGTATGTGTCTTTCTCTGTCTCTACAGTGCTTTTCCGTAAACGGAAAATCTGTGATTGAGGTACTTGACAGACACTCTCTTTATTTGCTGGACAGGGCGACAGAGGGCAGACTGGTGAATCAGGTCCCCCAGGTCCAAGGGTAAGTGCTTCTCCTGCATAAATGTGTCTGATTCCCTTTGAGCAGTGACTGGAGGAACTGAACCTGTTTTCATTGAAACAGAGAGTTTGAGGGGAGACTAATTTGGTTTGACTGTGAGGAAACGTCTTCTGAAAATCCAAGCAGGATATCCCCCAGTTTAGTTCAGTTACTTCCTGATAACACTATGAATGACCCGGAAATTGGATGCATTGGGTTGGTAGATGTTAATAATAATGTTAATATGCATATAAGGCGCTATATCAAAAATGCAAGGATTATTATTAATGCATAGTGCCAATGGGAATCATGGAATAATGAACTAAGTTGTGTTGCATTATTCCTTTGTAGGCAGAAAGGGGATCAGAAGGACCTCCTGGTCTCAAGGTAAGTGGACTTCCATCTGTTAACTTGTGCAATTTAGGAAAATGAACTATGTTTTCCTTCAGTTTTTTTTTCCCCTTGTCCTTTTGGGAGCGAGTTTAGTCCCCCTGGGTATCTGACACACGCAGAAACTAATCACTGTGCTTCAGAGCGTTCAAACCAGAATAAGAGTTCCATATGTGTATGTGGCACCTACATAAGGAAATTCATCTGGGTCTGGAATGGGATGAAACACTCTCTCCCTCGAGGTGACGCACCTGGCTTACTTAATCCTTGAGAGGTGCAGGTTGGCAAGAGGCAAGGATTGGGGACCTCAGTGTATAATCAGCTAAAACTACATAACTTGTCTATTGAGAGCACGGTCTGGCAAGCTTCCTGATACTTGTCCAGCGAAGAACACCCTACCTGTTAGGGCTTTGGCTTGCAGGCTTAACAGGAATTGAGTGACAAAGATCCCTTCCCCCCACTGAATGTTCTGGCTCTCCAAGTCCTGCCAATGAGCTTGGCTGGCTGGGCTGTCATCAACAGTGCCGTGGAGTACTGGAAATCTGTCTATCCTCCCATAAAGACATAGGCTAAAGGCAGCAAAGAGAGAGGATCTGCCTGAGGTTGAACTGTCTCTGAGGAGACTCACTCGCTGAGGTTGAGCAGGTCATGGTTTAAGGCACTGCTGAGGATTGCAATTCCATTTGGCTCATTTTTTTTGTTCTAACGCACTTGGGAAAGCCATCATCCTGCTCAAGAGTATCTAAACCAAACTGAGATTTCCATACATCCCATATACACCTACACATGGAAATCCCAGAGATAAATTGTTGGAATGGAATGCGCACTCTCTCCCTGGAGAGACACGTCCTCCTTACCCAATTCTGGAAGGTATCAGGCGCAGGCTGGCAAGAGGCCAAGTACTCCAGAGTGCGCATTGGAGCACTGCTGGAGTCTAACCAGCTAAAACCACATAGCTTGCCATTGACTCATCAACATGTCCCCAGCCTTGGAAGGCTAATCTTGATGGTGACCCATGGTCCTAGCTGGACAGGTCCCACAGTGTGTGGTAACTGATATCATTTCCTAATGTGGTAAATGGCTGGAGTTGTGATACAGTGTTGTACAATCTCTGTTGTCAGGGTGAACGAGGAGAGGTTGGTTTGGCCGGACTTCCAGGAGCACCTGTAAGTACCAGCATCGCTGTGGACTGGCCTCTGAAATGCTGAGATGCGACAGTGGGTCATAAATGGGGCTCTGCAGTTTATTTCGTAGAGTGACACAGGCTGTGCAGGACGGAAACAGGCCATTTTGCCCAAATCATGTGCTCAAATGAAGATCCTCACCTGCAATAGAATCCCGTAACTCCCTTTCGAGCAACTAAAATGTTTGGGGTTAGCTGTAAACTTGGCATTTTGTATTGCCAAAAAAGCTCCTTAAAAAAGAGTTGAAGTGAAAATGTTGCTACCGGGATCTTTCAGGAGATATTAATCCCGGTCAAAAATCAATTTTGACAAGGGGACAATCATTCAGGCTGACTCTCCAGTGCAGTACCGGGGGAACACCGCGTTGTCGGAGGTGCTGTCCTTCGGATGAAGTGTTAAAAACAGATCATGACCCTGTGCTCCTCAGCGCTGCTCAGTCATGCGTTATGATTGAGGTCGATTGTACTGGAACACCGGTAGAATAAGCTTACAAACTTTTAACACAGAAAAGCAGCAGCCAAGCAATCGAGAGAAACTGAGCTCATTGTAATGACCTTTTCTGGCCATTGGAGAGTCCCCTCAGCAGACCTTCTGCTACAGCACATCTAACATTTAGCATTAAGCGAATAGTCAGTGCTATGCATTACTGCCTGGAATATTTTGATACTTTCCCTTCAAAAATGAACTGGATTTCTCTCCACTTTGCTCCGTGTCTACTCTGGGGAAAGCAGTGTTTTATTTGCCTGCAAATACACAGTCACTATACTTTATAGCGAATCCTGTGAAGCACTTTGAGACTTTTCAACGACATGATAGGATATATCAAATGTATGGATTATTATTATGGTTAAGCTTAGGAATTTCTCCAAAGCAGGGAACTTGGAAATGCCAGCTGATCGGGTCTTGTGATTCCTGCAGTAACGACCGCTCTGTTTCCTTACACAGGGGCTGCCTGGAGCTGTTGGGCCCAGAGGTGAACAGGTGAGAATATCTCTTCATCACAAGCTGCTTTGAACGAGAAAGCACCGTTGAGTCCATGCCATTTATTCCCATCTCCGCAGCCTGATCTGGCCACCCCACCTGCCTAGACCGACACGACAGCGCAGTATTAGACGATCCCTTGCATCGCTGGTTGTTATTGTCCTTCAGATGATGTGCTAAGCTGAAGGCCAGGCTGCTCATGCTTCAGAACATTGGACGTTAAAATCCCAGAGGAAATAGTTTCTCCCGCTGCCTTGGCCAACCATCTGATACATTGATTATTCACTTCACTGCTGTTTGTAGGACCTTGGTTCCGCATTTGACTGCATGAAAAAGAACCACGCTTTGCAGTAGTTACTCTTTTTTTTGAGATGTTTTAACACAATGATGTTGTAAAAACATGAGGTATTTTTTTTCTTTACTTTCCTGACCCAATCCTCATTCTCCCAGTGTCCTGGCCAATAGTCCCCAGATAAAATTGGTCATTCACTTCATGGCTCTTTGCGGGACTTTGCCGTGCTCCAACAGACTGTGTGTTTACACATGAAATACACAGTCACTACACTCTACATTAGATCCTGTGAGACGTTCTTAGACATTTCAACAATGTGGCAAGGCGCTGTATCGAATGCCAGGATTATTAATCTTTAATACTGTGTTACTACTGGATCGCTATCGCTGAATCGATTGATTTCAAGATCCTCACACTCGTCTTCAAATCCCTTCATGCCCTGGTAACTCCCTACCTCTCTGATCTCCACTGCCTCCACCCTGGTCTCCTGTATGTCCCTCGTGGCCTCCGTTCCACCATCGGCGGCCGCACTTTCAGCCATTACGACCTCAAACTCTGGAACACTCTTCCTTTATCCCTCCGCATTGTCCTTTCCTTCCCCATCTCACCTGAAGACCTCCCCCTCTCCTGGCTTGGCATCGTGCTCTGCCACTGTCAAGCTCTCTGGAAAGCTGCCCTATGTGAGGGGTGCTATATAAATGCAAGTTGTTGTTGTTATACACTCCTCTTCATCTGTTGTTTCCTGATGTTTATTAGGGAAAACAAGGAAGACCTGGAGATCCTGGTGAGACTGTGAGTACTGAACCTTCAGATAAATCCATTCCAGTGTCTCAGACAGTTCGCATCAGTGGCTGTTAAAAAAAACATTTAACACTGTTTTTGTGAAATCATAACTGTCATTCATTACTAAATAAAATTTATTTGAAGAGCTTGGGCTGACTTCCGTGGAGTTTACCATCAGTAATTTTGAAACTATTAGTATGGTTTGCAAATGTATTCATTTATTTAATCTCATGTTCGTTGATTTATTCAAGTATTTACCTTAATTTAATTATTTAGTGTTCGTTTAAGTAGGCATTTAATTTGTTTCATTTATTATTGAATCAATTTCATTCATTGTTTGTCCAGCTAGGACATAATTTAGCAACAATTATCCTCAAAGTTATAGCGCAACAGAATCTAGGATTTTATGTGCAGTGCAGTCAGGGCTGCAGTGCCAATCCCTGCCAGCGGGTGGCACTGGTGGGCACTGATTTCCTTCAGCTCAATGGCACCACCTTCAGGTTCTTGGTGGAGCTGCAGCATTTCTGAAACTTTTCCAAAGTACTTAATAATAAAATAATAATAATCCTTGCATTTGATATAGCGCTTTTCACGTTGGGAGGACGTCCCAAAGCGCTTCACAGAACACACTGTAAAGTGAATTGACTGTATATTTGTGGGCGAAATGCAACAGCCAATTGCGCACAGCAATGTCCCACAAACAGTCGTGGATTGAAAATGACCAATTTATTATTGTTTTTGGTTTTGGAGGGTTATTATTAGGCTCTGTGTGGAGTAAGGAAACTTGCCCAAGGTTTTGCCCTCTGCCTGGAATTGAACTCAGGTCTCTCGCTTGCAAAGCGAGTGCTCTAACCACTGAGCTACAGGACTCCACTTGATTTGAAGGCATGAATTTGTTTTAACGTTCAGCGTTTCGCCCACAAATATACGGTCAATTCACTTGACAGTCTGTTCTGTGAAGCGCTTTAAGGTGTCGAGAAGACGCGAAAAGCGCTATGTCAAATGCAAGGATTATTATATTATTATTGTTGAGCTTGGGAAGAGACATTGCCTGTTGTGTGTGGGGATTTATACAGGTGTTCAATGTTTTCTAACTGCGCCGGTGCATGATGTGATCCAGGGTCAGACTGCGCTGGGCCAGAGAAACTGGTTTGAGGCAAGGCTGCGTTACTGTGATGATGGGCGTACGTGTATGATGGATACCCCGGTTATCTGAGTACAGGTATAGTGTAACTGTAGTAACTCTTTCGTTATGCCGCAGATCCCAGGGCCAGCAGGAAGCAAAGGGTCACAGGTAAGGAAATCTCTATTACATTCCAGGGCATCAAGGTTGGCAATGGCAAACCAAGCCTTTGGTTCAGTCTCATTAGCTCGGTGCAGTACCTGTCTGTCTGTCTGTCTGTCTGTGAGTGTGTGTGTGTGTGTCTGCCTTGCTGTCTGTGTTTGTGTGTGTCTGTGATGTCTGTCTGTGTTTGATTATATTGTTGTACTTTACTGTCAGGGTGAGCGAGGCCCACGAGGTGCCGATGGACAGAAAGGAGTGAAGGGAGATCCAGCGGAGAAGGGAGAGAAGGTGAGATCGAAATCAGAGAAGGAGTTGGTTGCTGTGATGGGTCAGGACCACACTCTCTGCCGGTCACCGTGTGTGGATCCTGGGGATGGAGGTCACTGTGACGGCCAGTCACTGTGTCTGTGTTTTAGGGACCGTCTCTATAGTCGGGGGCGGTGAGAGGGGAGGGGGCAAGCCTTGTGCATCAGTCATTGTGGTGTAGGTGTGGACGGACCTTCCAAATAAAAAGATCAGAGGAGACTGACGTGGGTCTGTGTCCCGTCTCTAGCTCAGTTGCTCACTGAAGATTTTTCATCTCATTATATTCAGGGAGAACCTGGATACGGAATTCCTGGCCAACCAGGACCCAAGGGCGACCGAGGAGACAGGGTGAGTCGCTTTCGCTGTGTATGTTTTACGGTGCGTAACTCAGACGTTTCCATGCGAATGCGCTGCACAGACCAGCAGACTGGAATCCCGGGCAGAGTTACACGTCACTGAATCGCACATCACACCAGAGGTGCTCAGTGTAAGGTCAACCGGGCTATCACCCGGCAGGATGGGGCCAGGTTCAGTCCCTGTTGGAGATCAATGGAGCCGGTCTGCCTACAAACACAGTCACTACACCGTAATAGGAATTCCATGTGAAGTGCTTTCAGGGGTTGTATTTTTAATGTTGACTACATGGGATTCTTTCCACCTGTTCAAATGGATGTTAAAGATCTTCTCGAAAAGAGAAGGGAGTTTTTCTCACTCTCCCGTTGTCCCGACCAACAGTCCCCCAGATAACATTGGTCATTCACGTCAAGGTAGTTTGCTATGGGCGTATTGGCTGCCACATTCGCCCACAACATACACAGTCACAACGCATCACAGTAAAAACCCTGTGAAGCGCTTTGAGATGTTTTAACAATGTGATAAAGAGCTAAATCAAATGCAAAGATTATATTACAATAATTATTCTGAGGATACTATACTTCATAGCTACACGAGTGAGGTGTTCAAAATAATTCAGAATACAATCCTTTTAGGATTACTGATTATTGGTGTAGTTATTACGCTCAAACCTGTGTTCTTTCTCCCAGGGTAATATTGGGCTTTCAGGAAGACCTGGTGAACAGGTAGGAGATGCTCTGTGTTATTTGAAAGGTTAACACAGTTTGTATGAATGAATGACTAATGTCATCTGATGGCTTGTGTTTCAGGGGGTCAGTGGAGATCGAGGCGACAAAGGAGAGCCTGGCAAAACAGGAGCGAACGGACAAGCCGGTTTGCGGGGAAGGGAGGTGAAAAAGCCATTCACGTTCGGGATAGCTGCTGTAACAATTAAGGCTTAAATTCCATACGATGCAATGCTCACTCCATCAGTCTGGGTGAAGAACGAACGTCCTTCAGCTCATTGTACCTCACCCTTCCTGCCCGCCCACCCGTCCTCCCATCACAACATCAGGTTGTATTTGAGAAACATCCTGTGTCCCGGCCTGGTAATCTGTTCCGCTCATTATTTACTCTCTGGGTACAGAAAAACTTCCCGGTATCTGTCCTGAAATTGTCCTTTTGGAACCCTAATTCTGTGCCCTCAAGTTCTCTGTCTCAGGACGTTTAAAAATAAGTTTCTGGGTTTACGTTGTTAATCCTATTATTGTTATTATTTGTGTACCCTCAGAGGCTTCTTTCCAAGACAAAGTTGGATTTAGGGTTGATCCTTCTGGTTTTAGCAATTTCCAGTTCAGGTGGACGTTACAGATCCCATGGCACTATTTGAAAAGCAAAAAGAGTTTCTCTACCCTGGTGTCCTGGGCAACAATCCCCCAGATAAAATGGGTCACGCAACTCCACGACTGTTTGTGGGACACTGCTGCGTGCAATTGACTGCCATGTTTCGCCCACAAAATGAAAGGATTATTATTATTATTGTTTCCTTCAGCTGTTCCCGGAGAAGTAATCCAGCAACTGTCCCTGATAGGTTAAAATGCCTTTGACGGCAACAAGTGAACACTGCAGCAACTCGGCTCTGGTTGTATCTGTCAAAGTCCTAATGGAAAGGCTGGTCCTAGCTGGACAAGCAGCAGGACGCTTACCATACAGTGCTCTTCACTGCAAGCTGTGTGGTTTTACCTGGTTAGACTCCAGCAGTTATCCCAAGGCACACTCGAGTCTGCAATTATTGGCTTTTGCCAACCTGTGCCTAATGGTCTCTGGAATTAGGTGAGCAGTGTGCGTCTCTCCGGGGAGAGAGTTCCCAGGTGTAGGAAAATTTCTGCTGTAGGTTGTATGCATCTATGGCATAGATAGATGTATAAGTGTCCTTTGGTATGGACAATTTTAAGCACAATGATGGGTTTCCACAAGTGAAACCCCTTTGAAAACCTATTGAGTCCATTCCCAATAAGTTTTTTTTTTTGTAGTTGGCTATTTCAGAAACGAGGGTTAAAATAAAATCGCCTGATGTCCTACCATCCCTTTAAGAGAATCAGTTTCTGAAGAGTCACGTGTAAGGTGATGTGTTGTGGCAGAGAGGACACTGGCAGTGTCGGAAGGGACAGGAGATAATTCACGTTTTACCCTTCTCGTTTTCAGGGAGAAAAAGGAATCAAAGGGGACGAAGGAACGCCGGTAATTTCACTTTATAACCCTGTTTGTTTGTGTTTCAACCATCGTGTCCATCTTGTAATGTCAGCCAGGCTAACAGCATTGTGTTTGTCCTTAGGGTGAGAGTGGACTGCCCGGACGGATTGGGGAGAGAGGACTGCGGGTAAGGAACTCTGTATTTGCTCCTCCCTATCCCTGTGACCCGCTATCTCCTGTCTGCTTCCTCTGCTCAGCGGACTCTGGTTTGGTTCCACCTCCCTGCCCCGCCCCACCATCATTTCTGCCCCCAATCTCTGGAACTCCATCCCACAGTCCCTTTGACCCACCCCCTCCCTTGCCTCCTTCAAGGCCCGGCTCAAGACCTTCCTTTTTGACTGCCTTCTATCCCGTTTCTATCCCCAGCTTACCTGCCCTCCGCCCTTCCTGATCCCAACCACCAGCTCGGGTACAAATCCTTGATTGTCCAGCACCTTGGGACATCCTCCTGATGTGAAAGGCGCTGCACAATACAAATTTGTTTCTGATGTTGTTTATTGAGTGCAGAGACAGGGTTCGATTTGTGCAGAATAACAGAGTAACAGAGAAGCCAAGAAGCAGTTGCAAGATGCCACATTCGAGTTATGAAGACCCACAAATGTATTCTTCAACTAAGTAGTGAGCTACAAAGGGAAATCTTTACCTGCCAGACTGAGAACCAGCTGGAATGATCCGAAATAAGTAAAACAAAATCTCTAACGATTGGGATTCATTCATTATACCCTCGTTTCGAAAAAAATGGAAAACCCGATGAATAAAATTGGGAGCCAGTCTGACTGACAGCGAGTGTCACCAGGTTTCATGGCTGTTGGTGATAGTAAGGGAGCACAGCTGGAGTGAGCACTGGATTGGAGATCAGTCGTATCTAGTTCAAATCCCTGTGAGCATCTGACAAAGTTATTCCAAGCTTTGTTGATGGTTGAGAAGCCAGTCTGAGACTCAGAGATGCCCTAAAGCCGACGATAGTTGGTAGGAAAGATCAAGCTAGCTGCTTGGCAGTGACAATCAACCCCAATACTGCTCTCGCCTGCGATCCACTCATACATTCTTTCTATTCAGTTGCAATCAGATACAGGGAATCCTGGTTCCATCCCTAGCTCAAGGGTACTTGATTTCAAGATCCTCATCCTCACCTACAAGGCCATTCACGGCCTTGCTCCCTCCTACCTCTCCAACCTACTATCCCCCTACCTACCTGCCCGTACCCTCCGTTCCTCTGGCTCTGGTCTGCTCCACGTCCCCCGCCCCAATCGCCCTACCATCGGTGGTCGGGCTTTCAGCCTCTCAGCCCCTAGGCTCTGGAACTCCATCCCCCAGTGCCTTCGCCGCCTCCTCCCTTTCCTCCTTCAAGGCCGGTCTCAAAACCTTTCTCTTTGACCGAGCCTTCAGCTCCCCTCTCGACTCTCTTCCCCCTCCTCGCTCCCTCCCTTCCCTCCCCTCACCCTGACCATTTCCCCCCTCCTCGCTCCCTCCCTTCCCTCCCCTCACCCTGACCATTTTCCCCCTGCTCGGGTCATGACCCAACTGTGCAGCGCCTTGGGACGTCCTCCTGACGTGAAAGGCGCTTTATAAATGGAATCTTGTTGTTGTTGTTGTACTGAGGCCACTCATGCCCATACTGGTTAGTGACCCAGTATTTATACTGGCACCTTCCCAGCATGATGAGAGTTAGTTTTCCAAAAGCTTTGCCATTTTGGCCAAGCACACACTCCCAACGCTAGTTTGGAGATCAGGAAACCAGGGGTTAATGCTGTTTTGACGTTTCTAGGGTCCACCTGGAATTAATGGCAAACTGGGAGAAAAAGGCGATCGTGGAGACCCAGGCGAATCGGGGAGAGATGTGAGTCTCAACACAATCATTATTGATTGGCTTCTTGTCACTTTCATTTCATTACTACCATCTTAAAGAAATCTATGTGTATAATAAACCTGTCAACGTCACTTCCTTTCAGGGCAGCCGAGGTCCATCAGGTTTAACGGGCGTAAAAGGCGATCAAGTGAGTTAAAGCAGAAGAGCGTTAAAACGTTAGATGCTCAAGAGCGAGCACCACAGTGTGCTGCTAACCTACAGATTGTTCAGAATGTGCCGAGACCCAGGCAACACTAGACAGTTGTCCTCCAACCAGTCTAACAGTGGCTGCTAAGATTGTTAGACACATTGAGCTATGGATCTGATTGAGGGTACATCAAGGGGTTGGGACACTTCCCACTCAGCTCCTGTTGACTGTTAGCAAAACCCTTGTGGGTAGAATGGACCTTGCTGGACATGAGGTGGGAAGCTTGCTATGTGGTTTCAGCTGGTTCAAATCCAAGCAGTTACCCTCAATGCACACTCTGAGGTCCATCAAACAGTCCAGGCAGTCCCTTCAGGTCATAGAGACCACAACTGTACATTGTACTTACTGTAGGTGCAGCCTGACAAGATCTCTGTGCAACCTGAGGTGACATCATGGGATCTGGCCTCAACTGATTTGACAATATAGTCCAGCCTAGTCCTGTTGCCCTGGTTTGGAGATGAACGCCACAGTCAGCCTTGTGCACAGCAATTCACGTCAGTCACAGAGGTCATACCTGGTCTCTAATGCAGTTAGCTGCCTGAAAGCCTATGGCTCGATCTGACTGCTCCTTCCCATTGAAGCGGGTCGTCAAACAGCGAGCATGACGCAAAGGAGAACGCTAATAATTTTTTCTTTCTTTCGATCCAGGGACCACAAGGATCCCCAGGGCTCCCAGGAAGAGTGGTAAGTAGTAGATTTTGTGGCGGCAAAACATTTGCCAAAGTGGCCAACAAAGTATTGGCAAAGAACATTTCTAATTCTCAGCTCCGAGTGTCTGACTTGCTCCTCATATATATATATCTATATATATATCTATATACCACAACGCTCAACGTATGGTTGCAAAAGATTTTCCAAACGAGGTGTTTGCCCGAACCACAACCATTTGAGTATAAAAGGTTAGTCTGAAGGCATTAGATAACGTGCATCATGATAAGCTGTTTCACCTCGTACTGAACGGCTGAACCAGAGGGCATGGCCTGCGGGTAAATTCGGAACAAATCTGCGGAAACACTACTTCAGTGAGTGAGCGATAAGCTTATGGAACAGGCTCCCTAGGGAGACGGTGGAAGCGAAAAATGTCATTCGTTTCAAGAACAAATTTAGATAGATTTCTACTGGAAAATAATATCTCGGGATACAGTATATAATTTGGAACATGACATGCCAAGCGACTGCCAGGAAGGAGAACTGGATGGACCTTGGTCTTCTTGCCACTAGCAAATTTTTATGTTTTCCACAATAGCTGTGAAGTGGATGTTAGATGGAGATCTTCTGAAGTTCCAGTGTACTGTGTGACACAGTACAGGATACAGCGGGCAGGTCCTCCTCATGGGGTGACGCTCTCTCTGTGATAAGGGAGGTCCAGACTGGACAGTGCTACCTGGGTTAATGTACTGACCAGTGAATGAGGAAATAGGTCATGTTCCCTCACTGAATATTAATGTTTTGTTCTGATTTTACAGATTGGCATGGACAAAGGAATGCAAGGCCTGAGGGGAGAAAAGGTATTACATACATTGGGAGTATTCAGTGAATAATAATAATAATCCTTGTTTTTGAGATGCCTCAAAGCACATCATGGAATATATGTACTGTGAAGTGGAATGACTGTGCATTTTGTCGGCGAAACAAGAATTAAGAATCTGCTTGGGAGGTAGAGGGATGCCTTGCGTTACTACTGTAAAGATGATGATTGTCTACTTTGGCTTGATTTCTAGGGTGAGCCCGGGAAGTCTGGTGACTCTGGGTTGCGAGGGGTAAAGGGAGAGGATGGAACCCCTGGTGTGCCAGGCCAGCGAGTAAGCATATTATTAATATTTCAAATTACGGTATTCTCGCTATTGAACTCCTGCCATGACAGGCCCTCAGTTAGCTGCGTACGTAGCGCTGCTCCCACTCAATCATTTCAGTGCACTCCACAGGTCCCGCGGGTTTGGCTGCAAACGTGAGGCACATCATTTCTGTGACGAGTGTCAAGGAAGCGGACAGACAAAGAGGAACGTTCTATGACCTTTCCCCTAAAATTGGCTCCATTTCTAGGGGGGGCATAAATATCTGTTGAGGTTGCACTGCACGCTGATCATTTGCCGTAACGTCGTTGAGACGTCTTGAAGCGCTTCACAGGATACACTGTAAAGAGTGACTGTACACTTTGTGGGCGAATCGCGGCAGCCAATTGCGCACAGCAGAGTTTCCCCCATACACAGTCGTGAATTGAGTGACCAAATCATCATATTATTTATTTACATCGACTTCGGAATGGTGTTTTCTTTGTGGTACGAAATGCATTTGGTATTACCGTAAAGTGTTGCTATGGGATATATGTTACCTTGTTAATTGGCCCCTTTTCTGTTTGCTTGGCAGGGTTTGCAGGGCGAGAGAGGTCTGACAGGACCACAGGTAAGTTCTTCACTATCCTTCACTTTTTAAAATCCAAGCTTAGCGTCAAGTAGCCTCTGCTTGATTTTATCTAACAGAGCAAAACACCATTAAGGTTGAAAACAGAACACAACATTGTCCTTCTCGAAATAGTCCAACTTGCCCAGAAACAGAAGGATCAGTTTTATCTGGGAGATTGATAGTCAAAACATAGGGAGAATCTCCCTTCTCTTTTAACGTCAGCCTGAACAGGCAGATAGGCCCTGGTTTAACATCTCATCCGATATTTTTATGATGTCAAACAGCAATAAATTACATTTGTGTAGCGCCTTTCATGTCGGGATGACGCCTCACAGCATGTAGTGGCTTGCACTTGTAGACAAATCCAAGCCTCTTGCTTCAGCGGGAGGATGCAAATGTCATTTGTACTTGTGAAGCTGGTTAGAGTTTGTGTGAAAGGTGTTGTTTTGATTCATTTTGCAGGGAGATCAAGGTCAACGAGGATTTCCGGGAGAAAAGGTAACAATAAGCCCTGCATTTGACACAGCGCCTTATTATTACATTGTCGTATCATTTCAGAATGCTGCACAGGATTTTACTGTAATGTGCAGTGACTGTATTTTTTAAGGAACACTACAGCCGGCCGAGTGCCTGACACACTCCTGGACCTCCTCTCCATGCTTAAAAGTATCCAAACTAGATTGAGAGTTCCACGTATGTTTGCCACTTACATGTAGAACTTTCCGCATCCAGAAAGCGATACGCACTCCCCGAATGACCGTGCCAAGCTTACATAGTTCTGGAGAGTATTAGGCACAGGTTGGTGAGAGTCAAGGCTTGGGGACCCTAGACAGTGTGGTACTGCTGGAGTTTAACCAGATAAAACCACATAGCCTCCCATTGGAAGCACTGTCTGGCAAGCTTCCCATTGCTTGTCCAACTATGTTCATGTGGTTTCTTTAGGGCTTTGACTTGTAGGGTTAACAGAAGGGTGGGAAGAATCCCTAGTCCCAGTGACCTGTATATCCCTCCAAGCACTGCTGATGAGCCAGGATGGCTGCTCTATCATTAACAATGCCCTGGTGTACCACCATAGATTTGGATTCCTCCTTAGCCCAGTTTTTCTTAGGTCATCCCATTGCTAATCCATTGGCTAAGATCAGGTAACAATGCAGACCAAAGATTAACTCCGAGAGTTGCAGCAATCATTCCTGATGATGTATTCATTTACTGAGCCATTGAGGGGTGGGGGGAGGGAAATCCTCCCCTTATAGCAAACTATTGTGTACAAAGGAGCTCAGGAGAGGATTAGACAGGTAGGAGAAGAGGTTTATGGATTGATACAGTTACTGAGAGATGAGCAGCAGCACCTGTGTTGGGGCGTCTCTGTGTAGGTGCACACAGGACAGCACTGGACTCACTGTTGTACGTGTAGGTCATGATATCTGTTCACCCGAGGACTGGGAGAGATGAGAGACTACACAAGAGGAAAGAGGGTATCCAATACATGGGAAACAAACGATAAAGATCCCATTGAAACAGCAATAGACGTGTGGCTTGAAGTGCAATGGCACACTCTGGTGTCCTTCATTCCACCGGGTCCTGTGTCCGATTCTGATCCAGATTCCCAGTGAGATGAAGCACATGGGAGGTGTCAATGATCAACGAAAATCATGCCCTCTCTCTCCCCACCCCACCACCCCATCGCGAAACAATGGTAAGTTTGTGAGCAAGTGGCGCAAAACAATCTTTTGATAAAAGCTTTGGAACGGCAGTGTTCAGGTTCAGAAATGTACATTTCAGGAAGTATTTCTTCACCCAGAGGGTAAATAACGACTAGAAATGTTCCCAGGAAGGGTGGACCCTGGGTGTCATTTAAGAAGCAGCTGGATTCTGTGATGGGAGGACGAGAGGGTGGAGATTGTGGCAGATTCGGAAGTCATCCTAAACCTCTGTTGCGATCTGACTGACTGACTGACATGGCTTCTTGGAGCCTTAACTCATCTTGTTTGCCGAATCGAGAGAATCTTTCACTGCACAAAAGAGCACAACATGAAGCGGTTTCTTTTCTTTGTTGAACACAGGGTTCCAGGGGACCTCCCGGAATTGACGGTAGAAATGGGATAGACGGAAAGAATGGGGCAGCTGGCCCTCTAGGGCTGAGGGTGAGTGTCAGGTGCAGCCCAGGTACAAGTCAAAGTGGGTCCTTCCCTGGCTCTGTGCTATCACATCCCGGAGCACACTCATTTTACAATGAAACGTGTTTTATTAGGGTTCTGGACTCTCACGTATATAGAAGGGAAATCTGGAGCTGACAGTCTGAGTATTCCTACTGTTTGGGTTGATTTTGAGCCAGTTTGATGGGAGGGTGGTGGGTGGAGATGGGGGGGTGTGTGTTGTGGGCATAATGTCTTATTTGTAATATTGCAAATAGCGGTTCCTGCTGATGATCAGATGGTTGGCCCAGTGGAACTCAGCCTTGGTGAGGTTTCCTTCCAGGCCCGTCAGAGTGTAGTTCACATGGGGAGGAGTGAGATACACCCACTTACCAACAGGGGTCACTATTAGAAATTGCTGGGTATCTGGTATTGAGCCCTGTGTGAGCAGTAGTGAGACGCCATTCTCACCACTGATATGCCATTCTCTCCAGTGGCTGCATTGCTTTTCATGTCTCCCTTTCCTGTCTGTTGCAGGGTGACCAAGGCAAACAAGGGGAGCCGGGCAGAGATGTAAGTGCCCCGTACCCTGATTCCAAACAGGCTTGAATAACAATGCCATTGTGGCTTGAAAGCAAACCGTCTCTTCCTTTGTCTTCGATCGCAGGGCTTACCGGGATTGAGAGGACAACAAGGTCCCCAAGGAGCGTCCGGACCTCAGGGGCCCCTGGGACACCCGGCAAGTTAGACCTTTCTTTTACGAAGAAACCATTACGTAAATAGGAAATGAAACCCCAAATGGATGGGCTTATTACTCAATCATTGTATTAGATACACACATCATAGAATCATGGAATATTACAGCACAGAAAGAGGCCATTCGGCCCATCGTGCCTGTGCCAGCTCTTCGGAAGAGCTAGAGAACCAGTCCCACTACAGGATATTGAAGCCCTGAAAATGTAGCCTTGTATTCCGCACACTCTGACATCAGGACAGGCATGTTGTCCTGTTTGATACCTGGAGAGTGCATCTCAGCTACTCCTAAATGGATCGCAATTGAATACAGTTCTGTTGTCCCTTGAGAATGATCCACTGTGTGAGAAGAATGAGTTATGAGCAGCCATTAGACAAGCTGGGGCTCTTCAGCTTGAAAGGGGCCATCTCAGAGGGGACCTAATAGAGGTGTATAAAATTTGAAATGGGATTGAAAGAGGAAACCCAGAACAAAGCTTTAGGATGCAATAAGACTGTAGAACAACAGGACACAGGGTTAGAGTTGCAAAGGGCAATTTTAGGAGAGACACCAGGAAGTATTTATTTACCCAGAGGGTGGTTAATGGCTGGAACAGGTTGCCAGGAAGGGTGGTTGAAGCCAGGATACTGGGGGTTCATTTAATAAAACAGCTCGACACTGTGGTGTGAAGATTACAGGGTCAGTTGTTCTGGAGGGATGAGATCAGATGGCCAAAGGGCCTTATTCATCCAACCTAATCTTGTGATGTTGTGATCTTGTGAAGAGTATGGATGAACCTATAATAATCACACCAGCTATTGGACGATCTGAAATGTGTTGGTAAAAGTTGTGGGAGAAGGAAGGCCAGGACTGTACTGCTTTGGAGGCATTTGGTCCCCAAATGGGAAAGGTTCTTCAAATCATCAAAACTACCTCTGGGTATCGAACATAGAGGCTTTCAGGCTGGATCTTTGCTCTGGCCTTCTACCTCAACCCTCTACATCAGACTTGAGTTCAGTAATAAGAACAAAAGTCGCTGGGAACATGCAGCAGATCAGGCAGCATCGATGGAGAGAGGAAAATGAGTTGATATTTCAGGTCGATGACCTTTCATCAGAGTTTTGTTCTGCTGCCTGTTCCCAGTGACTTCTGCTTTTATATCAGATTTCCAGCATCTGCAGTATTTTGCCATTTGACTTGAGCTCCGTGCTTGATGTGTGTGTTGAAGGATTAATGCTTGTTTTTTGATCCACCTCAGGGGAAACCAGCGGTTGATGGGAAGCCTGGCCTACCTGGAAAGAATGTAAGTATATGGGAGAGAGCATCATTAGAAGCCGACTGCTGACAACCATATGCTACCTCTGCATGGAAAAACACTTCCAAATAAAACGAGAAGGGTTGGGAGGCTAATGTGGAATATATATATTGGCGTGATTGGGCTGAATGGCCTGTCTCCATTTTGTAATGTTGTATTTAATTCGGTCATAAAGGAAAATAAAATGGCTCTTGATTCTAGATTTGAAGGGAAAGTGATCCAATGCTGTGAAATATATAAATAAATCCAATGCTGCCCTTTTGACAAGCCCCTTAATACCTCTAAGTAACAGAATAGTGGAGTCCTGTTGCGTAGTGGTTAGAGCACTCGCCTTGCAAGCGAGAGGACCTGGGTTCGATTCCCGGGCAGGACAAAACGCTGGGCAAGTTTCCTTACTCCACGTGCCTCTGTTTACCTAGCAGCAAGTTAGTCGATTGGCGGATCACTTTTCCAGGGGTAATAATCCTTTCCGAAAGAAGAAATAATTTAGTCACTCAATCCACAACTGTTTGTGGGACACTGCTGTGCCCAATTGGCTGCCGCTTTTCACCCACGCAATATACGTCAATTCACTTCACAGTATACTCTGTGAAGCTCTTTTAGACGTCTCAAAGACGTGATAAGGCGCTGTATCAAATGCAAGGATTATCATTATTATTTCTCTTTTAGATATCCTTACCATATTGAAAATAGTCACAACACACAATTATAAACACACAGATATTTAATACATTGTAAAATACATTGTATTGTGCTTTATACACTCACGTTGAATATACTTATAATACGTATAGAAACATGTTTGATATTCTTATGACATATACATGTATGTATAGTATAAACATCTAGATAGTATGATTTACTCATTTTCAGACATGACGGCGGTGGGATTTTATTAAGTGTGAGGATTTCTGTTTTTCTCAGGGAGAAGATGGGACTCCGGGAGAAGATGGAAGGAAGGTAAGAGAAGCACAGAGCGTGTGTGACCCAAATCCACTTTAAGATGTGTTTGACGCTGCCATATAGTGCCTTGAGCTTTCCTGTTCGTTCCCTCCACTCAGCAGGCTCTGGCCTGCTCCACGTCTCCCACTTGACCCACCTTACCATCGGCGGCCGGGCTTTCAGCCTCTCTGCCCCCACCCTTTGGAACTCCATCCCACAATCCCTTCACCTTGCTCCCTCCCTTGCCTCCTTTAAAGCGTGACTTAAGACCCTCCGTTTTGACCATAACTTCAGCCGCCCACCTACCCCCTCTGCCCTCCCTCATCCCAACCCTACCCCCCTCCCACACTCGGGTCCTGATCCCCGACTGTTCAGCGCCTTAGGACGTTTCCCCCCCCCCCACAATGCGAAAGGCGCTTTACAAATGTAAGTTTTTTCTTGTTAAGATCAGCTAAAAGTTGTCATTTGTTAACTTCCACTGGTCAGTGAGTCAGTGACCAGAGGGCATCTAATTAAGATAGGTACCAAACGAGCAAAATAGGAGGAGTTTTTACACAGAGAGTTGTTAAGATGTGGATTGCTCTGCCTTGTGCAGTGTTCATGCAGGAATTATATTAGTTTTCAAGGGGGAACTTGATAGAAATCTGAAAAGGAGTCATTTACAGGGATAGGGGTAAAGGCAGGTCAATGGGAATGAATGGATTTTTTCTTTCAAAGAGCTAACACAGTCTTGGTGAACCAAACGACCTTCTTGTATGCTGTAAAGCCATGAAAATTTACAATGTAAAGTTCTGTTTCTAGAAATGCTATGATGATTAATGTGGGGTGGACTATATGACATCTTTTACCTCCCTGTAATGCACAAATTGGCTGCCTCATTCTCTTATATGGTAAAGGGTCTCAGCAGTACTCATTGCCTTGCTTTGACAGCAAATGCCTTTGCCCAACACACTTGATACTTTCCCCGGCATCAGTGACACTTTTCAGAAGGGTTTAGAACACTGCAAATAACCTGTAAATATTGTAAAAAATCACTTATTATTTATTTGCTGAAGTACACGTGTTCTCTTCATTTACAGGGTGAAAAGGGTGATCCCGGGAGCAATGGAAGAGATGTGCGTAAAATGGTGGATCGGCAGAACTCAAGAGGAGTTGCCGTGGGGTTTACGTGTTCTGGGTAGAATTACCAAAAGAAAGGGTCAAAACACTTAGAGCTTTCATTGTAAAATGCCTTGTGGTCAGGAGAGGCAGGGTGACATAACTCCAACATAGCACACCATGGTAGTAGATAAGGATACTGCCTTGTCATCCTTCGGCATTGAATCACTGTGCAGTTTAGTGTTGTGCCTGGGATTACGGTAACCAAGAAAATTCCATTCCGCACGTAGGAAATTTTCCACAGGTAGGTGGCAAATACATGTGGAACTCTCAGTCTGGTTTGGATGCTCTTAAGCACGCTGATGGGTTTCCGCATACGTCAAAAATCCGCTGACCAAAAAAAAAAGAGAAAGAGGAAGAATTTGATAATTCACAACACTTCCTTTGCCCCTCCTCAACCGATCTCCAAAAATCAGACCCTTGTGGGCCTGGATTTGATTCCAGTCCACACCAGTTAGAGACATGAGGCTTCTCTCTCTCCCTCCTTTCTTGTAGAGTCCTGTAGCTCAGTGGTAGAGTACTCCCCTCGCAAGCGAGAGGACCTGGGCTTGATTCCCGGGCAGGGCGAAATGTTGGTCAAGTTTCCTTACTCCACATACTAGCATTACTTCCATTATCTAGCAGTAAGTAGTAACTCAGTTGTTAGTCGATTGGCAGATCCCTTTTCCGGGGTAATAATCTCTTTAAATAAACAAGCAAATCAGTTGATTAATAAATAAATTGGTCACTCAATCCATGTCTGTTTGTGGGACACTGCTGTGCGCAATTGGCTGCCTCGTTTCGCCCACATAACGTACAGTCAATTCACCCTACAGTGAAGCTCTTTGAGATGCCTCAAAGTCGTGATAAGGCGCTATATCAAATGCAAGGATTATTATTTCTCACTCTCTGCCAGTTGTGGGAGCCCTATATGAAGTGCACTTGGCCAGTTTCTTTGTGCACTTGTGCCCTGCCTGGTTTGGTAGTGCGGCAGAGGGCAGGTGAACCACTCCATGTCTTACTGTCTTATCTGTTGCAAATCCACCCAGGGACGAGATGGTGTTAAAGGAGAACGTGGAGAACTTGGGCTTCCAGGACTTCCTGGACCACAGGGTGTTTCAGGGCCAACCGGGCCCCCAGGGCCTCCTGGTCAGGTATGGAATATTTTGTATGAATCATTTGAATGAGGCCTTAAACTGAGCTCCTGTCTGTACCGTGTTCCAGGGGGATGTTATTGATCCCATGGCAGTATTTGCAAAGCAAAGGGAGTTTCTCTATCCTTGGCCAATAATCCCCCAGCTAATAATTGGTCATTCGCTTTATGGCTGTTTGTGGGATATTGTTGCCGTGTACACCGACAAATACAGTGATTGCACTTCATAATCATTATTGTGAAGTGCTTTGAGGTGTTCTAGGCGCTGTATGTTTCAGTATGAGCTTAGCCAGTGGACGAGGCTCAGTGAGTGAGTATAATTGCTTGGATATTCAGAAAGAACCCGGCTTATAACCTCCTCCATTTTTTCACACGTACAGGTTGTAGTCGTCAAAGGACTTCAAAGCACAACCTCGATTCCAGGACCCCAGGGACCTGCAGGAACACCGGTAGGTTAATACAGCTGTAAGGTTCTGCCTCATATTACTTATCTGCAATCTACAGTAAGGAGTTTGCCCGCAGTCAATTCACTTTACAGTATATTCTGTGAAGCGCCTTGAGACGTCTCGAAGACATGAGAAGGTGCCAAATCCTTGCAAATACAAGGATTATTATTATGTATTACGTAATTCATCATCTCAGGCTTATTTCATGAGTACATTTGGGCTCTTATTATACACCATAATGATAATAATAACCATGTGCAAATCTTATATATTATGCGGCATGTGTGTGTGTCTCTGTTATGTGGATACGTAAATCATGTGGATTATGAGCCATGTGTGAAACCATGCGTAGAGAGGAAAGGAATGAGTAAATATATAACAACCCATAAAAAGAATTGCTTGTTAAATCCTGCCACTGGTTGGTCACAATGAATTGGTGTAGTTATTGGTTGAACCGGGAATATGAGTGCAGACCATACACTTGAGGTGTTTGAACACATCTTAACTGAACTGATTCCAGGTAACTTGCATCGAGAAATTTCCTTGAACTCGTTTCAACATCATGCTGCTGGTTACTGGCACATTGGTTTGTTGCTACAGACAAATGGCTTCACAGGCCATTGTGGCTGAGAAACGAGACCTGATCGCAATCAGTTGAGTCCCTAATAAACTATCTGTTGGACCCAGTGACTTTTAAAGAATGTAAGTAGAGTACCAGAGCTCTGTGTCCCTGACTCGTAATGTCATTAATCCCATTACCTTTAACCAATACTATCTAACATAGCTACACCCTAAAACAATAAAAACTGTTTTGAGGCCAAAACCTCTTTGACCTCAAAGATGGATCATCTTTATCTCCGAAATTTCCACGCATATGTGGGATGCACGGAACCCTCAGTTTGGTTTAGCTTCTCTTAGCGTGGTGATGGGATTCCGCAGACATCTGGCCGAATCCCCCCCAACCCCAAAAGAGAAATAGGTGAGGCTGGGGGCTTAGCCATCCAGCTCCATCCAGGATGCAAATGAAAGCAGAGAAACTAGCATCTTTCCCAGGGTGCTGCCCTAGCTCATCTGTGCATCTTGAGTGTCATTAGGTTAGGAAGTGACAAAACACAAAATACTGCAGATGCTGGAAATCTGAGACAGAAACAGAAGTCGCTGGAAACACTCAGCAGGTCAGGCAGCATCTATGGAGAAAAGAAAGTGAGTCAACGTTTCAGGTCACGACCCTACGTCAGAACGAAGGGTCGTGGAGTCGAAATGTTGACTCACTTTCCTTTCTCCATAGATGCTGCCTGACCTGCTGAGTGTTCCCAGGTTAGAAAGTGAGTTTCTTTTAGAAATTAACATTGACTAAGTTAGCTTTCTCAGCATCATTACTGTAGCTCAAAGAGATGACCTTTGGGCCCGAGGGGAAAGAGTGCTTTTGTTCCCCATTAATTTGCATTGAAAGATATCGATGTGGAATTCATTTTTGAAACTGCCGGGAGCTTGAAATGTAAGATCCTCCAGCAACGATCAGTTGTTACTCAAAGCTCCAAACCCAACAAGTCTCCCAGATCATTGCAAATTTGCCAATGTAAGACCTGGCAATCTGACTATATTAAGGGAGTTTTTATATGTCGATAAGAAACCTAATTACCTTGTTCCAGTTTTGATTTCTACACGTGCTTCTCCAACAGGGAATTCCAGGGATCCCAGGGGCAACAGGCTCTCGGGTAGGTGATAAACTCTTTCCTTCTTTAGTGGATGCGACTAGCCTCAACATCCTGCTTCGATGTGTTCACTTTGTCACATTGGCTCTCCGCAGATGACAACGCAGATCCCTTGGTAAAAGAGTGACCTGCTCTTGCGTCTGTGCTCATGTTTTTCTGATGGCCTCAGGGAGGTGTGGAAAAGCAACCGTATTCACTCTGTTTTGTTGCAATTTTTCAGGGAGAAAAAGGAGAGACTGGGTTCATAGGTCAGAAGGTGAGTAAGTCGGGTTTCATGGTTGGTTTCATATCTACAACATTTTAGGAACAAGAAACGACATCAGACCACACCCGTGATCACCGTCTGTTTCACCACGTCAGGCTTTAGGTCCCGAAAACATTGTGTTGTAAACAGTCACCAATCAGCATTTACAGCCGCTGTTGACTTCATGTCAGCTGAACCTGCCTCAGTTGGCAGCACGCTTGCCTCTGAGCGAGATGTTTGTGGTTCAAGTTCTATGTCTGTGAACTCAGGTAGTACAGTCTGCCCATTCAGGTTGACATTAAAAATCCCATGGCACGATTTGACAAAAGAAGGGCGGCTGCATTTGCCTACGCAATACAGCCACCGCAATTTACAATAAATCGTGTGAAGTACTTTGTGAAGTCCGTCTGACATTAAAGGCGCTTCCTCAAATGGAAGGATTGTTTCCATCGCGTCCTAAGCCCAAAGGTAGAAGCGTGTGTTTACGAGCAGCAAGCCAGGCAGTGGGTCCAAGGCACAGCTATACTGGGGAGCATTATAGCTGGGTCTGACGTGAGGTCACCAAAGCTGGACATTGTTATTTTTACTGTCAAGCGCTCGGCTGGTGAACTCAAAGGTTTCTCTACCACAAAGGCTGATTGTTTTTTGTTGGTTCCTGGCAGGGAGAATCTGGTGATGATGGGAAGCCTGGAACGCCAGGGACAATACCTGTAAGTACAGAAGCAATGGTTCCAAGCATGAGGGAGAGTTGGCTTGGAATCAGGATGGCCTAGGGGTTGGGATGGCCCAGATTTGCATGTCAATATCAGGATACTAAGCCATTATTTAGATTAATATGAGGATAAGCTGTCGTTAGCTCACAGGAATTCAAAACTAATTGTTTGAGCAGCTTTACTGCTGCCTGGTTTGGATAAACTTAAGATGATATGAAGTAGTCTTCTCAAAGCAATGACCTCTCTTTGTCTGATCTCTCTTAGCAGAACATTGAACAAGCTCTGAAAACCTATGGTATTAAGTAAGCTCGAGGAATGGATTGCTCAGACCTCGTTCTATCAGCTTCTGCCATTTCCTTCCTTCCTTCCTTCCTTCCTTCCTTCCTTCCTTCCTTCCTTCCTTCCTTCCTTCCTTCCTTCCTCCCTCCCTCCCTCCCTCCCTCCCTCCCTTCCTTCCTTCCTTCCTTTTCTTCTTTTTTTCCTTTTCTACTTCAAGATCCTCACTCTCATGTTCAAATCCATTCACCCCCTGGCACCTCCCTACCTCCCCGACCTCCTCACTCCCCAATTCACCACCCAGTGCCTCCGCTCGACTGGCACCGGCCGCCTGCTCTTCCCTGGCACCCTTCGCTCTACCATTGGAGGTCGTGCTTACAGCCACTACCCCCTGAAACTCTGGAACACTCTCCCTCAATCCCTCCGCCTTGCCCCCTCTCTCCTCTCTTTCAAGTCCCGCCTGAAAACCTTCCTTTTCGATCGTGCTTAAGATTTTTCTTTCTATTGTTGTTTCGTCCATTCTTCCCCGTTTGGACCAGTTCCTCCTAAATTCTTTTTTAAACTGCGTAGGAGCCATCTTACATCTTTACCCTCTAGTTTTGGACTCACCAACAAGTGGAAACAGTCTACTAACTTGCACCTTATCAAATCTTAAACCCCTCAATCAGGTCCGCTTTCAATCATCACATCTGTGGAGAATGCTTTTTCTTTTTTTTGGGTCGGCCCTTAGTCTGAGGATTATGTGATACATTCAGCCTCTGGTGTCAAACTTGCGTGGAGCAGTCGTGAGTTGCATCTTACACTTTGCGGCTTTTCTGGCGCATTAAGAAACCAACAAGATTGTGATTGTACGTTTAAATTTCTCTTTAGCTTTCAGTGCTTCAGGGAGCGATCGACAAGTACAATTTGATGAATCAGGAAATTCGGGGATTGCCTGGTGAGAGAGGAACCAAAGGGGAGAGAGGAGATCAGGGAGAGAGAGGCCCACAAGGGAAAGAGGTAAGCCAAGGCTTCTCTGCATTTGTGTTTCCAGAGAATAACAATATCAGTCCTTGAATTTGTTACAGCATTTATCACGGCATTGCTTTAAATAGTAATAATAATCCTTGCATTTGATATAGCGCCTTATCACGTCTTCGAGACTTCTCAAAGCGCTTCACAGAATATACTGTAAAGTGAGTTGACTGTATATGCTTGTGGGTGAAACATGGCAGCCAATTGCTCACAGCAGTGTCTCACAAACAGTCGTGAATTGAGTGACCAGTTTATGGAGGAACAAGCAGATTATTTTGTTGGGGTTCCCTTTTTTTAAGTGACTATTGTTCTGTTTGAATTGTCCTCTGAACATGAAAGGCGCTGTAACAAATTCAAATGCTATTTATTACTTATTTAGCAATTAGCATCTAATCCACACCAGTGACATCCTTCAAACAACAATGAAATGAATCACAGAATTTATTCTATTACTTGGATGAATTTGGATGAGGGGAGAATATTGTTTAGGACTCTCTGAAAGAGCTTGCTGGCCTTCTTCTAAACAAAATCTTTCATGTCCACCTGAATAGACCTTGCTTTAATACCTCGGACCAGAATGTTTATGGTAAAAAAGTTAAGGTTAATATAAAAATCTTAAGACTTAATGCTTTGGGAGGAAGTAGGACCTTCTTCTCATAGGACCTCACAATAGCAGGCTTGAAGTGTCCAAACTATAGCATGGACGGTCTAAATCTTTCCTTTGGTAAGTGGTTAGAGCACTCACCTTGCAAGCGAGAGACCTGGTTCGATTCCCGACATGGAGAAAGGTTGGGCAAGTTTCCTTACTCCGCACGCCTCTGTTTACTTAGTAAGTAGGAACCCGGTTGTTAGTCATTTGGCGGATCGCTTTTCTGGGAGTAATAATTCCTTAACTTTTTTTAAAAAAAATAATAAATTGGTCACTCAATCCACGTCTGTTTTTTGGGACACTGCTGTGCGCAATGTATACAGAATATAGAGTCAATTCATTTTCCAGTATATTCTGTGAAGCGCTTTGAGACGTCTTGAAGATGGCATAAGGCGCTATTATAAATGCAAGGATTATTATTATTATTATCCTATTCTGTCTTTTCAGGGAATGATCGGTTTTCCCGGAGAAAGAGGATTTAAAGGGGACAAAGGAGGTATAGGAGTCCCAGGTGCTGAGGGGCCACCGGGTCGGGCTGTGGTAGAACGAGGTGCCGAAGGTCCCCCTGGAGTGTCTGGGGAACCAGGAAAGCCAGGAATCCCAGGAGTGCCAGGCCGAGCGGGAGAAACCGGAGAGACCGGACGCCCAGGAACGCAGGTTAGTAGTCTCTTCAAGCCTCGTCTAAAGACCTTTCTCTGCGACCTTGCCTTCGGCTACCCTGGTGCTCAAACTGTTTCATAACTCACAAAGCAGGTGAGATACTTGAGGGTTTGAAAAGACTTCCTTTTCTCTTTCCTCCAGAAAGTTAGCTGTCTTTTGTTTCCACAGGGTGACAGAGGTGAGAAAGGCGACCGAGGAAAAGACGTAAGTGTTTGAAGATTCTCTTCCCAATAGTGACAGTGAACTGTCCACAGTTTGTTGCACAGACTCACTTACAGCTACATTTCAGCTTTGTCCGTTTCAACTAACTTGCAAGAACGTCGTGTGAGATGTTTGAGAGCGGAGTCCTGTAGCTCAGTGGTTAGAGCACTCGCTTTGCAAGCGAGAGACCTGAGTTCAATTCCAGGCAGGGCGAAACCTTGGGCAAGTTTCCTTACTCCACACAGAGCCTAATAATAATCCCTCCAAAAAAACAAAACAATAATAAATTGGTCATTTTCAATCTACGACTGTTTGTGGGACATTGCTGTGCGCAATTGGCTGCCGCGTTCGCCCACAAATATACAGTCAATTCGCTTTACAGTGTGTTCTGTGAAGCGCTTTGGGACGTCCTCCTGACGTGAAAAGCGCTATATCAAATGCAAGGATTATTATTATTATTATTACAGCTACATTTCAGCTTTGTCCGTTTCAACTAACTTGCAAGAACGTCGTGTGAGACGTTTGAGAGCTTATTAACCAGTTCACATGGATCAACCCTTGTCAGTAGGTCAGAAACCACATGAAGAATTGGATGGTCCTGTGTGTTACAAGACTGGTGGTTAGTGGGTGAGATTTCAGAAGTTTCCATCCAGCTCCACACAGACAGAAACAGACCACGACAAAAGTTGAAACACAGATTGTCAGTGAAATGGATGCAGAAATTCAGCTCTTTAGTTCCACATTACTGCAATCTTGACATAATTGGGTGTGTTAGATGGCCTCAGCCTTCTGGAGTTCCCGTGTCTATGGACGTCTCTCCTCTCCCCACACACACACACACATCTCAATAGTATTTGTGATGTGTTGCTCATGTCACCTTACTTCTGGGTTAACTGAGTTTGAGATGGACAGCACTTGGGTTATAGTCCTAGATACTGTGCTAGCTTTAAATCACCGAACCTCCCGTAGAACCACGGACATGGGTGATATGGGAGGAGGCTGTTTAGCCCATTTATTTTCGTGTTGTCGCCGGGTCTACCTAGAAGTCATGCATCCTAATCCCAATTCCTTGCTGTTTCCTTGTCCTCTCTAATCTCCTTCATCGCCGTGTGTCCAGGTTTTCTAAATACCCCTGGCAAAACATACATCTCTCTCTATCCCATAAAGATGGACTATTGTACCGTAGCAGGTAGGTTTTTGTGCATCTCAGGGTACATGAGCTGCAGGTCTTTCCCTGACCCTGTTCTGCATTAGACATGAAATGATTTCCAATGCTCTCAGTCTAGTTTGTTTCAAAAGTGCTAACAAGCCTCAACTTTTCAATTACAGGGTAAAGATGGTGCACCAGGTCTTATTGGCCTCCCAGGATCCAAGGTAACCATCTTATTTCCTGTTCTTGCTCACTAAACTGAAGACAGGTTATATTTTATAGTCTAACCAGTGTGTTCTCTCCGCTCCCTACCGGGAAATGAGATCCTTACAATGGCTGAAGCTGATTTGGTTGAGGATTCAGATCGTAATCCTCTCTGTTACCTTTATTTTAGGGTGAAAGTGGACAGTTAACAACGCCTGGTTACCCTGGTCAGCGAGGCCCCCCAGGACCGCAGGGGCCAAAGGTCAGTGCTTGATTATTCGAATTCAAGATCCACATCCTCACCTACAAGGCCATTCACGGCCTCGCTCCCTCCTACCTCTCTGACCTACTATCCCCCTACTTACCTGCCCGTACCCTCCGTTCCTCTGGCTCCGGTCTGCTCCACATCTCCCGCCCCAACCACCCTACCACCGGTGGCCGGGCCTTCAGCCTCTCAGCCCCGAGGCTCTGGAACTCTATCCCCCAGTGCTTTCGCCGCTTCCTCCCTTTCCTCCTTCAAGGCCGGTCTCAAGACCTTTCTCTTTGACCGTGCCTTCAGCTCCCCTCTTGACTCTCTACCCCCTCCTCGCTCCCTCCCTTCCCTCCCCTCACCCTGACCATTTCCCCCCAATGCTCGGGTCCTGACCCAACTGTACAGTGCCTTGGGACGTCCTCCCGACGTGAAAGGTGCTCTATAAATGGAATTGTGTTGTTGTTGATCAGACAGGATAACAACAACAACAACAACTTGCATTTACATAGCGCCCTCCACACAGGGCAGCGTCTCAGAGCGCTTAACAGTGGCGGAGCCTGACTCCCAAGCCGGGGGGAGGTGGGAGGTGGCCGTTAGCACGGTCGAACAGGAAGTCTTCAGGTGGGACTTGAAAAAGGGGAGAGGGGGGGCAAGGCGGAGGGATTGGAGGAGAATGTTCCAGAGTTTTGGGCGTAACGGCTGAAAGGACGACCTCCGATGGTGGGGACGGTAGTGGATTAGGGAGTGAGGAGGTTGGAGAGTTAAGAAGGTACCAGGGAGTGAAAGGATTTGAACACGAGTGTGTGGATCTTGCAGTTGATCCGTATGCAGGCAGCAGAGTTTTGAATGAGCTGGATCTTGTGAATGGTTTTGCTGGGGAGACCGGCGAGGAGTGCGTTGGAGTAATCCAAGCGGGAGGTGACAAAAGCACCGATAGTGATTGGTGTCTGTGCATGTGTGTGTACGTGTGTGCGAGAAGGTGTGTTGCACATTGCTAGAGAATGCACGAACACCGCTCAGTGTTCTCTCTATTATAAGGACATCTTTCAGTTAACCATTAACCTGTGCTGGGGCGGAGTAACTGGTCTGTGCGGAAGGGGACTGCTGGTGCCTTCCTGAGATCTGATCTGTAAAAATGCATCAAGCGTTGCTCTGATCAGTGATGTGATCAATTGATTTGATCAGTTGGAGAGTCTCTTTAACCCATTATGGCAACTGAGCAGGCAATGTGCTGTAACGTAACTCATTCCATCCTCTCTGTTTCTCTTGCCACAGGGGGATACTGGAGCAACAGGACAAACAGGACCAAGAGGAGATAAGGTCTGAGTATAGTAAGTTTTTTTTATAGCCTCCTACAGTCACATAGAGGCATTAGCACAGCGAGGTGGGTAAATCCAGCAAAGTTCACATAGGATCAACTCAACTCTTTGGCTATTGGCTGACCTGAGGGAGGGGGTTTAAGTCCCTTCCCCGCCTCCGCCAAGGAAAATGGGAAATTCAGGCGTCAATTGCAATATGAGGGTTCTATCCCAGACACACAGACAAACACAGTCGGGCCTGCAATGTCAGGGGGAGCTACACAATACCGCCAGCCCACAGATACATACCCACAGCTACTCACGCACATTACAGAAATATTGACACCAGCAATACATCTAAACACCACAAGCGAAAGTGAGATAGCGACCCAAGTAAGAATGTTGAGGCTGTTGGGATGTTGCTGTCTGTCAGCCGAGGCGTTCTTCTCTGAAAGTGGCCTCTCTGGGTAAGTGGCCTTTCCCGGTGGCTTGAACAGACTCTTGTGGAAGCTGAGGTGTGCTGTTGATTGCAGGGTGAACCAGGAGCACAGGGATCCCGGGGTGAAAGAGGTGAGGTCGGAGAGAAAGGCAAGGTTGGATTTGCTGTGAGTATCAGCCGAACTTCATACTGTCTGTACTGTGGTTACTGCTCCCTCTCCCTTTATACATTTCCCTAGACTGTGGCATCTCCTGACCTTTTGGACACATAATAATTTGGACAAGCAACTAACTATCCCTAGGAGCTGGCTACCAAAGGGTTAGAACTGTGTGCCACTGGCTAACTCTGAACAAACAGAGTCTGTGTCCTATCATGTTCTCCGTATTCTGCATTGTTCAGTATTCTGCAGTCACAAGTCATTTGCTTGGTGTGTTCCTGCTGTGATGGATTGATGCAGAGTTTTTCTAACAATAATCATCCTTGCATTTGATATAGCGCCTTATCACGTTGACAAGACGTCTCAAAGCGCTTTGCAACATACACTGTAAAGTGGAGTGACTCAATTTTGTAGGCAAACACCACAGGAAATTTGCAGAGAGCAATGTCCCAGAAACAGCCATGAAGTGAGTGACCAATTTTGTCCATGGAGATTGTTGGCCAGGACTTGGCACTGTGCAACCTGCGCCTAATACTATCTGGAATTTGGTAGACAGGGTCCTTTTCCCCCCCAGGGGAGAGAATGAGCATTCCATTCCAGACTCGGGGAAATGTCTGTGTGTAAGCAGAATACTTGTGTGGAATTCTCAGTCTGCTTTAGATGTTCTCAAGCATGCTGAAGGTTGTCAACCTGTGTCAGTCACTCGGCTGACCAAAACCAAAAGCTGTTTAAAATTGTTTAACAGAATATAATGTAAAGGAACTGGGCGAGTACCCGAAGCTTATTGATTAGAGCGCTCCCCTCGCAAGCGAGAGGACCCGAGTTTGATTCCCGGGCAGAGCGAAACCTTTGGCAAGTTTCCTTACTCCACACACCTCTGTTTAACTAGCAGTACGTAGGGACCAGGTTGGGGGTTTCGATGGGGGACTAATTTGGGGGTTTACGCCCACAAATTACACAGTCAATCCACTTTACAATGAATTCTGTGAAGCACTTTGAGATGTCTCAACGACATGATGAGACGCTTTATCAAATGCAAGGATTATTATTATACAATCACGGGCTTGTGGAGTCCTGTAGCTCAGTGGTTAGAGCACTCGCTTTGTAAGCGAGAGACCTGAGTTCAATTCCAGGCAGGGCGAAACCTTGGGCAAGTTTCCCTACTCCACACAGAGCCTAATAATAATCCCTCAAAAACCCAAAACAAAAATAAATTGGTCATTTTCATTTTCAATCTAGGACTGTTTGTGGGACATTGCTGTGCGCAATTGGCTGCCGCGTACGCCCACAAATATACAATCAATTCACTTTACAGTGTGTTCTGTGAAGCGCTTTGGGACGTCCCCCCGACGTGAAAAGCGCTATATCAAATGCAAGGATTATTATTATTATTATTATTATAAGCGAGAGACCTGAGTTCAATTCCAGGCAGAGGGCGAAACCTTGGGCAAGTTTCCTTACTCCACACAGAGCCTAATAATAATCCCTCCAAAACTAAAAACAATAATTAATTGGTCATTTTCAATCTACGACTGTTTGTGGGACATTGCTGTGCGCAATTGGCTGCCGCGTTCGCCCACAAATATACAGTCAATTCACTTTACAGTGTGTTCTGTGAAGCGCTTTGGGGCGTCCTCCTGACGTGAAAAGCGCTATATCAAATGCAAGGATTATTATTATTATTATGAATTATGCTGATTACTTGTGGGAATGCTTTGACGCTTTATGTCACCTTCCAGGGGTCTCCAGGTGAACCAGGCTCAGCAGGCGAAGACGGAAAACCGGTGAGTATTCACAAAGATTGAGGGACGTGAGGAGAGAGCTGGAAAGCGTGCTTCATTTTAAAACAATAAAGGGAAGTTTAGAACGATGGGTAGCGATCTGATTCTGTTGGACAATTTTCTAGACTGCTACGCCCTAGAAATGAGATTGCATCTTTATGTGGGAATGTGTCGCTAGAGTACTTCACATCAGGTCCTTGTCATTCGTCTCATCTTACTTACAGCCCCATAATACCTATGAGTTGAGCTCCTTAATTCAGCGCTAGAGAGATACTGAGCAAAACCGATACAGACAGAGAAGGCAAGTAGCAGGGACAGGAAGCATCAGAGCAAGCCATGAGCTATGCCCATCCAGTCTTGGGTGTTGATGGATTGAGAGAGGGGGAGGGGGAGGAGTCTTTTCAAAGGAAAGCTCCCTCTTTGGAAGGATAATCATATCTGTAAATCAAGATTATGAAAGGATTCGATAAAGTGGCTGTTGACAGATTATTTCCTTTTGTTGGTGAATCCATGATGAAGGGGCATAAGTATAAGTTAGCCAGTTGCAGATCTAATAGTGAGTTTAGGAGGAACATCTTCGCACAGCGGGTGGTGAGAATGTGGAACTTAATGCCAAAACCTGTGACGGAAGCAAAAAAAATCAATATGTTTATGAGGAAACTTGCTGTATATATGAGGGAGAAGGGAATAGAGGAGAGGGGAATAGGAGGGGTTGAGTCTAATGTGAAGTATAGACACTGGCGTGGACTAGTTAGGCCGAATGTCTGTTTCTTTACTGTTACAGTCTTTGTAACTCCACGTAAATAGGAATCAAGCACTGTTATCTTTCAGAAAAAATGTTTTAAATGTTCGCCATGAATTAATGATTCACGATTTGTGTTGTAAAGCTTCAAAGGTTCATCAGTAAATAAGTCTGTTCTCTGTTCCCTAACCTGTAAATAACCTGTTCCTTTGTAATAACTTCTGTTTTTGGTGCCAGTAATATGTAGCCCAGTTATAATTGTGTATGTGTATGCTGGTCTGTAACTGGTTACTGTTTCTCATAAGGGTGAGTATGGGAGGTTTGGGTTCTGAAGGGTTTTACTGTCAGCCAGACTCTCATGGTTATTATCGAAGCCATGTTTAACCCGTGCCGTTCCTTTGCTGTGCTGGGGACGGTTTCTCCAGATCTGGCTGAATTCTCTCACAAAATTAATGTAGGAAAAATGGAATCATTGGAGACAGTGAAACCTGTTCAGTTTGGTCTCTTGAAGGGGCATCGTCACCCAGTGAGGATTTCTGTCGATTGATACCCATTCCTGGAATGCTAAGATGACCGGAGGAGAGAGTGTGGTGCTGGAGCACGTCACAACCGGGTGGAGGGGTTGTGAGTCAGCCTCCACAGTACCTCTCCTCTGCCTTCGCTTTCTGAGCGTCTTTCTGTCTAGACTCAATTGATCGCTGACGTTCCTTTTCCCCCACAGCCGCGAAGCGGCCCTTAATGAAGACGATGCCCCTTTAAGTGCGAGCCTCTTGACAATGTTCTGTCCTAACCGGGGTTTCTGTGGAGTTTGTGTTCAATGTTGTCCCCACCACGACTTGTGTTAATCTCTGAAAGTCACGTGGGCCAGCACTAACCTCTACCCATTTGGCCCATCGGCTTCACTTCCTGCATCTCACCTCAACTATCAGCCCTCAACTCGCCCCCTCTGCTCTCCCCCTCGGACGTTGGCCCCTCACCTCAATTCTCGGCCTTTTCCCAAAGCTCTTGGCCCCTCACTGCGTCCCTCCACTCCTCATCTTGTTTTACTTCAGCCCCACACCTTGGATTCCCAGTTAAAAAAGAACAGATCCATGCGTGGCAACAGCAGAAACATGTACGGAGAGCAATGTTCTTACAATGGGTTATATCGGTGAAGTGTCTCTTGGTATCTAATCAGTTGGATCCAATGTTCCCTTGGATGTTGTTACTGTCTGTCACCTCCTGTCATTGTGTTGCTTGTTTCTATTTAAATTCAGGGTCGACAGGGGTACAGGGGGCTGCCTGGCCGTCCAGTAAGTAAACTTGAGTAGCCTCGAAGCATCAAATGTGCTGAGCTTGGTGCTGGCATTTGGCTACAGGATAGTTTCAGGACTGCGCCTCTCTCTTGCCACTGCTCGGCCTTTTGTGTTACTAACAGGAGAGACCGATTACTGGAATCACTGGATAGCAAAGAGGCTTCTGCTATATTCTTACTAGAGTTGACGCCACAGTCAGTCTATTCATGGGCCAACAAGAGGCGATAAACATGATATCCAAAAATAGCTAACTTACATAGAATATACAGCAAAGAAACAGGCCATTCGGCCCAAATGGTCTATGCTGGTGTTTATGCTCCACATGAGCCTTCTCTTGCCCTTCCTCACCTAAGCCTATCAGCATAATCTTCTCAGTGCCTTGGGACGGCCTCCCGACGTGAAAGGTGCTATACAAATGTAATCTTGTTGTTGTTGTATTCCTTTCTCCCTCACGTACTGATCTAGCTTCCCCTTAAATGCATCTAATCTATTCACCTCAACTATGCCTCGTGATAGCAACTTCCCTGCTTTTCATTTCTATCCGTCTAGAAATGAACCCCAATGCTTGATTTGCTTTTTTTTAACGGGCTTATGAACCTGTGTCGCTACTTTAAGCGATTTGTGTACCTGTACCCCTAGATCCCTTTGCTCCTTTACCCCATTTAGATTCTTATTTTCCAGGCAGTATGTGACCTCCTTATTCCTCCTGCCAAAATGCACCACCTCACACTTATCTACATAGAAATTTATTAGCCAATTATACGCCGAATCAGCAAGTTTATTAATGTCTTGTAATTTGTTGCAGTCCTCCTCAGTATTAACTACATCCCCCCAGTTTGGGGTCGTCCGTAAATTTTGAAATTGTACTTTCGATCGTAAATTGTGAACAACAGTGGCCCCAATACCGATCCTTGTAGAACACCATTTCCCACCCTCTGCCAGTCTGAGCAGCAACTTAATTCCGAAGTGTGTTCGACGCAGATTACAGTATAATAGAATTTACATTTATATTGCGCCTTTCATGTCAGGAGGGTGTCTCAAAGCCCTGGGCCAGAAGGAAGAACCTCAGAGTGTGCAATGGGCTGTATACAGGAGTTTAGCTTGGCATTGAAAGCGCTGTCCGTCAAGATTCCCATTTCTTGCTCTGCGAGGACCACGCTACCAGCCAAGGCTTTGACTTGCAGGGTTAACGAGGAGCCGAATGACGTAAAGCTAACAGTAATTATTGATAATTATATAGCTGACAACGGCTGTGACGTTATCTAGTGGTTCCAGTGGTCTCCGTCTGTCTGTCTTCGTCTCGTCAGTAGCCACCAGTCTTGTTCCTGTCTCTTGTCACCAGTCTTTTTATTTTACACATCAACACACCGCGGCCTCAAAATTAAAATGCAGAATGCAGTGACGAGACGTGCTTTGCTAGAGATTCTTCCCTTAACTTCTGGCATGACTCGAATGTTTGCAGGGAATGCCAGGCTTTCCGGGAGTACTGGGCCGTCCGGTAGGTTTGCGAATGATGCATTTTATACCCGCGCATTTGCATGCGACGCAACTGATATAACAGATCTTTGCTGTTCTAAGGTTTTTTTTAAAAAAAAGAAATATCGCATGCGCTTTTGTTTAAATAAATACGCTGCAGTTTTGATTTGATCTGATTTGCGTTTTGCTACGAAAGGTTATTTGCCAGTAGTTTTTTTATTGAAGAATAGCTTGTGGCCTCCTACCCCAAATTGCAGTTAGAAATGGGAAGGGTGGAGGAAGGGAAGGGAAGGGGTGAAGAACAGAGACCCTAATGTGTCGTGCACAAACCTTTCGTGTTCGTGATCCCTTCTACTTCACATGGTCTCAATCTTCCAGATCACCGCTAGCAAGTGACAAGCTGCGCTGTTTGTCAGCTTGGTTCTGTATGAGTCTGACCCCCCCACCCGACTACCTTCAGAACGATCGAGTACTGCCAGTCTAGCCAGGCTGATCCAGGGTTTCATCCCAGATTGGTATCCAGCTCCTTTTATGTAGGAAGGAAGCTTTGAAGGGGCCACCAAATCTTTCCCAATATTTTGGCTTTTTGAACATGAAGTTAATATCACAGTTTTTTACAGGGAAGATTTATCCACATTAAATTGTCAGCCTTTGAAGGTTAATGTTTAGTTTGTGTCCTGGGGAAACTGTTGTGCACTGTTCACAACGGAAGGAGTTCTCCCATTTGCGCCACTCCTTTGATTCCTTATTAGAACACAGAACAATACTTTAGGTTACACCGAGACAGTGGAATAAGAGTTGCAAAAGGCATTTAGAGTTGCAAAAGGCAAGTTCAGGACAGACCCCAGTAAGTATATCCTTACTCAAGAATGATTAAAGCCTGGAACACATTGCACACAGGACATTGGACTCATTAAATATCAGCTGTAATGGGAGGACAGTTGGGTGGGTATTCTGGAAGGATGAGATCAATTGGGCCAAAGGGCATTCTTCATCCAAACAAATCTTGTGAAATTGAACCAGTATTTTCCAAGCATTTCAGCTAAACAAATCCAGGTGTATTTCACTGTAGGGAATGACTGGGATGTTCCATTAAACAAGTTATTTTAATTTGTTACTGAAACCTGTGTTATATGGCACAGAACTCCTGCCGATGGTTAACTTGTCTTTCCTATGCAGGGAAACCAAGGTGAACCAGGGCTCCAGGTAAGTGTGCCTTTAACCCAGCGCTCTGTATTTTCTCCGCATCCTGAGGTTTTTAAACAGCTCAATAAACGAGGAGTTTAAACAAGGAAGTTTATCATTTCAAAGGGGCAATTTCAAGACAGACACCAGGAAGTTTTTCTTTATGCTGAGGGTAATTAATGACTGGAACAGTTTTCCAGAGAGGTTGATTGAAGCCAGGTGCTAGGATCCATTTAAAAGAACAGTCTGATCTTGTGATGTTGTGGTTGAAGAATGGTGGGGTGGATGTTCTGAAAAGATGAGATCAAATGAGCCAAAGGGCCTTCTTTCTTCATCCAAACCGATCTTGTGATCTTCTGAAATGCAGGTGCTGATTTCTTTTGTTACGCACTCCTAGAATATTTCAATCCATTTTGAATTATGAGGCCGGGTTGATCTTGTGGACATCTTGTGGCTCCCTTAGCAAGCTATCTGCCCCCCCGCCCCCAACTCCAGAATTCAGTTGTTTTATGAACAGAAAATTCACTTCCAAAATAATTCAGAAGAGTCCAGATCAGACCATGAAAGATAAAGAGGAAGAGGGAAAAGAATGAACCATAAGCCTCCTGCCATTGTGGTTTCTTGCTGATTCCTATTTTATGAGATGATGGTGCCCTGGGGGGTGGGGGCTGAAGGTAAAAGGATGGGAAATACAGCAATACTAAATACAAGGGATGAAGGAGCCTGGAGGTCTCTCAGAACAAAAGGGGAAAGTGGGAGGCAGAGTTTAATGTGTTGTGCTTGGGAGGTTTTCTCTATGCTGGACCTCTGACCATCTCTCTTTTTTCTCTCAGGGTCCATCAGGCCTTCCAGGTTCCCCTGGTGTTCCTGGGCTGAAGGTCAGTTGGACGTCAATTCCCACTGCGTTCTTAAGCACTATTAACTGTATCTGCACAAATTCCCGCTCTGTGCAATGCTAGCACATATTTCGCTAGGACAGCAGCCTTACTCATCTGCAACCACTATGCTATTTGAATATAATAATTTAATAATCATTACATTTGATATAACGTCTTATCATGCATGTCGTCGAGACGTCTCAAAGCGTCTCACAGAATATACTGTAAAGTGAATTGACTGTGCATTTTTGTAAGGCGAAAATGTTAGCCTACAACGTATGCAGTCCCTGCACTTTACAGTCTATTAAATGTAAGGATTATTTATTTTATAATATCGTCTTAGTATAATTGGAATGTTCACTGTCTGAAACCAACCCAAAGGGGCATGTCACTTTTCTACCTGCATGTTGAATACTTTGTGTAAAAGACGCCTCTGGCTTTACTTTCACAGGGGATCCAAGGTGATGCAGGTTTGAGCATACCAGTGAGTATCTTTCCAGATAGCAAAATCCTAGCATATCAGCACTTCGATGTACACAGTTACCCCTCAGTTGGTAAAGTCATTGCCTAGAGTGGAACATGGAAGGTATCAGAGTTGGCTGGATGTCTACTGAGTGAACTAATCTTAGTTTGGGTCTCCTGTTGGCCTCAAGTTCCCCACAGGTTGAGTGCCTGGTGACTTCAAACTGAAAGCATCCCCGTAGACGTCAGAACTGGACTTTGCTGTGTTGTTGCCCATGGTTGACTACCCTGATGACCAATATCAAACATTGGGAACTTTTTTCTAAATGGGACCGACCCAACTGTTGACACCCAAGACCAGAAATTCCACCTGGTCCTAGCCTGCACGCCATTTCATTATCATATTTAAGGTGGCGGAGAATTGTGGAAAATTCTTCGATTGAGTCAAATTGGAAAATGTTTTTCTGCAGTCCTTCAAAAAAGGATTTTGGTTTCCAAATTAAGAACGAACTGATGAATTTTTCCACAATTCCACACCAAATGGTCTCCCAGCCTAAGACTGGATGGAGTTTCAGGCTCTCTCTTTTGTGGATATGTCTGCACTTCTGAGTCTTATTGATCAGGTAGACAGTTTGATCAACCACGAGCAAAGGCTTGGTTTAATGTGGAGATCATAAACCGTGCTGTGTTATGTGCCAAGCTCATCTGTAATTCTGTCTTTTTTTCCACTCTAGGGCTCACCAGGACCACCGGGCAAAATGGGATTATCTGGAAACACTGGTCCAGCTGGAGCTGTGGTGTGTATTATTTTAATTATGTCTACAATTTCACTTTATTTATCATTGATCCACAAAGTGCACAGTCACTCCAATTTACAGTGCATCCTGTGAAGCGCTTTGAGGCGTTCTCCAATGTAAAAGGCTCTTTTCCTATTGTAAGGATTATTATTATTATGCTATACTGACTGATGAATTATCAATAATTATCCTTGCATTTGATGCAGCACCTTTCATGTAAGGAGGATGTCTCAAAGCACTTCAGAGGATTTACTGTAAGGTGTAGTGACTGTGTATTTTATAAACGAACGCAGCCACTAATTTGCACACAAAAATGTCCCACAAACAGCTGTGAAGTGAATGATCAATTTTTATCTGGGGGATTGTTGCCAGGGCACTGGAAGAAACTCCCTTCTCTTTTCGATGGGTGCCATGGGATCTGTAAACTGTACAAGCGCAGATGGGGCCCTTTGTTTAACATCTCAACCGAAGGACGGCACCTCCGACAATGCAGTGGAGCGTCAGTACAGACTGAGCTCGACTGAGCTCGAAGTCCCAACTTGGGGCTTGAATCTACAACCTTCTGACTCAGAGGAGAGAATTCTATTAACTGAGCCAAGCTGACACTTGAATTAAGTCCGTAAACTGCATCCAAACCAAATATCAGGACACGCCATCTCCTTCAAAGCAAGCTGTTGATCTCCAAATAATGAACTGAGTCATTTGTTAGCTAACTTGGTTTAAGAGTGCAAGTGAGAGGTGGCAGCAGGCTCCGTTTTGAGTTAATTGTCAGTCTTTGAAGGATGGCTGTGATCTGCTGTAATTGCATTCAGGCCACAGGTCACTTACTAGCAGCACTTAAGTTGTAGTGTGATGGAGTGAAGTAACAGATTACCTTATAAAACTAATTTATCCCCCCTACTAAAAGTCAGAGGATGTGTAAAATAATATCAAATTGATGTGTTAAGTACTGTACAATCTTTTCTAGGGCCGCAAGCAATCCTGTACTGCAATTTTGTGAAGAATTATCACCTGGTTTTAGGACCAATGATGTCCCTGACTTCACTTAATCTCCCCATTCCTCCCTATTGTACCTATGAAACTATTCTTTACAGTATATCTCTCTCTCTGCCCTGCATGGAACAACCCATTCGTGGCAGCATAGTTGAGTGCACTTGATACAGCGCCTCTAATGTCAAAACTTCTCTCAGCGCCTCCACAGGGGATTTCTGTCGGTTGTGCTGACTGTGTATCTTGTAGGTTAATGCAGAAGCCACTTGACACCTCATGTACATTTTATCATATACAATCCTTACGTTTCATAACAATTCTTGTTATTTATCTGCACCCAGTCTCGCTGCTGCTCCACTCTCTTCGGCGAGGACAAGTGCTCAGTCATTGACTAATGTTTCTTCGCTTCTTTCCAGGGTCCACAAGGCCTCCATGGACTGCCTGGCCAAGTGGTGAGTCAAAGGACGTTTGAACTCTTGTGTGTTGAACGGAGAATTTGCTTTGCCTGGGCTTCTTCTTGGCTCATTGAACGCTGGGCCTAGCGAGAGGTTTCTCATTTGATTTTATTTTTCAGGGAGAACCTGGGAAGCCAGGAGTGACGGGGAGAGACGGAGTTCCTGGAAAGGATGGACAAAATGGACTTCCTGGGAAAATGGTCAGTGTTCATTTTTGTTTCCCCATCTGACTCCTGGGTAGTTGGGGTCATTCTGGAGATAAATGCCAGGGTACAATCACAGCTCCACTGATCCAGCTACTGTCTGTCAGTAAAGGTAGTAAAGAAACTGAGATTCTGAGTGCCTTGGGATGCCCTCCTGACGTGAAAGGCCCTATAGAAACTTAATTTGTTGTTGTTGTTGAGCACTCTGAGCACTGTACCAGCAATGGGACTCTCGCACTTCGCTCTTAGAAAGACAGAGGCTTATTGCGAAGCTGAGTTCGCGTTGCTGTCTTGGTTTAAAAACTAAATACTGTATCTTTATTAATGGCCTGGAACAGTTTTCCTGATGGCTGTTGTTGGTAATGCCATTGCTCAGTGTGATAGTGAACCAATCAGAGAATTTCTTAGTGTATCCCTGGTCTGTGCTTAGTTAGCAGATGGCAGCTGGGATAGTGGAGTTGCTATAATTGGCCTGAACGTCATCATTTACGTTCTGATCTTTGTTATTGTGATCGGGTCTCGCCACACCTGAAGTCCTGCGTATAGTTCTGAGAACAGTGATGTAAAGGAGCAGCCCAGGCCTTAGAGGCAGTTAGCAATGAAGATGAAAAACAAATGAGCTCAGAGCAACAATTAGACAAACTGAGGTTCCAAAGCCTTGAAATATATAAGATTCCAACTTGGAATGAAAAAGTGAATCCAGAAGAACATTTTCACATATGCCGAGACAGTAGGGTGAGAGGGAATGGTTCAGGGTTGCGAAATGGCCAATTTCAGAACAGACACCAGGAAGTATTTTTTTTCCTCAGAGGATAATTGACAACTGGAATGGCTTACCAGGCCAGCACCCTGGGAGTCATTCACAAAACAGTTTTATTGCTGTGATGGGAGGACACTAAGGTGGGAATTTGGGGAGATTGAAAATAAATGAGCCAAAGGGAGTTCTTCATCCAAAGTTCTCTTGGGTCTGACTCTTGTCCTGGATGTTATCACTGTCTGGTGCTCATTCCCAAGTGGTCACTATTTGTCATCCAATCAACATTTGCATTCAGCCAAGATCATCAACATATGTAAAAGGAAAATCAATGTAAACATGAGGGAGAGGGGTATAGGAGAGGGGATTCAGAAGGGTGGAGGCTAATGTGGAATGTTTCCTTGCTGTAACAGTGTATGTGCACCCTAAAACCACTCTCCCACTTGGATATCGCAGACTGAGGGAGCCCAAGCAATACTGAGAACAACAAATTACATTCATATAGCACCTTTCACGTCGGAAGGATGTCCCAGACGCTGTAAGGTTAAAGGGTTGCACCTTTAGTTGGAGATTGGAATCAAGAGGAAAGGAGGAATGGGGGTGGGAGTGTGGCCGATAGCACGGGTCAAAGAGAAAAGTCTTGAGAGCGTCCATTAGCTTGGAAATCCATAGCCTAACAAAGATAGGTGGCTGTACTGGTCTGGCCTCTTCAGGTAATGCTGCCAGTTCATTTGGGCTTTTCATTTGACAGGGAATTCAAGGACCTGCAGGCGCTGTTGGACCCAAGGGTGAACCAGGACCTTTTGGACCCCCTGGTAATGTAAGTTCATATTAAATACTGGTTAGAACACAGGAAACTGAGAAAACTAATTTGTTAGGTAATGAACGATGTCAACAGATTTGTATTATGATACTTAGTTTCAAATATAACCAGCGTCTAACATGCTTGATTTGGGAAGATGCTTTGCAATCCATATTCTCCACAGGTTCGTTCCTCTCCTCTTGGCTAATCTGGGTTTGTTGCATATCCCCTTCCTCCTACCCACCACCATCAGAGGCCAAGCCTTCAGAATCCCTGCCCTTAATCTCTGCAACTCCCTCTCTCTACCCCTCCATCTGTCCACCTCTCTACCTGTCTTTCAATCGTAGAATCGTAGAAATTTGCAACACAGAGGGATGCCATTCAGCCCATCAAGTCTGCACCAATTCTCAGAGCAAAGTCCTCATTCAATCCCACTGCCCTGCCCTATCCTTGTTTATCCTGCCAAATGCTTCCTTAAAATATATGTCTTTAACTGCATCTACGGTCGCTCCTCCTCTTCTTTGCTCGGCATCCGAACCATTCTTGTGAAGCGCTCTGAGAGATTACCTGATGGGAAGTCCATTGTGTACGTGCATCTTGTTGCTTGCCATGAGACAATGGTAAAGACCAGGAGATATAGGTACGTCTGATTGTTTGGGGATTCAGTTGCAAGACTCTATGGAGTTTAACAGGGATTTTCTGTCTTTCATTTTGATCTTGTGAAAGTTCTTCTAAAAATGTGTTTTATTTTCAGACTGTCATTGGCCCTCCAGGAATCAAAGGAGAAAAGGTAATTATTCTTGGATTTCATATCATGCCTTGTATCTTGAGGAATTGAGGAACAGCCAGGACCTTTCTCTCCACTTCTCTTTTTGACTAGTACCATGGGATCTGTAACACCAACAGAACCTTGGTTTGATATCTCATCCAAAGGATAGCGTCTCTGACAATGCAGCTCCCCCCATCACTGAATAGAATATCAGCATAGAGTGAGATCAAAGTCCCAATGTGGGGCTTGAAGTCAAAACTTTCTAACTCCAAGGCTACAAGATGAGCCAGGCTGACATCAAACTGAGGAGCCAGGATAAAAAGTCCAAGGAAATAAAACCTGTGAATGTTGCAGCTTGTATATTTCATTATTAACAGAAAAATAAATAAATCAGAATAACCCTTGTATTTGATATAGCCCCTTATCAAATCAATGTCTCAAGTGCTTCACAGTAATTATTGCTAAGTAGTTATTAGACTGTCTATTTGTAGGGCTTTCCGGCAACCAATTTGCACACAGTAATGTCCTAGAAATAGCCAGGGTCGATTTAATTTTTTTTAGTTTGGGTGTATTGTCAGCCTGGACACCAGGAGAAACTCCTTTCTCTTTTCGAATAGTGATGAGGGATTTTAAGGTCCACCTGAGCAGATGGCACTTTGGATTAGCGTCTCATCTGAAGTACGGCACTACCCCCTAGCACTACCCCCTCCACCCTCACCCCCCACTCCACTCCAACCCCCCCCCCCCACCCACCCACCCCTCCCCCAGCACTGCAATGGAGAATTGGCCTATTGTCAAAATAGAAGCAGTGAGATGCACTCCATGATTGTCCTCAGTGTGTGATTACTGTGTTTAGGGAACTCCTGGGGTGTTCGTGCCTGGAATCACTGGAGCGAGAGGAACAGTGGGAGAACCGGTGAGAAACCACCTTCATTTGCTATGTTCACACCTCTGGGCTGGTCTGAACTTGAAACCCCATTGCAGACTCACTCATCCAATCCGCACACAAAAATTTTGCATCCATTTTAATTATTTGACTTGTGTTTCCACAGCAAGGCATCAGCACTGAGTTTAGGCACTCGCACTGTTACATGTGGTGGAGGGTGGGATGAGGGGTGGGGGATGGGGGTGAATGGTGGCATAGAAATGGGCCTCGAAGTTGGGGAAGAGACGAAGGAATGGGAAGAAGAAGTGAGAGTAAGATTGGGGAAGAGTCCCTCTGGGACGTGCATTTGACATTTTTTTCTGTGTTTCTCAGGGTGCGAAAGGTGATCGAGGTGAGGCTGGTACGAGAGGAGACAAGGTGCGAGGTTTAAGACTTAAATATTGGGCATTTAGCATCAACTACCCTCTCCCCCACCCTGCATTCCGACTGAAAACCTTGCTCTTTGACCGTGCTTACGGTCTCCCCCCACCCACCCTTCCTCCCTCCCCCCAGTTCCAGTAAGGCTCTGTCACTGTTAAGCACTCCGCTGCCCCGCGTGAAGGGAGTTAAATAAATGCAAGTTGTTATTGTTATAAGTTGGACTCTGCTGAGATATGTAGACTGCACCCATCAAATAAGCAACAAATTAATGCATTTGGAATAATAATCTGACCCAGAACTCAACACCTGTCTCACTTGCTCATAGTGAGTGTTTAGTGATATTGTGATGGGCTTTGGAGCAAGTAGTCTTCCCTGCAATCACTCTCTATTGCAGTTGCTTGCGTATCAATGATGTTGATCTTGATCTGGTCATAACCTTCCCTAGCCTATATCTTTATGCGGCTCCCAAGCTCCAAATATACCACCTCTTTCCAATGCTCTTCCTCCTTCCTGCATTCTCCTGATCAAAGCTGAGACTCATTGCACTATGTCTTACTCATTCTTTCCCAGAACTCAAGAGTGGATCTTCCTCAGTCTTCCTTTCCCACAAACATAAACCTCAACCTTGTTGTGACCTTACCTGCTTCTTAATTTATCTGGCCTTCTCTTCTTCTCTCTTACTCCTCTCCGCCTTGGTGATGTCTTACTCTGTAAGATTTCTAAGCAGGAAATGACATTGTACAGAAGGTGATGTCAGTCTCTGTGTCCTGCGCTTTCATGAATATATTTCTTTAGTGGGAGGAAATGGAATGGAGTATGAAATTGCTTGTGTTATTTTATTGATGATTGGAACGCCATCCCTTGCCTCCTTCAAGGCACGTCTCAAGACTCTCCTCTTCGACTTCTTTTGGCCACCCTCCTTGCCCTCCATCCTCCCGACCTGAAAGGCGCTATACAATTTTGCACTGTAGTGTATTGTATAATACATTTGTATTGTATTGATGCTATCAAGGTGAATTCACGCCTCCTTTTGTTCTGCTATAGGGTGAACCTGGTGTTCCTGGAAACCCGGGAGAGGATGTGAGTGTCTAACCGTGGTGTGGTTTACCTGCTCTGCTGCAAATGAAATGTGATTCACGAGTTCTTTGAGGCGAAGAATACGCATTGAGCTCCAGGGCCTGACAGACCAATGATAACACAATTGTTACCACCCGGGTAACAGTCAGCTGAGTACAGGCCAAAGATCTAACCTGGGACTTTTCTGGTCTGCAGGTCTCCACTAGTTAGTGCATGTACCATTTGAGTTGTGGTTTTAAGTTGTATTATGATTTTCTGGATGCTATCTGTCCTTTAAACCGCTTCCTTTAAAATTCCCAATTTAATATATCGCCACACGGACTTTGATGGCACTACTTACTGTTTGGTGTTTTCCCATTTGTCATCCAGGGTTTAAGAGGAGCCTTTGGCATGAAAGGAGTTAAGGTAAGAGACCAAAAAAATGGTGCTATCTCAGCCCTTGAACGGTAAAACAGTAATTGAGATGGTTGCAAACATCAGCCTGCTTCAGATCCCCTGCCCACCGTCTGCTGGTCGGTGACATCTCAGCCATTCTGCCCCCCAATATGTGTAACTCCATCCCAGAATCCCACCAGCTTTTCCTCTCCCTCCTCCTCTTCAAGATCTATTTTTTCGACCGCGCTTTTGTCCACCTTCTCCCCTACCCCTGAGTTCTGTGCGAAACACATTGAGACATGCTCCTTGTGTGAAAGGCACTATTGTACTTGTGTATTTATTAGGTGTAAGTCGTATAAAATCAATCTATTCACACCTTTACACAAGTCGTGTATGATATGACTTATGCAAGTTTGACATAACTCGTACTCTGCATAAATCATATTAAATGTACATTCCCAACTGATGACTTATATGAGGTTTACTGTATATAAATCTAAAACAATACAATCTCAAAGCCAAATGTACATTTTTGAGGAAATGGTACTCAGTTTATTAAAAAAACACTTAATTCCATTATTTCTGAGCGAAAGAAAGGAGGAGTAAGTTTGGGTGGGGATGTGATGTCTGTGCTGACGGCAGTGTTCGAGGGACATTCTCTGGGCTGTGAGAAGATCTGACTGCCATCTGTGTCCTCCAAGTTGCTGGAAAGCTGAATTTTGAAACGTTTCACTCTTCAGGGTGAACCTGGCATTGGTGTGACGGGGCCAGCTGGGCAGGTCGGGCCCATGGGGCTTAAGGTGATTATAATTGCGACTATTTATGATTCCTGATGTTTTCACAGTAGAGATAAGGTCCATTCTCCAGTTTATTTGGTCTTGTTTTTTTGTAGAATTACTTAAGAGTAGTTCTCAGAAGCAGCAGTAGCAGATAATTCCAATCCCTGCTTCCCGAGACTGAATCTACCGAACTCTAAGATGGACTAGCCAGCCTGGCACATTGGCAGGACTCGGAGGAACAGAAGAATCACTGGGAGCTGGGATTCTTCACATTTGACTCCTAATAGGAGTCCTGTAGCTCAGTGGTTAGAGCACTCGCTTTGCAAGCGAGAGACCTGAGTTCAATTCCAGGCAGAGGGCGAAACCTTGGGCAAGTTTCCTTACTCCACACAGAGCCTAATAATAATCCCTCCAAAACCAAAAAAAAACCAATAATAAATTGGTCATTTTCAATCTACGACTGTTTGTGAGACATTGCTGTGCGCAATTGACTGCCGCGTTCGCCCACAAATATACAGTCAATTCACTTTACAGTGTGTTCTGTGAAGCGCTTTGGGACGTCCTCCCGACGTGAAAAGCACTATATCAAATGCAAGGATTATTATTATTATTATAATACCCCTGTAAGCCAAAGCCCTAATGAGTCAGCTGGTCCTGGCTGGACAAGCAGGAAGAAGCTTGCCATTGTTCGCAATGTCATGCTATGTAGTTTTCGTTGGCTAAAGGCCAGGAATACCCCCAACGCACAGTTTGGAGTCCAAACCTTTGCTTTTTCCAGTCCGCACTTGAACGCTCTGGGATTAGGTGAGCAGGATGCCTCCCTCCGGGGAGAGAGTGCACATTGCCTACCACCTAAGGAAATTTTCCAAACATGTACGAATGTATAGTCTGGTTTGGAGACACTTAAGAGAAGGAGATGGGTTCTGGACACCTGGCTGACTAAGCTATGGTTGTAATGTTATGTATTGCAAACTGAAGTCTGAGGTTTGATCTTTTCAGGGCGATACTGGGTCCCCAGGACCTCCGGGTCCCCCAGGGCCCCAAGGCCTGATGGGCATCTCGGGACTGCCTGGCCTGAGAGGCGAAGTTGGACTTCCTGGTCCCCAAGGTCCCGGAGGAGAAAGGGTAAAGTGGACTCACGTTGGACAATGACTTTTCTGATCTTGTTTTTATCAGCTAGCCTAACAATTTGTTGATAGGGATTGTGACACATCCCCACACTCCTATTCCAGGGGTCTGATGAATGTCTGAGAGTTTGATCTGCTTAAATGGCTGAAATTGACTCTGGTTGGAGGAGATATATCTCTGCTGAATAATGCGAATCGTGCGACAATTCCCTAAAATCCTCTAAGTGAAATGGGATGTCAAGCCTCAGTGTAATTGCCAAGAATATATGGAAATTGACTGGTTGGGAAGGATTTGTTTTTGATACTTTGGGTGGGATACAGTACAAAATTGAAAGAAAGCACCTGGACTGTGACTGATACACTGGATACACCATCCAACACAAGGGACATTGTCCGAACTGTGACTAACACATGGGGTATATTGCCCGATTGAAGGTAATAGCACCTGTTGTATATCTGTAATGTGGTCGACGTGACAGAGCGTGTGGTTCTTGACTGCTATTTCTTGGGTAAACTCTTGTTGTCCGATACACAGGAGCGATCACAATAGGATCTTTTTTAACGATTTCCTGGAACATACTGTAACTTCAAATAAAACTCATCAGACTACAATGGAATGTGCCTACTGGGGAAACATAGAGTTCAAACAAGAAAGATTTTACGATAATAGCAAAATCCCTTTGTAATTGTGAGATCGAGATTTCTCCAATAACCTCTAGATTTTGCTTGCTGGGTTGGTACACTTCAATGAAGGAGCAATGGCCCTTTCATTCAGCAAAGGACTAAGATCGAAAACCTTTCATTTAGCAGTAAAATATTTGGTATCCTGTTGAATAATACACACAAAGCGTTTAAGGTGCTTCCATGTTGCTTTCACCCATCGTTCAACTAATAATAATAATCCCCCGACTACTCTAAAACACCATCAGTGACTATGCCTTCAGCCAATATGACTCTAACCTCTGGAACTCGATGCCTCAATCCCTCCACCTCGCCACCTCTTTATTTACCTTTAAATCCCACTTTAGGACCTATCTCTTCGTCCGCGCCTTTGGCTACATCCCCTTTCTCTTGCTGGGCATCCAACCCCATCACTGTGCAGCCCTTCAAGACGCTATCTTGTGGTAAGGGGCGCTATGTAAATCAAGCTGTTGTTGTTGTTTAAGGGAGCTCCAGGCTTTCCAGGAAGAGATGGAATAACTGGGTTGCGAGGACTTCCCGGACCCCCGGGACCCCTGGTTAGTGACCTATATCTTGATCTTATTACATATTACTGGGTAACGTGTGTGACATCCTGGAAATACCCCAGTATTGCACCAGGTAATCAATGCATGGGTGTGGAGTGGGAGGAGAGGGGTCTTTGCTAATTTGTATACAGTATAAATAAGGCTCTTCGGCTTGACAGTGATACAATATTTTAGGTAATTTAAAATTTTTATGCTTTATTCAGGGTTCGCAAGGATCAATTGGAGTGAAAGGTGATAAGGTAGGATCTATTCTTTAGTCGTTTATTGGTGTATTTGATTATTACATGACAGTTACTAAGTAGGTAGCTATTACTGAGTCTTTGTGTCTCTCTTAATTACGACACAGGGTGAAAATGGGGTTGGAGTTGCTGGACAGAGAGGAGAAAGAGGCGAGCCAGGGTTCAGGGTAAGTGCATTGCTTGATGTGTAAGTGTAATAATAATCCTTGCACTTCATATCACACCTTATCGCATCATCTCAAAGCCCTTTACAATGCGGTGACTGTACATTTTGCAGCCAATTTGCACACAGCCATATCCCCCAAAAAGCCATCAAGTGAACGACTAATTTTATCTGAGAGATTGTCAACAACCGATTCCATTTGTATCGCGTCCCTCACGTCGGGAGGACATCAGCCAGGACATCGGGGGAAACTGATTTGGTATTTCAATGGGATCTATAACGTCCATCCACCTGATCAAGTAGACAGGACCTCGATTTCATTCAAGGGACTACATCTCTGGCAATGCAGGGCTCCCGTCAGATCTGCACCAGAGTGACAACTTGGACTGTGAGCTCAAATTCCCGATGTGAGACTCGAACCCACAACTTTATACTCTTGAGACAAGAGTGGTACCGACTGAGCCAGGCTGACGCCCGCTCTCCTCATCGCACCTTTCAAAAGTGTTTTACACAGTGAGTTAAGTTGAAGTTGAAGTGTAGCGACGTTATGCAGCAAACAGGGCAACAAATCTGGGACAGGATAGACGAAACGTAGAGCTGAGTGATGGGAACCCGGAGCCTTGACATTGCTGGTTAAGAGTCCAGCAGTTTTATGCAAAGAGCAATTCCAATTATTAAAGGAACCTGGTCATTTAATAATGGTGATATAGGATGACGAGATGAAGTGTGTATTTGTTATAAATCTGACTGTCGTTTGCTGAACCTCTCATTGTTGTTCCTCCAGGGGACAGACGGTCGGCCAGGTTTGCCGGGCGAGAGAGGATCACCGGTAAGTCACCATCTGTTGAAATTCACCCGTGAAGCAGCTTTTCATTTTTTCACACCAGCCTTTTGTTTTGTAACTCGGTCCATTTCCTTTTTCAGGGACTTCGTGGAAACGTAGGAGAGAAGGGAGACAAAGTAAGCATCATTATTAGTAATAAGAATAAGCCTTTTACTTGATGGTGTGCCTTTCACGTCAGGAGCACGTCTCAAAGTGCTTCACAGGATTTACTGTAAAGTGGAGTGACTGTATTTTGTAGATGAACAAAGAGTTCTGTAACAGACTGGGGCGGTAGGGGCTGAACAGTGGAACATTACTTGTCTTTTTCTCAAGGACTATGTTTGATTCCAGCAGAGGTGGGGTGGAATTCTTCCTTCGAACGCCGTGACCTTCACTCTCATTACTTGTGAATGGCTGCCAGTGTCGTTCATTCCCTGTGTGTATGCGAGTCTCCCTATCTGTCTATCATCAGTCTGTCTATATTTCACTCTATCCCTGTGTCTTTCTGAGAGCGTGTATGTATTTGTACGTACCTCTCTGACGCCTGCCTGCCTGCCTGTCTGTCTGTGTCCATGACTCTTGTAATTCTGAAATGAAAGCCCCCACTTTACTGAGCTGACTTAATTAATTCCATTCTTGTTCTACACCCATTACAGTATCGCTAGCTCAATACCACACTTCAGCAGGTATGAGAGTCCAGCACTACTGCATAAGGAAAGTAATGTTGAGACATAACTCAACATTAAGAGATGTTTGTGTTTGTCTTTAGGGTGACCCCGGAACATCTGGAAAGAAAGGAGACAAGGTGCGTGAAAACCTATAATGTATAATAATAATTATTCCAATTGATTCAGTGCCTTTCAATCAGGAGGAGAACTTAAAGCATGTGCATGGTGAAGTGTAGTGACTGCATTTTGTAGGGGAACACAACAGCCAATTTGCGCACAGCTGTAAAGAATGAACATATTTTTATCTTGGGGTTTGTTGGCCAGGACACAGAGAGAAATTCCCTTCTGTATTTCAATAGCATCACTGGATCTTTAATATCCACCTGAGCAGGCAGATGGGACCTCAGTTTAACACGTCATCCGAAAGATATGGCCTCTGACAGTACAATGTTGCCTCAGGATTTTATTTGGAGCATCAGCCTGAACTGGGAGCTCAAAGCCCTGATGTGGGGCTTGAACCCAGAATCTTCTGAGTGAGACAGGCTGACACGAGGATATGTGAGGTTGGCAGATGTCTGAGGCTCACTGTGTCTGGCATTTTGTGTTCATGTTATAGGGTGACGCAGTTGCTATCCCAGGAACTCCAGGAATTACTGGAATCAAAGGAGAGTCTGTAAGTTATATACCCTATATTTATTGGGAATTTTGTTTACAGGGTGATTTTGTGGGAGGGGGGAGTTGCTGGTTTGCAGATAAGTTTAATCTGACGTTGCTTTTTAATAATAATCCTCAAATTTGATATGACGCCTTATCGTGTCTTCGAGATATCTCGAAGCGCTTCACAGAATGTACTGTAAAGTGAAGTGATTCTATGTTTTGTGGGCAAAAGGGGGACCGTGGACAGAAAGGAAACGAGGGAGCAAAAGGAACGAAAGGAGAAGAGGGGCCTCGTGGAGAGAAGGTCAGTAATCCTATCTGACACCATCATTTCACTGAGGTAATGCTCACACTGGTGTGCACTAGGCTATTTCTTATATTGTTTAATCTGGGAAAACAATAGCTGTTGTTGAAGCTAATGGCCTATAGCTCATGTATTTATGCTGTTATTTCTTGTGTGACTTATCTCACCTCGACGTCCACCTTTGTAATGAGTCTATTATCCCTTTGTCCACATCTTCACCTACACCAAACTCCACATTCCTATCATCCAATCTTCGCCAGCTTCCACTGGGTCTGTTTCTGGACAGACTTCAAAGGATTGACTTCAAGGTTCTTCCCTATAAATCCTTCCAAGCCCCTAGTATCTCCTCATCCCTCATCTTCTCCTGCCAAACTCTTATGCTTCTCCTCTCCACTTGATTAACTTGGGCTTCCTGCACATCTCCTGCCCTCTCTGTGCTGCCATCAGTGGTCAAGCTACAAGTCCTAACCTCTGGAATTCCCTCCCTTCATCTCACCTCTCTCTTTAAATCTCACCTTAGAACCTATTACTGCACCTGTGGTCACCTCCCCCCCATCCTCTCTTGTTCAGCGTCCGATCATATCATTGTTAACAGTGACAACAGCTGGCATTTATGTAGCGCAGGCCCTTCATGAGGATAATATCTCGCAGTGCTGAAGAACTGCAAGACATTAACCTGCATGTTGGGGGATATGTAAACACAAACTGCTATCATGTTGATTTGTGGGTTCTTATTGAAGTGCTTCATGTGTTCTTTCCTACCAAGGGGCCAAGAGGAGAGCAAGGAGACACTGGCTCAATGGGATTCCCTGGAGCAAGAGGGCCTGGTGGCCAGAAGGTACTGACTTCAAAAGTCCAGTTCAATATAATTGTTTTAGATGCTTTGATCATTCTCACTCAACCATACTACTCATGTGAGTCTGGATGAGTTATCAGACAGTGACCAGTGCTTGCAGATCTGCCCATATCTCAATAGAACACGGCAATTCACATAAAAAAATAATTCTAACCTTCGATCTCCTTTTAGAAGCTCATTAAACTTGCTCCTGTTTATTTCTGGCCTCCAGGGTGAAGCAGGCGAACCTGGAAGATCTGGAGAATCGGTAAGATCCTTTCCGTTTTTCCCTCTGGAATTCCACCCGCCAGGCAAAATTGGAGATAGGCATCAAAGCTGAATTCCCGGACACATCCAGGATTTGCTAATTCACAAATCCTTACACAAAGCTTGGAATCAGACTCCAGCCTCACCTTGTTCATTGCTGTGCAAGGTGTCAGCCTGGCTCAGTCAGCAATGCACTCGTCTCTGAGTCAGAAGGGTGTGGGGTTCACGGCCCATGTTGGGATTTTGAACGCACAGTCCAGTTCGACCAATGCTATATTGGAATGTCAGTCCAGACGTTTCAACGTTCTCTCATAGAATCATAGAATATTACAGCACATAAGGAGGCCATTCAGCCCATCGTGCCTCTACCAGCTCTTTGGAAGAGCTACCCAATCAGTTTCCACTCCCCCGATCTTTCCCCATAACCCTGCAAATTTTTCTTTTTCAAGTACATATCTAATTCCCATTTAAATGTTGTTATTGAATTTGTTTCCACCGACCCTTTCAGGCAGTGCATTCCAGATCGTAAGAATTCTCTGTGTGTAAAAAAAAATCTCTATTAAGGATTTCTGTTTTTTAAACAAAAATACATTGCAAATTGGGCCCCGTTGTCTGTTGTACTTTTCATTCCTTTTTCTTTGGCTGTTTTTGCTTCCTAAAAATTGAATCTTTACAGGGCATAGCAGGAAAGGTCGGTACTAATGGAGTGAAAGGGGACTCAGGCGAGAAGGGAGACCGGGGGTTTCAAGGCCCCAAAGTAAGTACAGACGATGTGGAATCAGATCTTCGCTAGTAATTTATCAATGAATTATAATCCTATAGTCCTCGCATTTGATATAGCGCCTTATCACGCTGTAAAGACGTATCAAAGCCCTTCACAGTATGTACTATAAAGAAAATTGACTGTGTATTTTGTGGGCGAATTGCGGTAACCAGTTGCACACAGCAATGTCCTACAAACAGCCATGCAGTGAGTGACCAATTTTATTTGGGGATTGTTGGTCAGGACACCGAGAGAGAGAAACTCCCTTCTCTTTTCGAATAGTGCCATGGGATCTTTAACATTGACCTGATTAGCAGATGGGTCCTCTGCCTATTCAGATTTACTGATTTAGTTTGAAGGAGAAAGATGTGTCATATTTTTTGAGTGGGGAGGAACCCGAAGTAGTCCGTTAGTATCGGAAGGTTGTTGCGTGAAATCTAACACCAGGGCTTTGTCGTTTAGGGAGACCGAGGAGGAAAAGGAGCCTGTGGCACAGATGGAATTAAAGGAAGTAAGGTGAGAAATGGATTCTTTCATTATTGTTAATATTTTTTAATCCCATGAATAAATTCAATGAGGTCAACTTCACAAATGGATTTCCCAGAGCAGATAACTAACCGGTTCACTCTTGGGGGAAAAAATCCTGAGAAGGGTGTAGATGGTGAGGTTGGTCAGTGAGACAAGCCATTGCCATCCAAATGTCTCATTTCTCTGAATAGGAACCCTAGAGGGAAATTAGAAAGTGGTTTCCTTGCTGCCGCTTGACTTGTTTTTCTCTTTAAGACGGGATTCGTTTCACAATATGTGTGGGTGAATGTCCATGATAGACCGCCTTGTGAGTGGCCTACAGGAGAAGCAGGATTGAACTCACTTCTCACTCCATGGTGTCTGTTTTTGTATCGGTGTAGGGTGAATCTGGTATTCCTGGGAGGCTTGGATTCCCTGGACGGAAAGGAGACCAGGTAAGCAAAAACTTGCCATTGATCCATTTTAGTGAGGTGATGGCAAAATATTGAGTAGAGGAACCTTAGGGCATCTTAATAATATGTGGAGTGAGAGGAACATTGCAGTGAGAACTAGAATATACCTGATATTGTGTAGCAACTCCTTTACTCTATTCAATAACGACCAAATGAAGGAAAATGGCATGTAATGACCCAGAGGTCAGCCACTTGGGCTTCCCCACGACGGCTGGTATTTTGTCATTCTGCTCGTACGCACAGTGCCCGCTGAAAATGGCAAGTTTCATCTCCAACTGCTTGTTCAGATTGACTACCCAAATTGTTGGAGCTTTAACTTGTAGAGTTAATGGGAGAAGAAAGCTGAGTGAGATAACACCCTGCCACCTGTGAAGGTCTGCCCTCCAAGGCGAGCCAGGCTGGGTGGCTGGCACGAAGGGTGGCTTGGATTGCAGGGGATTGGCCCCATGTTGTCAGTTGCACCTCAGAAATGACGGGGAAACATTCAGAATTGCATTACAAATAGACCCTACAGAATAAACGTGGAGTCTGTATTGATCTGTACGTTTTGTATTTCAGGGTGAACATGGCACCGCTGGTGTCCCAGGCTTCCAGGGTAAAGAAGGTCTGATGGGTCCCAAGGTATGACATAACTGACAGACATAGGCACGTGTGGGGATGGGATAAGGGAGCAGGGGGAGTGGGAATAGAGTGGTGCATTGAATGAAGACTTTCATCTCTTGGACCCGGATTCATCTCTTCCACCTGGTCTGAGTGGATGGAAGTCTCTTCATCTGTTGGCTACAAAAGTTCTCAAATGAAATGAGTTTTGGTGTTTCATCCCAAATCACCATTGGCATAGCAAAGAGCTCTTAATCTCATGTTCTCACTCTTTTGTGGCAACATCTGTTGTCTTCCCTCTTTTATAATAAAAATCCTCGTATTTGATGAAGCGCCTTTCATGTCAGGAGGACATCTGAAAGCTCTTCACAGGAGCTACTATAAAGTGTAGTGACTGTATTTTTAGGCGACCTTTGTACTGCAGTGTGCACGGTTGGACAGTGCTGATATCCTGCTTTTGTTGTCCACAAACAGGGTGACCGAGGCTTTGCCGGTCAGCAGGGACGTAAAGGAGAACGAGGAGACAAGGGAGAAAGGGTGAGCTGTATGACGTAATAATATCATTGTATTTTCCATGAGGATGTCTCAAAGCTTCACAGGATTTGCTGTGAAGTGAATTAATCACATTAATCACCGTGATTCACACGCATGAAACTGATCACACCCACATACGCTTCTTGGCCCTTAGAAACCATTTGTAAAGATATTAGACCCTCTTATCCACTTTTTATATAATTGCTGATTCACCTGTAATGAAATTAACCCCAACGATTGAGTGTTCTTTAAACACTGCTTTGATATGCATTCTAATTGTGCACTAACATAATCTCGGCAAATAATTGTCTCTAACCCAAAGACTGAGCAAGGCTGACGCCATCGTTCTGTTTGCAGGGAGTTCCCGGCATCATTGGAGTCCCAGGCATCAGAGGAGCGGACGGTAACTTGGGCCCCCCCGGTCCCGTCGGCCCAATTGGTCCAAATGGACCTGAAGGACTTCAGGGTCAAAAGGTAAACGGCCATCTTTTTTTTACGTGCGAGATCTTGCGACCGTTCTTCGGTCTGCGTCCTGTCCCCATTTCATTTCCTGATCCTGTCTTATTGGAAACAGACAACTGTGTGAGATGTACAAAAGCTAATAAGAGCCTATCTCGCATGTACTGGGTAATTGAGGATATGTACATCGATTGAAGGAGCAGATCGCAGGTTAAGTACTTCACTGGGTTTGCAATCTTCCAATCTCTGTTGAAGTGCTTTGCAGACTGGGATTCCTCCCATTTGCCTCCTTTTAAACCTGCAAGACAAAGCACTAATGGGTACAGTTGTCCGAGCTGGACAAACAATTGGAAGCTTGCTGGCATTTGCATTAGCAAGCTGCATGGTGTATGGCTGCACTCTAGAAGTACCACAGGATCTTTAAGGTCCACATAAACAAGCAAATGGGAACATGGTTTAACGTCTCATCCAAAGGATGGCACTTGCAACAATGCAGCACTCCTCACTGGAGTGTCGGCATAAATACAGTAAGCTCAGAGTCCTGACGTGGGACATGAACTTTCAACCTTCTGATTCAGCAGTGAGAGGGGTACCAACTGAGCCAGGCTCACACCTGACACGTAAATCCTACTCCTCCCATCTTGACCTGGATGCACTGGTGCTGGGAACTGGTGGAGCCTGGCAGAGATGGGGAAATAGAACACTTTACAAACCACTGCTTTGCAGTTTGCTATCCTGTGAAGGTGCCCTGAGCTAGCTAGGGGTTTTCTAAATTGTCCCTAAACAGATTCCAGATAATGAGAATGGCCAAATTCCTTACCCATGTAGATACACGATTCCCTGCAGAAGGGAGAAGAGTGAATGCGAAGTGTATCTGACTGCAATACTTTCTTTCAACTCTAGGGAGAGAGAGGCCCACCAGGAGAGGGTTTGCCAGGGCCCAGGGGCACCTCTGGTATCCAAGGAGAGCGGGGAGATCCAGTAAGTATCATAACAGAGATGTATTATCCCAATTATAAATGGATGGAAACCTGTGACGGGGACCACTGAACATTACCGTCATGTTACATATTCAGCATAGAGCTTTACTGTCAGCGTTTTCCTGATGTTTCAGCATCAGATAATAATAATAATCCTTGCATTTGATATAATGCCTTATAATGTCGTTGAGACGTTTCAAAGAACTTTTCAAAGAACAATGCACCACAGATGTGGGATCTAATTTGTGATATATGTAAAAGGAGATTTCTAGCACAGGAAGTGATGTTAGCAATGACTCGGAAGATTGACTTGGAGCCTTTCATCATAGACATGACCCAACGATCTTAACTTTAAGGGCACAAAACACAGCATTATAAGGAGTCTGTCTCACTCTTTCACAGACATTGTTTTTGTTCACTGCTGGTGGTGTGTGTAACTATTTATTGTGCTCACTGTGTTTAAGGGTGAGGTGGGGAAAGATGGTATAAAGGGCGATCGAGGAGTTCCGGGGATGACGGTAAGTTATAACCACAAAGACATAGTGTAACATTTGAGTAAATATGGGTTAAGCATTAGACTTTCCACCAGAGATTCGAGGTTCAAATCCCAATGAATCCATTCAGCCCTCACTGACAAACTAAATGGCAACTTGTCCCAGTTGTTACTTACCTTCTGGATAAAGAAGGACTTGTCGGTGTTTGACCTGAAATTGCCCCTTGCAACTTCAAATCCATGGCCTCTTGATCTACTGCCTTGGTGCATCCAAGTATTGTTCTTAAGTTACTTTTTCAATCCCGTTTAAAATTTTATGAACCTCTATAAAGTCCAACAACAACAACTTGCATTTATACAGTGGCGGCGCACGACGGTGAGCCAGGGGGAATGGGGAGGTGACCGTAAGCACAGACGAAGAGGAAGGTCTTCTGGCGCGACCTCAAGATGGGGAAGGAAGGGGCAAGATGGAGGGATTGAAGTAGAATTACACTCTCTGAGGCATCTTCTTTCAAGAGCCCGAAGTAGAGCATCTAAAAGAAAAGATACCAGGAACAGCTATACTTTATCTCCCAGGCTTTCAGCTCCTGATTTTTAATTGAAAAAAAAATCTGGAATCGGGGGTTCTACACCAAGCAGCTCAATCCTCAACTACATACATGTGTGATGTTGGATTTAGAGATTATAATAAAGAATAATCCTTTGCATTAGATATTTATTTGAAAGTCATTGTATTGTTTAAAAGCAAATGAATGACTTGCTTACAACTCTGGTGAAACAGACACTTTTTTTAAAGAAAAGAGCATTTGAAAATGAGTCACACGACTAAGAAATGGATCATTTTGTACTGAGTTAACTTCAAGCTTGATCTCTACAATGGTTTAGGATTTTTCCAGTTCGAGTCAAATTCAATCCGAGTTTTATTTTATGTCTTTTTTTTTTAATCAGCGCATTGACAACAAATCCACCTGAATATCTCTCTCTGCACCAGTCTGTCCGTGACTGTCTGGCACAGGGCTTATTAATGTGGTCCTCTTCCTCTCAACAGGAGGATCAGATACGTACCTTTGTGCAGCAGGAGATGAGTGAGCATTGTGGTGAGTATTCATCCGACTTTTCACTTAAAACGCTAGGTGCACTCGCGAGGACACTGGAAATGGTCCAAATCCAAATTGGTGGTTATTCTGACTCGTCAAATCTCTTTTTATTACAGATGTATCAGCTATAAATTAACGTAGACACTAGAGTGAGGAATTAGGGACTCCTGTTTTTATATTGGACTATTGGGGTTAACATGCTCCTGTTTACTCGCACATACAAACATAGACATGGAGTACACGTTCACACACACAAATACAGTACACACAAATACAGTACATGCTTAGACACATAATGCTCAGACTCAATGGGCTGAATGGGCTTTTTCTGTGCTGTAAATTTGTATGAATCTATGCCCACACACACTACGAATACAGTGCATGCTCACACACACACACAACAACAGAGCAAAGTACTCTCCTATGAAGCTTTGAAGGGAAATTTAGTAAAAAAAATATTTTATTCTTTGCCAAACACAACAATTTGGTTACCCAGTTGAAGTCATTCAGCCCACCGTGCCTGTTCTACCAGTTCACTAGATCGCGGAAAACCTTTTAATCCCAATGCTCCGCGCTTTTGCCATATTTTTTGAATGTTAAGGCAGATCTGAAGCCCGAAATTCCATCTGGTCTTGGAGTAGTATAATGTCATTTTGTCTTCAAATTTAAGATGTGCAGAAACATCCTTAGATTGGTCAGCATTTGAAAGCTATTTTCTTTTTTTAAGAGCTGCAGAAAACTGAGGTGCGAATTAAAACCCAAATCGAGAATTTTCCACAATTTCAAGACAGAAATGGTCTGAAGGGCTAAGACCAGGTGGAATTTTAGGTCCCTGGAGTGGAGACTGCCCTGACTGAGGCCAGACCCCACAGAAGTTGGGCTCAGATGAACAACTGTACACGCTTATAAGGCCAAGCTTTCAAACAACTGGAATTTCAGTTCCATTTGTGTCGTTACTAATGGGCCAGATCAGATCTCTCTACCCTCCCTCCCCTCGGTACCCCCACATACCACAACAAAAAAAACTGGCACAAACAACGTTTTATTTTCGTGGAATAAAAATATCAAAAAAGATGTGGGTTTCATTTCAAACCAGCAGCTCCCTCTCAGAACAGGTCTTTCATTACACGGAGAGATCAGGGTGCCAAGGATGTGCAGATGGAATGAGTGAAAAATGAGAGGAACATTTTGTTCTATGAGTTCCCGTGGCTCACGTTTCTGAGCAGATGATTGATATATGTGTGATAAAGAAATGGAGAGGATTCCAGATGTTGGTGGAGGGAGAGAAGCACCTGGCTTCTTGATTTTGAACAACCCGACTGTACAAAACTTCAAACCACCCCCCATTCCGTGTTGTGTGCAGTAACCCAGCCGTTTACTACAACAACAACAACTTGGATTTATATAGTGCCCTCCACGCCGGACGGCATCTCAGAGCGCTTTACAGTAATGGATCCCGGGTCCGAGCCGGGGTGGGGGGGGAAGGTGACCAAAGGAGCGGTCAAAAAGCAGAGATCTGAAAATGGGAAGGGAGGGAGCGAGGCGAAGGGAGTGAGGAAGGCAGTTCCAGAACCTCGGGGTATAGTGGCTGAAGGCACGGCCACCGAGGGTGGAGTGGAGGAATTGGGGGACGAGGAGGAGGCCAGACCCGGAGGAACGAAGGCAACGGGTACTGATTTGAGGAGAGAGGAGATCAGAGAGGTCGGGGGGTACAGAGGAGTGCAGGGACTTGAATACAAGGGTGAGGATCTTGAAATCGATCCTCTCTGGGATAGGCAGCCACTGTAGTCTGGCCAGGACTGGGGTGATTGGGGAGGGGAGTTTTGTGCGGGTGAGAATGAGGGCAGCAGAGTTTTGGATTTTATGGATGGTAGTGGATGGGAGACCGGCGAGGAAGGTGTTAGAGTAGTCCAGCCGAGAGGTGACAGAGGCATGGACCTAGAAAGTCCTCAATGAACACCGTTTTAACTGCTAACTAATATATTTCTCTTTCCTTCCCTCCTCACCCTTCTAGCTTGCGGAGGTGAGTTATACCAAAATATTAATTTCCTTATTGCTGTTTGTATTTAATTTGTGTCCACATTATAAAGGTGACTGGTTTGTTGGGGTCCTGTCCCCAGTGACGAGGGTGACGTTTTAAAGGATTCGTGGGACTCCCACAATGGGATGCTCTGAAACTTGTGCTGCCAAACCAAACACTTGTCAAGCTCGCACCCAGAGACGAAAACGTTCAAAAGAGGGAGTAAAGAGGAAAGGAATCCTTTTTGTTTGAGAATTTGGGTGTCCCTGGTGGCGTCTGAAACCCGTAGCTTTATAGCCCAATACAGATGTTTGGGCTTGCAATCACTTGCATTTACATCAAGCCCATTACGCAGGTCAATGTCTCAGTGCACTTCACAGGGACGGTGGGGGTCGGAGACCGAGCAAACAACAACAACAACAAGATTCCATTTATAGAGCGCCTTTCACGTCAGGAGGACGTCCCAAGGCGCTGCACAGTTGAAATCGTACAAAGTGTGGCGGGGGGGTGTGGGGAGAGAGGGAATGTCTGTTGGTGTGATTGAAGCACCAGAGATGAGCACATTGACTCTCTTGTCTCTAACACTGCAGTGCTTGTGTTTGTGCCTTGCTTACCATGTGCCAATCGGAGGAGCTGAGCTACCATTTAAGAGCAGGACAAGACCAATTGTTTGCCCAGTACAGTGGTGGTCACTTAAAGTGGCTCACAACGTGCATTCATTTGGATGCAATGGTGACGTATGACGTACACTCGTGTTTCAGGGTTTACAGTGTGCATTGTACATAGCAATCAGTTTCTCTACCCTTCTTTTCTGCTCACTCCAATTTTTTTTCTTGGAAATGTAACATTTTTATTTTACAGATTGAACTGGTGATATGTTTAAGATATCGAAAAGTGCCTTGTGTTACTAGGCCTTTGACTTGGTTTTGAATGTAAAACACTCCCTTTGAATGGATACCTCTCCGGGTTCATTTGTCCATTAGCTTGTCATGTGTTGGCAAAGATTTTGGTTCACAAAGACAATATGTTTTAAGTTTTAGGAATAATGCTAGCCTTAAAGAGATGCCAAGATGTGTAAGGGTCCTGTCTGTATAAAGAAGGAGCTGATTCTAGGGGAAATGGGGGACGATGATGGCTTCACTTTCCACTGTGTCCATCAATTACCAACTAAAATACAAAGTTTGCTATTATATAAAAAAAACACAGCCTCCATTGGATGTTGGGTGACTAGCCGTGAATCAGTAGACATTTATTGCCTGTATAACTGTGTGGGTGGGCCCTTTATGAACAAAGGGGTTTCTGTGTCCTATTTGTTTGTGGTTTATGTGTTAGTGGCAATGTAATCTTTTTAACTTCTTTTTGAACTAACTTTATGAATGTGTTTTGTTTCTGATTTCAATAATGAGTGTTGTAACCCTGGAAATGTTTGTATGGCTTTGCGTTTGATCAACTTTGGATTTGCATGTACAATGAAATCGTACATCACTGTGTGCAGAATAGATTGGGTGGGAACTAACGGAAAGGCTTTAGTTGTAGGACCCTCTGTTCACCATTGGAGTGCAGGAAGATCATCTTCAGAGCTCAAAGATGTCATAACTACTGATGCCCTCCCTCCCTATATCCCATATCCTATCACTCTATGTAATTTGTGTGATTATGCACTGAGGAGATCAAAGTGAGGGTAATAGACGCGAAATACCCTCAAAACTGATTCATTTGGAATATTTAGTTTTCCTGTTCTGTCCTCCACTGTCAGTGATATCTAAGGCCAGCTAGTCTTGTATTGCACCCAATAATATATGATGTGTAATAACTCAAAGCAGAGAGTTATGCTATAATTTTGTGAGTTAATGAATGTTTCAGGCTTCACTTGTGTGAACTGTATTAATTCAAATGCACAGTGAAATAACAGAGTCCGTTCATTCTCTCTAACAATCAAATCCACTGTTTCTCTATCATCTCAAATACTACAACATTTTTTTCCCATACTAAGTACATCAAGAATGTACATAAGGGTGGTGAAAATTCTCTTTATTGCTTGTAAAACCCTCGCCCCTCTCCAATACAATTGACATAATTTCACCCCCCCTCCCCCCAATTCTACTTCTTAAAAACACGCACACGCACAAAGAAATAGTGGTTCCCTAACACAAATTATTTCTAGTGGTGCTGATCCTGGGTAACATGTGACACTAAAAATAATATCCAGAGGCAAATGTTAGCTGTGACAGCTCGTTTAGTCTAATCTAACCATTCTTGCTGGAGATTAATGGAAGTGGTTCCATGTTTAGATTCCAAGCCCCTAGGGGGAAATTCAGAATCGGAAGCATGTCTCTTTATTGCCACCATTTATCTGTTCAGCCTCAAACCCTCCAGCTGAGAGATTGACTGCACCCTCTCGAACATTTTTTTCACAAGGCGTCTGGCATGAAGTTAACCCTTTTGCTCATTGTGTTTGTTTAACCCCTTTGTTGACCCCCCTCTCCCCTGTGCTTGTGTTTACTCAAAATCTGATTTGACTGTGAATTTTCAGATGATGTGGGATGACCTGAATATCTGGTGTATAAATCACAGAGTTAAACAAAATAGTAATTTATTGTGTAAACAGCTAATTATTGTATTCTGGCCGAGAGTGCTGGCAATCTGGTTTTACCCAATGGGTTTTACAGCTCATGATCCCGTAGTCTTTAATTGAAGAGGTTTACTCAGAATCAGGGGTCAATTGACCTGTTCCCTCCCATTCACCTCCTGATATCAGGTTACAGCCCAAATCTTAGCTAATGCCAATGTCTCCACAATTGGAGAACTTAAACCAAGTGAGATTAATGGAGGAGATACCAATAAAATGTAGAAATTTGATAGAATAATAATCTTTACATTTGATATAGAGCCTTATCACGTCTTCAAGATGTCTCAAAGCGCTTCACGGAATATACTGTAAAGTGTATATAAAACGTGGAGAGGAGTTCGACGTTGAATAGACTGTGGATACCTTAGAGTGGAAAGTGACCCATTGTCATTATACAGTGCCTAGAAGCCATCAGAGGCCAACATCCTAATCAATCAGCGGATGCCCACATATTGTGAGTGTAGAATTAATAAATACAGATCAAGAAAAACATTTCCTTGGCCTGTGCTGCAATTGGGTAGTGATGGAGGTCATACGACTTGTCAGGATTGTCCATATTGTCTGGCTGCAGACCTCTGCTGGAAAGTGTGAATGTGCAGATGTTAGATAACAACACATTACATTTGTATAACGTCGGGAGGACGTCCCAAAGTGCTGGACAGTCAAGGATGTGCACTCGAGCTGAGGGTCAGGAGGGGTGGAGCGCAGGGAGGGTGGGGGTAGGAGGGTGACCGAAGGCACGGTCGATGAAGACTGGATCTGGCTCAGCTCTGATACTCCCCCTTGTTTGAGTAACCTGTCAGGGCTCATTATCCATACTCACAGATGGGCAGCGCTTTCTGTTGGCTGTTGAATTGGCACCAGTACACCAGCAACTGTTAAGAGTATTAAGAGACGTTGGGAGGAAGAACAGAGAAGAATAAAGACAAAGGGATGATCCCATCTTCTAACCCATTCAAACATCTATCACAATCACGAGTTCAGCTTGTGGTCTGTGCTTTGTCTCTATAATCAAACAAACAAGCCCTGGTGCTCACAGAATCCAAAAGTCAAACTATCAGGTAAAAAGGTTTAAAATGTTTATTTTGCCAAACTAAACCGTGAATGTTTACAAACGGGATCTGTGAAATCCCAACTCCTGTCACAAATTCTGATCTAAAGGCACGTGAAGCCAGTCACACTTAATAACTGACTCTGAAGAAAGTGATTTGTGCTCCAGATATTACAGGGTGTCTTGAAACTCCTAATATACTGTTTGTTTTGTCTCTTATTGACAATATTTGATGGACCATAAGTACTTTAGTTAAAGATATTTCTCTGGTAAACATCAATTTCCAATTATAAAGAGTCATTCACATCAGCAAGCTGTCTCAAGGCGTCTCACACTGCTGACTGAGCTGCGTATGGGTGGGGGCTGGGGGGATGATGAGGAACGTGGGGGAAGATCTGACATGGTTGAAAAGAGGTTTTTAAGCGAGGTTTAAAGGTGGGGAGAGCGTAGATGAGGAAATGGAGTTCCAGAGAGTCAGAGAATGAAACTGGACCTAATGTAGGGATGAGTACAGGATCCCACAGGGAGGGTGGGGCAATCTGAGGAACTTGACTCCAATACCTCATTCTTTGTAGTCAAATGGTCTGCAGCTGGGTCATGAGGGTTTGAGTGAAACTCTTCACTTGCTTTTTAATGTGAGATCCTCACAATCTTGTTTTATTTGAAAGTTGTGGGAACTACAGTGCTGGATGATCCCCAGGGTTAGAATGAGCTACAAGCAACGACTAGACAAGCTAAGGCTCTTCAGTTTCAAAAGATGATCTTTACAGAGGTGTGTAAAATGTTAAATGGGAATGAGAGAGTAAATCCAGAACAATACATTAGGGTACAATAAAATAAGAACAGGAAGACACAGGTTTAGAGTTGTGAAGCGCAATTTCAAGACACACACAAGAAAGTATTTCTTTACTTAGAGGGTAATTAATGGCTGAAACAGGTTGTCAGGAAGGGTGGTTGAGACTAGGACAATGGGCTCATTTAAAAAACATTTTGATACTGTGATAGTGGGACATTAGGGTGGATGTTCGGGAAGGATGAGATCAGATGGGCTGAAGGGCCTTCTTCACCCAAACCAATATAGTTATCTTGCAAGAACATAGATTGGAAACTCAAATATTACCATCAGACTAACTGACAAAGCCTCCATTTTGCATTCATCTTTCTCTCCGAGCTCATTTGAAATTGACGCACACTGAGGCTGAATCTTATTTTCCATCAAATACGTCTCTGTGGTTGAACACTGTGTGTTAATTATTGTTGTATTGTCTGTGGGCTTGTCTACTTCCATCTAGGCTTCGCGTCAAACATACCATCTTTTTCCCGTCAAGTACCTGTCTTAAAGATCTCACATGAGGAGGACTATGGTGATAAAGCAGGTACCGATGGTAGGTCTTTTCTCTTGTCCGACATGTTTCACCTTCCAAAGTAACATTGATTTTTTTTTTAGAAGGGATTTTTATTAGAAAGACGTACAGTGCACACTTTTTTTTAACCAACAAATGATTCTTCCGCAATTTAGCACATCTTTAATATGGTGGTACCCGACTGGCTATGCAATGCTTAAGCATATTGTTTGATTCACAAGTGACCTACCAATTGCAGGAACTGGCTCATTATATCATGGTTTCAGACATTGGCTCATTATTTGGCAACTTTGTATCATTATGTACACCAACATCTTGCACTGATAGAGCGCCCTTCACATAATATAATGTCTCGGATGGTGAGGACCGAAGCTGAGCGGGGAAAGGGGAGATGAGCATAGGCGGATTAAAGAGGTAGGGGGAGGTGACCACAGTCAGGTCAAAAGGGTAGGTTTAAGGCAAGAGTTGGAGACAGATAGCAAGGGATGAGACGGAGGGAGTTCCAGAGGTTAGGGGTGTAGAATTAGAAAATTCAGCCACTGATGGTGAGGATGAGATGGGGATGTATAGTAAACCCGAGTTCTGGCAATTTTCTGGGTCAATATCTGGTAGTTTCAGATAATGGCTCCTTATATGGCACTTTTGGGGCTCGTGATATTGCATCAGTATCTGGATTGTTGTCTGACACCATTTTATATTACCATTTTGTCTTTGGTTTGCTCCTGCCTCTTGGTTTGCTCCTGCCTCTGGTTTACACCTGTCTCTTGGTTTACTCCTACCTCTGGCACCAGCGAGGAATGCACAGCTGTGGCTTTGTTGACTCTGTAACCGAGAAGACCTACCTTGGAGTCAGATTGGACAAGCCTCCACTCCAGAGACAGGCTGCTGATGGCCGGGGTCAGTTTGATGGCTGATGAGGCTCAAACACGCTGCCCTTTCTCCTCATTTCCGGTCTCTGGGTGGCTACATTGCAAAGCCCTATTGCTGCGAACAGTTTTGTAATGGACAATAACCTTGTGCAATCAATTCTTTGCGGAGCGAATAAAGTCTTTTGTGTTTCTGAAGGGAGAGAGCTGAGGTTGGTGGTGAACGCAAACGATCCAGACTACGAGCACTTTTACACAGTGGAGAATTATGACGAGTCGATGGAGCAATATGAGATGGAATACCAGAGCCCTGAATTACTGCGTGATGGTGAGCAATTACAGCTGGGCTCCCTCCTTGTGGGTCAGTCTGGCTCCATTGGAAGCTCTTCCTGGATCAGAAGGGTGATGAGTTCGAGCCCCACATCCCGCTTATTGCCTGACACTGCAAGATTCTCTGACTGAGCTCCGCGACCCTACCCCATGTGAAGGGCGCTATATAAATGCAAATTGTTGTTGTTGTTGTTGACTGGCACTAATCTTAGCCAGCGCCATAACAGGACAAGCAATGCATAATAATAATAATAGATTTAATAACACCTGCATTTAATTTAGTGTCTTTCATATCGGGAGGACTTCTCAAAGTGTTTCACGGGATTTACAGTAACGTTTAGTGACTGTGTTTATAGGCCCCGAGGGAATTTAGTGACAGTAACAACAACTTGTACCTTTCATGAAGGAAAATGCCTCAATATCCTTTACAAGGAATAGTGTGGACATGGAGCAAAGTGGGAAGAAGGGGTAGGGTACTAGAGATGATCAAAGGCACAGTCAGAGATTGGTTTCAAGACAGAGGCAGTTCTAGTGACTGAAAGCTTGGCTGCTGATGGTGGGGAGGAGGGGTGAGGGATGTGCAGCAGGTTAGAGTTACTACAAGGAGAAAGTTACATTCAAAGCAACATGTGGAATCGTCAGTGTTTCCAACTTCGTCCCATGTAGACTTGAAGAAAAATAATATGTAAGAGGTTAGAGTGGAGAGCTCCAGTGGGGAGCAAGTACCAAAAAAACCCCAGGGGAAAAGAGCAGGGGAATGGGGTTAGAGTAGAGTGCTCCAGTGGGGGAGTGAGCATCAGCACACTGGAGCTTTCAGCCACGGAACGCCCTCCGCCTGTCTTGAAACTAACCCCTTTGACTGTGTTTTTGGTCACCTCTAATACCTGACTCCATCTTCCCACTTTGCTTGATGTCCACGCTGTTGCTTTTAAAATTGTTTTGAGGCATTTTCCTACATGGAAGGTGCTTTACAAGTGCAAGTTAAAATAGACTGAAAGGCTTCCTCTCGTGCAGCAGACCTGCTGTGATTTTATATTGGTGTTAGGGAATCTCTTAAATAACGTCCTTCTTGTTAACAGGTGAGAAAGCTCATAGACCAAATTCACAACTGGCTGGATACAAAAGAGAAGCTTCTCAACAAGGTAGGGGCTTGTACCTACACTGTCTAACGGAACTTCTTCAATTTGTAGTTGTCTTCTGTTCCTCTGGAGGCTGTGACGTGTTCTCAAGAGATTTTTTCTCTTGTGGGAAACATCACAGCCAAACTAGTCATCTTCGCACCTAACTCTCACACAAACGTGCTTCCCAGAGTCCTTACTGGATAGTAATGAAAATGGGAATACTGGCTGATTTCCCTCTCTTTCCTGCCTTTTCCCATAGTCTAGGGACACAAGACCAATTACAACATCCTCACTCTGACTGAGATGATCTGTGTCAGTATTGTATCTAGGGTCCTTCCTGGTTTGGATGGTTCAATAGCCCACCACGAAATGCCTTGGCGAAAAAGATTAAGGGATCATCCCTTATGGATTAGAGGTTACTTGCTCTCTGTTCCGCTCTTCCCTGATGTTCTTCCTTTTAAGCATCTTCCGGAGATCACATTTCTCAAATACTTTGGCAGGCAGAGGGACATCTACTCTATTGTCAGGATGCCTGACTATGTCCGATTGGATCCTTATCTCCCTCACTCTACCGACAGAGTTGATTTGGTATTCATTCTTTTCTAACCATTTCTTTCTATTGTTTAAACCAGATCCCTGCATTTTGCCCCTGGACGAAGGCAATTGCTCCAAGTTTACTCTGCGTTGGTACTACCACAGAAAGCCCGTGAATGCCGTCCCTTCATCTACAGTGGCTGCAATGGGAACGCAAACCAATTCCCAGCCAAGGAAGACTGTGAACAGGCTTGCAAGTCCACCAGAGGTAATGAGCAGGTCTCTTGTTATACTGAGCTGGTGGGTGTGAACATTATCTGGGTTGGGCAAGTATAGACTGGACACATGGGTGGCATGTCTCTCGGAGCCTGTAGCTAAATCATATAGATCAACAAGGTCCTAAGTTCGGTCTCTGATGAGTAGTGAGTTAGCAATGACTGTAACTGATCAACAAAATAGCGAAGCATTATTCGCTGTATGACTTCTTTGTGTTTGTTTGATTTTGGGGTAAATGGCCGATAGGCTGGAGCTCGCTTATATTAATAATAATAAATAATCTTTGCATTTGGTTCTGTGCCCGACAAGAGGCCGTCTCAAAGCTCCTCACAGGATTTACTGTAGAGTGGAGTTACTGTGTGTTTTGTAGATGAACGCCTGGACCTAAAGTCCCTTCAGAGAGAGAGTGTACATTGCACTCCAGAGACAGGAACATTTCTGTACAGACTTGGAACTTCCAGTAGTCTGATTTGGAGACGATCAAGCATGGTGTTCCACCTTCTTATTTTTATTATTATGCAATGGATTTCTATGTATGTTAGATATCTGGTTGACCAGAAAAACAAGGAATGTGGAATAATTTACATTATTTATTGGCAAAGCCTGAACAAGATTAAAAAGATTTTAATGTGGAAGTAATAATGGCTCCAAATAAATAATAATAATTTGGTCATTCAATCCACAACTGTTTGTGAGACACTGCTGTGCACAATTGGCTGTCGCGTTTTGCCCACAAAATATACAGTCAATTCACTTTACAGTATATACTGTAAAGCGCTTTGAGACTTCTCATCAACGGGTTAAGGTTCTATATCAACTGCAAGGATTATTATATTAAAGAGTTGAATGAAACCCCTTTTCTCCTCATTTTTTGTCTCGACAGAACGGACCCAGGAAGGAGGAAGCTGAAAAGAAAGGATAACGAGAGAGAGAGAGAGAGAGAGAGAGAGAGAGAGAGAAAGATGTAAATTTTAATTTGAAGGACAGGGCGAGGGGAGAGATAGAAAGAGAAAAGTTTCTTTCATATAATTATTTTCTGAGCACTGCATGATAGTACGGTGCTATAAATATGGTGCTATTTTTAACCCGATATTTCTATTAAGACAAAACTTTTATTAAAATAAGTATCGGCGCTGTTTGTAACATATTGTCAGCTTTCACATTCTCCTCCGCCTATTTCAGATGAGGAATTATTGACAGCTGGCAGTCAGAATAATAATTTGATCCCACCCTCCACCCCACTCACACTGATGTTCCTGCTAGTCTAATCAGGGGGTCACGAGGAAATGTCCAGGGTTTCAAATGCTTGTGTATATTTTAAGTATGTTAAAAGTTTGTATGTTGCCTTGAATCTATCTGTATTTATGTGTGCCTGTTATTTACACACTGCCTGACAGATCGGTGCTATAGAGAGCTTGGGAGGTTGCCCGCAGCTAAATCATACAGATCAAGAAGGTCCTAAACTTAATCCCTGATGTTGGTGGACTCAGCAGATGGTACTATGGAGGGGAAGGCAGGAGTGGGGGATGAAATCATTGGTTGGTTGATCTGGTCCCTGATGGAAAGTGCATGTTTGTGAGTGTTGGATGAGGTGTGGGTCAGGTTTGGGTGCAATCTCCAATCTCCTTCTCTCCCTCTCTCTCCCCACCTCCCCACCCACCATTCAGATTGCCACAGGAAGTGACATTGGTGGTGATCCCCCAGTGTCTACTTGCCAAAGCCAACCATATGGTGCACAGAGAACCTTATAAAGGGGGGAGGGACCCTACAATAGTGTTCTTCTGTAGCGCGATTCAAAAGTATCCACCAGGGAGACATAGAAGAAAAGAAAAGCTTGGCGGTGGGTGGGAGAATATTGTGTAATATTCTAGTCAATTTATTACATGCAATAACCTTTACCACTCTGTTGCTGTTATCAGGGATATTAGGTGGTGCTATTTTCTGAATGTAGTTTTGCTAATCATTTCACATAGTGAATGATGCAAAGTTGCCAAAGTTATTTATTGTGCATGAGAACGCTTGCAGAATATGAAGGAAAGTGCTGGTTAAGGAGAACGTTGGAGTCAACGTTGGAGTCAACGTTCTCCAAACCCTCGGGACGTCTATTTTAATCCCTCTTCCACGCCCCACCCTCACATCCAGCATCCGGGCATTGTCAAAGAATTGACTGTCTGCATTAGTTATTGAAAATGTATATTAAAACAATGTACAGGGTGTTCACAAAGTCCTGTTACCCGTGTGTTTTTTACATAGTGCATTGACCAACAACTGAAATATGGAAGAATTATGATAATTGTGTTTAGAAGTACTTAATTGTATTCAGTGCAAGTGCTTAACTGTCCAGTGGATCGGTGTGTGTGTGTGTGAGCGCGATCATTTTCATGGCAGATAATGATCTGTGGCCATGTTCGGTGCTACATCTTCCGAAAGATGGATGGAGTGAGGAGGAAATTACTGGGATCAGACATTGTTACACTTGACTCATCTTCAACAGAAAATAAAAATTCATTGTAAGAAAGAAAAGGGGTAACAGGACTTTGTGAACACCCTGTAGAGGAACCCTTTGAATAATTAACTTAAAAGGAGGGTGGCTCAAAATGATAATTTCTTTGCAAAGTGCAAACAACCTTACTTTGCATGTCTTAAAGCGTGTTTATCATGAGACTACAGGATTTGGTGCAGTGTTTCCAGGATGGTTTATGCCTCTGTGTAACTATTTAATTTGAACAAGTCTAACCCTGTTCTACTCTAAATTCATTCTTCCCTTAAGACCAAGAAAGTCACTCCAGAATTGCTTCTCATGTTCACTCTTCCCTTTTTCCTGCAATCGGCAGGTATTTTTGAACACTAGCGAGTACTTGTGATTTACCTCATCCTCTCTTATTCTTTTCAGCCTTGACAGTCTCCCACACGATGGTCTCAGTTCTCCCCTTACATTCTGCAATAACTTAATAAGAAATGCGACCTACCCTGATAGATTCACTGTTAGGGTTGTCAAATGACTAACGACCACTTGGGTAGGATAACACAAGGTACCTGACACCTATAAACCTTACCCCAGCAAAGGTCAGTGGCTTCGGGAGAAGAATAAAATAAAATCGGAGGAAAAATGAACTGGATAAATTCGACTAATTTGAGATTCTGACTGGATTGTAAAAGTTAAGGGTTGAGGTAAAACTGGAAAGTTTTGCAAAGCAGCTGCCTTGACCTAGCCGATAGAAATTTAATGCGGGTCTAGATTTGCTGTGTTTTCTTAACATTTCAGAGTGTCCAGGATTTGATAAATTCTTAAACGCAGCCCGGATCCAGCGCCTTGGGACGTCCTCCCGAAGTGAAAGGCGCTATACAAATGTAACTTTGTTGTTGTTGAATTTTGAGGCCATAACATTTATTCAAGAATGACAGAAAAGTTGAGGCTGAATTCAACGGTTTGCCAAACACTGGATGCTCTGAAATGCTAAAAACATAAAAATTGCTAGACGAACGAAGATCAAGGTCCATCCAGTTTGCCTTCCAACATCCTGTCAGTTGCATGCACATGTCCTGTCCTAAACTATATACTCAACAGTTTACCAAAATATTATCATCTCTACTTTTGAAAGCTTTCGTTTACCTTTTCTTCTTTCTTCCAGCTCCCAGTGTCCATTTTGGAAGTTGAAACATGACTTTCCTTAATTCCAATAAAATATTGTAGCCAAGAAAAATGAAGGGCTGATTTGGGTAGTGAATTGTTGAATTAGGATTGAGAGCTTCTCCCCAGTAAGAGACGCCTTGTCCTCGTGTCTAAGGGTAAAAACAGATGTTTTTCATTAGTATTGCTGGCTTCCAGTTTCTACATTCCTGCCCTGACTGCTCTCTGCTCATCTTCTATGTTTTTGTATACTAATAAAACAACAATGTCTGTCTACACTTCAAGAAGGATATTAACTGATTGACTTAGAGATATGGTTTACACTCCATCGGAAAGGTATTGCATCTGAGAGTGACATGGGCATATTTGTTTTCTGGTATCTCTTATTGTTCATGAGTTATTTTCAGTTTTGTGTTTTTCGCTGCAGAGTTAAAGTGGCGCTGTGACATCATGTGTCACAGAGCACCTACGTATGTACGCGCACACTGCAGTTACACCTGGTACCTGCGCCGGCTGACCGTGGCGCTGTGGCATCGTGCGTCACAGATCACGCGCGTAGCCAAGCGACAGGAACAAAATGAAGAACACAGACAAAGCTAAGTCATGGCAACAACAAGAAAATTATAGTTTTAAATCGCTGAATCCTCCCAATGAGTCCTCGCGAAAGGAGTCCTCCCACAGGAGCCCTCCCAGCCGAGTATAGATAAAGATGAAATGTCTCTCTGGTGTCTGTCTGTGTGTCAATCTACATTCCATATTGGATCCTTTGGTTTCAAGCGTAGCTGCAACGGGTACAGCTAGTTGTATAAATAAGCCAATCACAACCATGATCAATAAAGACTGCATACCTTCAGAAGAAAGGTGTACGTCTGTCCTTTCTTCCTTCACAGAAATATTATTATTCATTCTTTGACTTGTTCCATAACCTAGCCTCTGGAATTCCCTCCCTCTTACTCCTCTTCATCTCATCTCCTCTCTACCTATCCAGAAATCCCACTAAAAACTTATCTAATGCTTCAATATCACCTACAACTGAATCCCTGCTCCCACTGACTGGTCTGCCCCTCTGAGTCCTGACTGAATGAACAGCCTAAACCATTCAAGGTAACATGGACAAAATTTAATTTCCAAAATGTGTTGAAGAACTCTGTAGGGAAGCTGGTCAGTTATTAAGCCAATGCCACCGTGTTTGATCCCCCATTCATTACAATTGCACTGTTTTAATGAACTAAATAAGCTGCTTTCCAGAGAAGGCTGCAAATCATCTTGTGAAGAGTTAAACCGCAAAAGGGTTGCATATATGGAATGGAAGTGAATTGCCCGATGGTAAAATAATCCTCCAAGTCAAATCAGTCATTCACTTCATGGCTGTTTGAACACTGCAATGAGCACTCTATTAATTGAAAACTTTCTAATCACATCTTCAATCCTCTGACATTTTAATCACTTCCAAATGGTGAATTTCAAGCATAACCATACTGATGAATGAACCCTGGAATACTGGTTGGGCAATTGGCATTCTGGGCATGTTTAATGATGGGTGTCCAAAAATGGAACCAGTGTAACATTAACTAGCAAGAACCACTTCTACATTTTTGATCATAAGAAGCCTAACCAAAGAGTCTACCACAAAGTGAAGAGAGATGCAGTGCAAATGTATTTTGAATACTTTTCGCCACTACCCCCAAAACTCTGGGACTCGATCCCTCCACTTTACCCCCACCATCCCCATCTTCAGGTGCAACCCGAAGACTTTGCTCTTTTACTCTGCCTTAGGACAACTAACCCTTTCTCCTGGCTCAGCATCATGCCCCGCCACTGCCAGGCACTCTGGAGTGCTATCCTGCGTGAGGGGCAATGCAAGTTGTTGTTTTTGTATTGGGCTCCGTGAAATTGTGCCAATCATCTGTCCGCCATTGCTCCATATTTCTACTGGCAGCGACTCTGCTTCCACGGGAATCAGAGCCAGATAGCTGGATTATATTTATTCTGAATGGTCTGGATTTGTGATGCTTACAGTGATAAGTAGAAGTGATCAAATGGAAGTTAAATACATTCCATTTCAGGTGATTCTGCTCCCAATTTCACCGCGAATCAAACTCTGAAATAAATGGGTTCCATTTTCTTTGAAGCACCTCAGCCTGTACCATCACAAAGTGTATCACATAATGACTTGAGCTGAATTATGGTGGACTGTTATGTGGGTAAACTCAGCAGCTAATGCATTGCTGCCAACAACCAGATTAATGACCATTCATCTTTTTTTGGAGTATTTGGACGAAGGAAGAATGTTGGCCAGGATCTTGTAAAATAATATTACATTTGATGTAGCACCTTTCATATTGGGAGCATGCCTCAAAGCAGAGGATTTACTGTAAAGTGCAGTGACTCTACTTTGTAGGCAAACGTGGCAGCCAATTTGTGCATGGCAATGTCCCACAAACAGCCATGAAGTGAATGACCAATTGTATCTGACCAGAACACCGGGAGAGATTCCCTTCTTATCCTTGACATCCACCTTGAACAGACTCTGATGGAGTCTCGGTTTAGCATCTCATCTCCAGGATGGTGCCTTCCACGATGGAAAGCTCCCCCCTAGATTTTATTGGAGTGTCAACCTGGACTGTTCTTGTTTTACATTGAGATTCCTGAACTGCCATCTGCTCCACTGTTGGGTTTCAGCCAAGGCTCCTATGTTGCCTTGCTGTAAATTTTCTCACAAGTTTTCTAAACACCACGGGGTCCAGGCATAGTTGTTAACTCCAGCAATTTTCTTGTTGCCTGTTTCTAATGGGGTTCCATCAGCACATCAACAAAAACAACAACAAAATTACATTTATAGAGCGCCTTTCACGTCAGGAGGACGTCCCAAAGCTCTGAACAGTCAGGTGTCGGAGCTAGAGCATGGGGGAGGGGTGGTGTAGGGGGGAGGAAAGGCAGAGAGCTGGGAGGGAGACCACATGAATGGAGCCCCATTCCTTCATTGAATGGAGCCCCGTGGCTGATGGTCTTGAGCAGTGCTGTGGGGAGCACTGCATTTTCAGAGGTGAGATGTTTAACTCAGGCCCTGTTTGTGCCTTTTCAAGTGGACGTCTTTTCTATTCGAAAAGAGAAGAGTTTCTCCTGGCTGACAGTCCCTCAGATAATATCGGTCATTCACTTAATGGCTGTTTGTGGGATGTTGTGTTGTGCAAATTGGCTGTTGTTATATACAGTCAATATACAGTCAATTTACTGCACGGTATATTCTGTGAAGCGCTTTGAGACGTCTCAAAGACATGATAAGCCGTTAAATCAAATGCAAGGATTGTTCTTATTATTCAACCATCAGCCCCACAAATGTTGTCAAAACAGGATTCATACCAGCTTTCAATAGGAAACTCAGCGAGTTGTTCGAATTTGGAATGTTCTGCCTGAAAGGGCAGTGAAGTCCGATTCGATAACAGCTTTTAAGAGAGAACTGGATTAGGTATCTGAGGAAGACGGGTTTGCAGGGTTATGGGGAGAAAGCTGGTGATTGGGGTTAGTGAAAGTGACTTGCTCTGTCAAAGAGCCGGCACAGACTCGATGGGCCGAATGGCCTCCTTCTGTGCCGTAACATTCTATGAATCTATGAATCCAGATAGGTAAAATAATAACAATAATTGAACCTTTCAAGTCTGGTGAATGTCTCAAAGGGCTTCACAGGATAAACTGTAGAGTGCAGTGTATTTTGAAGGTGAACACGAATGCCCCACAAACAGCCATGAAGTGAATTATCAATTTTATTGATAAGTCTTGGACTATATGAGTTCAAATTCCTGACGAGGGGCTTGAAACCACAACCTTCTGATCACAGGTAAGAATGATATCTAA